ATTTCTTCTTCATAACATTATCACATAATATCTGTAAGTCTTAACATATGGTAACATTCGTATTAAAGAAATTGTTTTAATCCACAAACATCTTTACTCTACTTTATCTTTAACCATAATAACTAGTTATATTCTGAGTTTAATGCAATAGTTGGAGCTTAATTAACTAAAAGTACGATCAAGCATTGCAGCACTAATATTTGCAAAGGTTAACTGCATTCACTTGACTAATTTCAGACATTTGTTAGCTAATAACATATCCATCTTTAATAGCCGCGATTTTAAGGGGATTCCAAATCTGGAACATTTGTAAGTCTCCATAGTTCTAATAAGCTAGTAATCGCTACCGTTTTAATCTATTCACCTAGTATATATCGAATTAATCGTTGTTATAAAATCTACAAATCAAAAGGATAGTAGAAATTTAAACTCTGTGCGTTACAATTTAGTAGCAAGTTCTGATTAATGCCGCATTTGAAATATGACAATAGTACTTCAGTGATGTCTATAATACGAGTGTTAAATAAAAAAAATAGCAGTACAGAAATATTTTAATATTTTTTAAATGAGATTGCTTTACCAACAGAAGACTACGTTTTAACTATGTCTAGTCAGTTAATTGTTTCATAAATAATGTTGCTATCATGCAGTTCAAATAAAAAATTATCGACGTAAGTTTTTACATATTTTATCCTTTTTAAGCATTTATTAACTAGTTAAATAAAATAACGATATACAAATTCTACAAAAATGTTTTATTGCTAGAGATTTACAACATCAGCAGCATGCAATGTCTGCAATATCCTATGATGAACTTAAATCTTTAACTAAATTAACCCAACTGTAAGTAAAGGAATCCTACAAATGACACGAGTGAGAAAGTTATTGAAGTAAGATAGGTTAAGCTATTGCCATATATATTTCCGTAATAGGCAAGCCATTATAAATATACGCCTAAACTATAGCCGAATATATTCTTAATAAAGAACAATTCAATAGTATCCTGTTTAAATTAATTAACTAGCAACTGAATAAATATTCTATTACAAAATCTGTAGAAAACTAGGATACAATGCTATTAAGACTCTTGGAAACGGCGAATTAATGCTCCCAGCTTTAAAATCACTGTAAGCTGTAAACGAAAAAGCAATTTTTTTTAAAAATAAAGGCTAAAGAATTTCTTGGCATTATGCTACCCTCCTTAAACTGAATAGCCTTAAACTGAACAAAATTTGTGCTTGCTGTTTTCGTCAATAAATTTTGATTGCCTAATCATTTATAGGAGAATAGAGAATAACAAACTGAAATTCATATATCAGCACGACCTTGATGGAATGCCCAATTTAGAAATACTGTAAGTATGCATTTGACGTTAGGAGACTAAAATAAAATGGCTGTTTAATCATCCGATGCATTAGTATTTGATTATAGACAGCTTATACGAGTAATATATTTGTCCAGTAGCTTAATCATTAGTCAACGCCTATCAAACTTCTGATCATTAGTATTTCATAATATTGAAATCAAATTAATTCTAGCATCAAAGAAATAACTTGGTTAATAACTATTTAGTTACAAACTACTAGTATCATTTTTAACATAAATAATGTCATGAAAACAAATTATTTTCTTAGTAACATGAACTACAACAAAATTACAAAAATCCAAGATAGCGCGTTTAAATTGACGACAAAGCTGCGGTTTCTGTAAGCATGAATTAACTCTTTCAAGTCAATACAACCTTTATTGTTCGAGTATTCATTATTTTAATTTAACAATAGCGGCTATACTAAAATGTTTTACATGGTATCATTTGCTACCTAGATATGTTGCATCATCACAATTTATAACATTGAATGCGGTGCTTTAATTGGATATATATGCCATCATAGCTTTAAGAATTTTTTCTAGCGTCATATTTAGTATGTATAGTTCATATATACGTGTATCCAATTTAGGCAGCTGTCTACAAATCGTATTAATTCATTGCCTGATAGCATATTCTCAAATCTGGTTAAATTAGAAGTCATGTATGTATCGCAAGATTTTAGTAGAAAATCGCCTTTTATACCTCATATTGATACTTAATCTATAGTTAGAACTATTTTCAGCCAGAAATTGGCTTTCCTAGCTCATTAGCATATTATTTGATCTTTAACTTCAAAAGTATAACGCCGTAATTCTTGATTCATATTAGGGATTTAAGTAACAATCAGTTACAACATATTTCCCATTTACATTTTAAAAAATCGAACAAATTGCAGCAGCTGTAAGTTAATAATGAGTCCTACCGAATGATATCTGTTTAAGTTTTTAGCTAAGAATAAATGCAACCACATGGTACATGTGGTAAATACTAGCTTTCACTGTTAATTGGATATGCTAAAGTTCTATTTATTCCACTCTTTCAGCTACTTAAGTACCAATAATATTCATACCATCGATAATTATAGTTTCCGAAATTTAAATAAGCTAAAACGCTTGTAAGTAAAAGCCTAATAACAAACATACGATAATTATATATAAATATTGGGGTGAAAACAGATAATAATTCGTAAGTAATGAATTTTATTGTATATATATATATATATATATAGGTTACTTACCAATCTGAACTGTTAAAATAAGTTTTAGTGTTACAGTCACATACAACTACAAACTTACAGCTTACGGAACGAAGTAACAGTGCAGTTTATTATTTTCACCCTTTTTTACTCTTGACGTTTAATCATCTCATCTGCAACAATACTATGCGATAATCTTACCCCTTTTAATTAACTTCAGTTACTACCTTCTGCAGAGCTTTGAACATGAACGCGATAAGAATCATTACCAGTCAAACATTGATTGGATTGAATTCCCTGGAATCGCTGTAAGATTAGTTATTTCATTTTTGTATTAGGCGAAGCTTTACCGGCGTTGAGTGTAATAAATTAGTAACTAGCACTAATTTCACTCCATTAATCATTCCAGCTCTTTATCGATGAATTGCTTGCAGAATATCGAAGATAATGCTTTTATAACACTTCAAAGCTTAACGTCGCTGTAAGTAAATGCATACATACGCGTGTGCTTGTCTTATGGCCTACCAATTAAAGTTCCTATATTTTATAGCATTTTAGCGAGTACATCAGTGTAGATGGCGTAATATTAAAAAATAAATATTTTGCCTTTATAAATTAAATTTAGCTTAGATATCAAAAATGAGCTCACCATCATAATAACTACGGTATTAGAGATGATAACCTTGCGTTAATACCGATTTCTTCGTACACTTTGTCGACACTGCTCGGAAGTGTTCGAAAAATGTACAATGACGAGATCAAATTTACTGTACATCCTACGAAGTCACAACTAAATTTATCAACTATATTGAGCGCATTACAGTGTGCTATTCTAAACCAACATATCACATAAAAATATCAAAGTAATCAAGATATTTCTATTTTTCTATATTTTAGAAGAATTAGTAACAATATGTTAACAACTTTAAGAAAAAACACATTTACCGGATTACGACAACTACAGTTCTTGTAAGACTATTTATGGTGACGTAGACGTAATACTTACACAACCTGCCTTTAGTAAATTTGTTACACAAATAGCATATAAACTACATATGTATAGTAAGTAATTAATGTATTCGTTATTATAATTTAAACTTTAGGGCTTTGCAGGATAATTATTTACAGTGTGTGTCATCCAGCGTATTTAGGCAACTTCCACAATTATTAATAGTGTAAGTTTCATTAAGTACTATTAATAAATTTATTTTTAGTTTATAAAGGTAATTTTGTCACCATAGTTTGCTAAACTAGCTTATCAAAAACTGTGCTTACAGGGGTACCAATTTTACATCCATATGTTGTATGTTGCAAGCTAACACCACATGTTATTCTGTCGGTAAAGCTATTTGTCCAAGAAATATTAACTCATCTTCCTGTAATGTTACTATTCTACCAGCCCCTTCTATTCGATGTCCGTATAGGTAAATGATGTCCTCCTAATATAATTCTGACTATTCTGCCACAAAATTTTAGTTCTATCAAACCATGCTCAAATGTTTAAAAGCTAGTATAGGCTATGCAAATATTTATGATAAACTCGTAATATTATTCTGACTATTCTGCGACAAAATTTTAGAACTATAGATGTTTATCAATGATTTTATATGCGCTAAACAAACATTTAGATATAAAATTTTGCTTAAACTATCAATATTAATATAATTTTTCCTTGTTAGAAGTAAACCTGAATCAACTAGCATCGATTATAATAGCAACATGATTGCCTGACTTTTTTCGCTATAATAATAGGATATCAACGTCTCCTACCCCAGCATTACAGGCATCATTACCGACCAATTCAACGCCCATTTATACAATGAATCTTACTGCAACCTTTTTCACTCCATCTACTACTAATAGCACGACCATACCATATACTACTCATCCATCAACTTCTAGTAACGGAAGTGCCATATCTATGGTACCTATATTTCATCAGCTCAAAGTAATGGCTACCTGTATAGCAGCTCTGTATTTAATAAGTACCATTTAAGCTATTTTATAATATCTATAAAATCCATTTAATACCTATTGCCAGTTATTAATGTTTACCAGAAACACAATTTCTTTAAATTAATTAAAAAACCGGCAGAGATATGAGAGAAATATCCATTAGCTTTTAAAATTGTTTACGTTCGCTACTAGACTAGACTATAAACTAGCTAACATTGATTTATAATGTAAGTATTATTATATTAGATAAAGCATTTTTATAACTTTACATAGGCCCTCGTATAGAAGCTGGTAAATTTAAAGCATAATATTTATTTTACTTATTTCCATAAATAGCTGGTATTAGCATTAAGGACGATTGAAGATATAATAAATAATAATCTAATGCAGTACTTGTAAAATTTAGTAGATTGGCAAGATGATGATTATCTCTAAACAACGCGGGTAGTTTTGGATGATATTACTCATCCAGATACGCCTATAATAATGGCAAACAACATATAATTTAGGAATAAATTGCGTATTTCAGAATCTGTATAAAGTAAAATCGCCATAATAATCTTTACCAGCTATCATCAAGGCAGTATATCGATGGCACTTGAATTTCCCTATTGTTGTAAACTATCAGTACTGAAACTATGATAAAGTATCGTAACATTCACTTCCTACGCCTTGAACGTATGCCATATTATAAATAAGCCATAGATTTTAGGCAAGTTTTATTTCGTAAGGTTTTTACAGTATTTCCCCTTAATAGATTATTCACTGAGCATTATTAATGCTATCTAATTAATGTGATGTTCATACATAGCTTATGTCAATAAAGACACTGTTATTCGTAAAATTTAGAATAAATTTTCCTTAAATCGCATTTACGAGTATAGATGTTTATATTCTATCTGACTCGTCCATGTTTGGCTTTGAAATCTTTACTTATATGTCAATTTTTCTTAAAACATAATAATTCTTTCGGGAATCATTACAAATCATTAAATTTTGATCATCACTAAGTTTTAATTTCTTTATCCTCTTCATAAGCTGGAAACAGAGCTGTTGCACGGGTTGTAATGTCTTTCGATGATAAATTCGAATTAAATTATCCTCTAATTCTAAAATATATTTTCCCTGCCAGCATTGGACAACATTTAATAATTTCATATTACAATGCATCCATACTCCTTGATATCCAATTGAAATTATGTACCAATTAGAATTGTAAATCTAGAATAAGTAGCAAATCATAATTTTGATATAGATTACATTGCTCAGAACATTATCTTTATGTTGTATCTTGTGTTAACTTTCTTATGCTTATTTTAATATAAGTGTAAAGTAAAGTTAGAATAGAATTTAAAGCGAAACCAGAAATTAATCTCAAAGATCTATAACAATTGGGGCAGTATTCAGTCTTGAAAAATTTTTATTGAATTGATACTACTGGAATTAAATTTTAATCATGGTTAAGATATTAATTAGAATAACGTACCACGTAATTAGTCCCGTACTGTACAAAGAAATAATCACCATTGATTGAATTGATCGCACCCTGATATTTATAATTGTAAAAATTCCTGAGGATGAATCATTTCATGTTATAACAATATTATAATGACACCTACTTCTAAAATTTTGTAGTTAGAAACACCCAATTCGGCACTAGCAAGTTTTAGATCCATCGGCCTGCTAATATTTATACTGGATCCGTCAGTAGGAATTGAGATTTTTGAAATATTAATATGACTGGTGGATGGCTGCTTTCGTGTCTGTTGTATAATAGAGTTATTATCCAATCTATATACCTATTGCAAATTGTGCACAATAAACGATTTTTCAATTTATGACATTTTGATAGCAATAGCCATAGTATTAAAAGCAAATTTAATGTAAAATAAGTAAATGCATTTAATTGTTTAGGCTACCGCTTTTTAACCGCTTAAAGCTTCTTAAAAGCTCTAGCTGGTAATTATGTTTTTATACAAAAATTATCGATGACATAAGACATTCGATCAGTTGCAAAGACTATTCAGCACCTTCAATATATGTCCGAATTGATGAGTCCAGCTATGAACAAGCATGTGATGATCATCTTCAAATATGAGAACTTTTCTCTTACATAGCGGATCATATTCTTGAAATACCTTGACTATTTGTCCATCTAAGTAATTTATCATGCTAATGATAAGACCATACGAATACTGTTGTAAATAATCAGAGATAAAAATAGAATTAGCAGAGTAGACAAAGTTCAAGGCTAGAATTATCAATTTAAACTTTAATGTAACCTCTGAACTAGTCAGTATAGCAAATTTTTGCGAACGATTGTTATTGAATATTAATTATAGAAATAAAATACTGACATGAAATTGTTCTTCGTCATATTTCCAAGTAAAAATAAATTTATGGTCAAACTTCCGATAGTTCATTTTCCATAATTGCAAATTATAAGCTACAAAAGTTTGCTCTGTTTCCCATTTCACACGCCTAGGATTGTTTACTTCTCGTAGCTAATTAGAATGAATGAAACTAATTAACAAATCACTCTATTGGGCACCAATAGCTTGATATAGCGAAGTAAAATTCAATTAAAAACGATCAGTAAGCTCTTTAACAACGGCTAATGAAATAGAAGTGATTTAATCTATAAGTTCCTAAGATTTCAAAATTTTCAGTATAAAAGGATGTAATCTCAATATAGCTCCTAAAGAAATAAGAGAGCGTATTCAGGATACAAACTAATTCGCCAAAATCTTATACACGGACTGACTGATTGCATATCCACTTTTTTGGGTATTCACACATAGACTAAATTTCAATGTAATAGATCTACATCATATATTTCACGTGTATTCGCGATAATAAGAGAATCATCAATTATCAATTTCAGCTAACAATTTATAAAAATTTTCTTACTAAATATTTAATAAAAAGATTAAGGACTCTATAAAATCCTACGATATATTTAGTTTCATTGGAATTAATTTGACTAAGATGAGAACTCCAACGCCTTTTAATTAATGTACATGTATAAGCTTCATAAGTAAGAGAGCTCTCGGGAGGTCATACTAGATCTGAGTACTAATGATAATAAAATAGTAGTACCTAATAGTCACCTAATCAGTAAAATCTTACTTGAGTAATTACATGCGAATGCATAGAATGTGACGTTCGCGAATTAGAACAACCACCGTTACATTCATATTTTTCTAATATAATAAAATCATGCAGATTTTGGAATAAGCAAATATTCCATTCTTGTAATGGTTTACTGTTGGTCCACCCCCCAACACGATTAGAAGATACTTGTTCCAGGGTTTCTCCTTTGTAAATCTAATATGTGAAATGTATATATATAATGTCAAACATCCTATTTTTAATTAATCTCATATATTGCTATTTCATTGAAGTATTCGTTTTTAGAATTAATGAATAAGGAAATTGCACTGCGTCTTCCTTGTTTAACATGCTTTTGCCAGCATTTAGTAAGATAAACTAATGCTAGTAATTAAGGCACATTAGCAGGGCCATTTTCCGAAATTCGCATACTTTGTAACTTACATTTAACGTCAGAATTTGATCCAATAACAAAATAATAGCCAAAATAGGAGTTTCATTTATAAAATTATAATCTATCGCTAAAGATTTCCAGTTTCTGTTTTTTTCTACATTGTAACAATAATGTTCGCTTCTAATGATGTTCATATCACTTCTAATTATGTTTATATCTTGAGAATGTGGTCGGTATATTAATAAATCTTGCATTCCAGGAATAAAACGAACGTGATAAATAGGCCATTGAAAGTGAATTAATCGACTAGGGATGATGCCATCATAATTCCATTTTATAATCTATGGAATTGATATATGAACAATCAGATGCCATAGTCCTCTAATAATATTCATTCAATCGCTGATACTATGAGTAAATTCTTATTAGATCTATTAAATGCCTGGAGATTTGACATATTTATTCGAGTATGAAATTACAAATACTTGTGTACTGAAATATAATAATAAGAAGGAGGAATTTATAATCAAATTTCTAAGCTAATTTACAAACCAGGAGATCTTCCGAATTTGCAGACTGAAATAAAAGCAGCTGACAATCATATGAGGTTGATAAATGCTTGTATCCATATTCTAATTTGTAGCATGCTCTGAAAAGGTTCTTAAATTCTTTACGTACATCTATCGTATTATTTTCATTTTGCTCGAGTAAAACATATCCCAGAATGCAGCCATATTGGACTAGTAATGCATTTTTGAGGCCATCATATGATAAATTATGTAGCAGTAGTGTTTTATTTTCACGAACACTTTCTTTCGTGGTAGAGTAGTCGTACTTTAGTATCAATCTAGGTAATCGAATACGCCAGATACGATAAACATCTTCGATATTCCAAACCTTTAGGGAATATGGTAAATTAGTGATTATATAGCAACATCGATGAACTAAAGCGTTATAAATAAGTAAATACATTGCTGGTAATTAAAATTAAAAAATCACATCAATTTGGCATTTATTCCATGTCGCTGCATGGTATTTGATATTTTCCTCCAAATTTTGTTTCGTCCAGAACAAAAGCATAGATTTGCTTACTGCAAACTGTTGCCATGACACTAAATTACTTTCAACAACAATTCTTTCCTTACAATATGCGCTAGTCTCGTAAATCTGCCAAATCTAAATAGAAATAATTTTGTTAAATTTATTCCAAAAGTGTAGCAAATACTCTCTAGAACCTTTTCAGGTACAATCAGGACTAGATGTAGTGATCAAGGTAACTAGTTGTTACATAGAAACTAGAATTTTAACTATACTTTTACAAAGTACGCATCTTAGACTACATTGCTGTGATACTATACTGTAATTTTATTACGCTACAAGATAGCTCTATTGCTATTTTTTTCATACTTAGCACACGTACTTTAATGATAGACTTTCTACTCCTTACATCGATAGTAAAAGCTATATGAGCTATTTTAGGAGAAAATTCTAACTGACAATCAGCACAATCAACGATATCAGCGTTGGAATATTGAACAAATTGTAGTCGTTCATGATTATCCGCCAACCAAATTTCCCATTTGTGATACATATTGCTATTAGATAAATTCACATCGTCTTCGCATCCTATAAGTACGGTTATTATACAGCTTCGTTAACATACTCAAATTTATATTTTCTGAGCTACAAAGTTCGTTACAGAAATACTATCAAAACATATCTATTTATTTCCTGTGCATTTATTGATAAGAAAATGAATCTTCAATATTTAATTAATGAATTGGCTATTATTCCAGCCCTAGAGCAATAAGCATATATCCAAATACCTTTATCATTTCTAGCAAATGTGTTGTAATAAAGCGCATCTAAACCTGATAGTCTTGGCTATAAACAAAACAAAAAAATTTTATCGTTACTGCTAATACGCTGAAGATAATCAACTAACATAGTTAAAACTAGAAAAATTTAGGATTTCCTTATGTTAAGTGAATCAAAAAGGTTACAGCACATGATGCAAGTATTATAGAAAGCATATGGATTAAAACAATCAGGTTCGTAATAAGTATCAAAGTTAAAAAATTTTTTAAAGATAAAAAATAAATACTAAATTTATCAAAACGAATAATAATTCTTACTGGCTCATGATATTTCAGGGCTATAATACTTCCATCAGCGCTTATTTTGATCGATTTAATTTTAACGTTCATCTTAATCCAATTGGTTACAGAGTTTCCCTTATCATAAATTAGCGTCTGCGTAGTAGAATATTCAAGTAAAATATTTAAAAAGGATGATAACATCAGGTAAACAGCATCATTATTTTCATTCAACTTTATTTGGATTAAGTAAATCAATACGGAATTTACAGATTCTTATTATCATTCAAAGGTATCAGATATTGAGGATAATTGGAAATTATTGTAATTTTTTTTTATCGATTACAAAGAGTTCCTTACCGTAACTTTACTTTTCATGCCATCATTTTCACATAGTACAAATTTTAGTTTTGAGAGTGAAGGATTTGAACAAGCATAAACCGGAGAAGAGCTCTTAACTCTTTTTGTAAAAGATTTAGCAGTGATTTTGTTCTGTTCCTCACTAATTGCATACCAGCATCTTAAAAATATATCATAAACAATTACACTTAAAATATTACCAACTTTATCAATATTTTAACAGACCACGAATAAATATCGCATCATGTCATTAACGAGAGCTCTGGTACCGTAATTTGGAATAGATGGACAGTTTTTCTACTGTTCGTGCTTTAGCAATTGCAAGTGCTTTATTAAATATCTGAGTGGTTTCATCACCAAAGAAAAGGATAAACTGCACCAAATCGATATTTTGCATGTTTAGATACTGCCCAAACTGTTTCAATATATGAAACAGCTCGGCATTGCCATACTTTATTCGCTATAAATATATTGTCCATTAAAATGCAGTCCAATAAACCAGCTCAGTATATTCAAATAGTGGTAGTTAAATATAAACTTTTAACTATTATCAAAGTTGACCATTTCACTCTTTAGCAAATAAATATATATAAAAATTCTTCTTTAATAAACTATTAACTGTAAGCTTAAAAAGGTTAACTCGTTACAGTTTACCTACAATTATATATAATTATTGGTTATTACTCTTTATACGCAGTAATTAAACTCGTCACCTAAAGTTTCTGACTTTAGCTTAGTGTAGAAAATAATGCAGTTAAGCTTAATATACTGTATACCCGTATTGATTCAAATCATTCTTAGATACAGTTACACCTAATATACTTCATACATGTATATTTATATGAAACATATAATTATATATTTATACGCATATATGTACAATTGCTTAAACCATGATTATCAAGTTACCTTTGCTTGAAAGTAAGTTTCACAACATTTCATATCTAGATAGATACTCGAAACGGCTCTTGTAGCTCTTAGTTTAGTTTCTGTCCATTCAATGTCATCTATTAGTCTTACTAAGGTATCGGTAGCTTTAGCATCTATTATATGTTCGATGATATAATGATAGAAGTAGCCATCATCTTTATGTTGATTCCATAAGCTACCATACTTCCAATAACAGCTGTCAATAAGTTTAGCGTGCAAATTTATTTTATGATCACAGATATCAGGACCTCGTTCACATTTATTGTATTGCATTCGCAGAAAATCGACAACAGCAGCGTTGATCTGGCAAAAATATCTACAGTATGAAACCGAAATTTTGAGAATTATTTATCTCAACGATACCTTAACAGAAAGGACTTGCTTCTTATAATAGCATCGTACTAAAAATATTTACTTTTATTTTATAATCACTACTTCAAAGCAACAATCATGTACATATAATAAATTATCTCTACCTGAATAATTAGAATTATAACTTTATTCATTTAAAATTAATTATGTAGCTACCTCTCTTGGTAATTCTTATGTACAGTAAGTAAATATCGCCCTTCTAGTTCTTTTAGTATAGCCAATGTATTGCAAAAAGATTTTCTCCATAGCAACATAATCATGGTCACAGGAATTCTGACGCATTTAAATATGCTTAGATCAAATAGCCTTTGCTTAAAATTACTATCTAAACAGTCAACAGTCATCATAATTACTGTTTGAACATTAGACATTAAATTTCTTTTTTTATTTATGACTAGCCTATTGTATTCTATCATTTTTAACGCTTTGAAGCTTCTATTTATGTCGTCAAGATATGAACTAGAAATTAACGTAACATTTAATGGTAAAACGCAGGAAACATCAATTAAGTCTCCAGTTACTTACTCAGTGATTGTAGTTTTCGATTTATTTTTATCTAATAAGCGTAGAAACTGTGCAATATCATCAAATTTCCAAGCAGCCTAAATAGTGTTGTTGTTGATTGTTATTAGAATGCGAGAAGAAAATATTTATTTAATTATTTTAAAATGAAGGTTACCTGTACCATAATTTGATGGAAAGAATCGTCAATTGGACCATCCAAATTGTGTGTAGTCACAACTGCTTTATCAGCAAATGTAAAATAATCCATAAATGAGAGATTTCGAACATCGTCAAATATAAAAAGAGGACAAGCTCCCTTTATATTATCTGTTGCGCAAATAAATGTAAGTTTTAGTATTAATGCACTTTTTACTGATTTAGTATATTAATTTTCTGTTATGCGAATATCTCAAAAATGTTGCTAATATGTCTTGAAGTTTGAAAGTGACATTATCTGTATTACCATGTAGATAGTATTGAATGCAATCTACCACTTCTATTAGATCAGTAGGTGACTGCGTGATAGCAATTCCGGCATTTAATCGATGGTACAAACTCAAAAGTTTTTGTAACAGTCTATCTTCATTGATGTCGACTAAGTTAAAGTATATTAATAAACATCGTTAATTAATTAGTATCCAAATACTGTACTTATCATTACATGTTATTTTTATGTTTCAAGGTTAATAAGACATATTTCTAGGAACAATCCTAATGAATTCATAAACCTTTAGCGCTTTTATAGTCTAGTACTAACGGTTAATAATTAATTGATATACCGTTTCTGCCATCAGGCCATTATATTATCTTTAAATTACTGATATCAACCCAGTAAATACCATCAGGGTTGAAACAACCTTCTTCCTGGACAACTTTTCTAATTGCTTGGCTTAAAGCTATCGTCTTACCACAGCCAGCTGTACCACGAACTATAATTTTACCACTTTTTCCATGAATCATTTTCAAATTAGAAGCTATGGCATTCACGGAATCAATGACGTAGATGTAACGATGAATTGGAACCTCCATTACATCACGAAGTAAGTCTATAATTTTAATAACCTGAGGTTTAGTTAAAAATCATAAACTACCAAATTTTACTAAGAATTGGTCGATTTTTAGCAAAATATGCTATTAAAAACTAGGTGATAAGATGCAGCACCTATTTTAATCCTTCTAACTCTACACATGATACAAATTGCTAACGTCAAGTGTTGGCTGATCCTAAACTATGTTATGAAATTCCACATGGAAAGATCAAATATTTGCAAACGCAATGAATTATAGTATTTTATGAATAACATATTTACTGTATCTATTTTGAAACGAATAGGGCATTTATAGAAAGTACGTTATCGATCGGTTTACTGTCTATACGCGCACGACGAATTGTTCAATAAGTCTTTGCTATGAAATTGATCCTACAGTTATGCATATAGGTGTAGCTAACAATACCTCGTGCAAGCAGATCTAATTTTAATCCAAATGCTTGAACTGCTTGTTCAGGATGATTTCTAATTATGCTACAAAGTATGTAGAAAGTGAAATGATTGCAATGATGGATCAGGACTTGGATAAATTTTTTACTCATATCTTCTCTGGTTGGCATCTTTTTAATTTGAGCGATAACATTATCATCCATTAGAGATCGAGATCTTAATTCAATAAGAATATCAGAAATGGGAACTAAGGCCACAAACTCGGCAAATAATTGCTTTAAAGCGGATTTAATCTTCAAATCTGTTATCATAATGCCTAAGTAGAATGTGGAATAAGAAAATAAACAAATATGCATCATTGCGTTAGGTGACTTTCTTGTTATCCCTACTGGCATTTATTGAATAATCTCGAGCTAGGTTATTTGAATTTATATTTTTTTAAGGAGCTCATTCTGGTTTAAATTTGAACAGTTTAAATAAGAAAGAAAGTTGTTTGTTTTAGAATAGTGTAAAGACCAAGGTGTACCCTTCGTTATATTTTATAAAGACTGGTTTAAGCAGAATTAATTACTAATATCATCGACTCTGTCCTGTATTTTAACATCTCTAGGCTAGTAAAAGTGTTCTAACTAAATTTGATACCATTGATGTTTGAATAAGAGTAATAAGGTTAACACTATATTCACATATCAATCGATTAATAATAAATCCTAAATCAATAATTTAGTAATTTTTGATAGCCACAATAAAATGTGGAGATATAAAAACAAAATTAGCTATTATAGATTCGAGCACTTACAGACTTAAGCTGTATAAAAAAGGATAATGTAAATTTTTTTATGTCTAATCTTTTTCAGCCCAGATCTTTATTTTATCCTAAATAACTAACTACTTGATCGAATTAATGCCTTTTTACACGAGTTTAAATCCAAATAGATAACATAGAGTAGCTGTACAGTCTATATATAATCTCAAGCTCTAGTTTTTTCGATGCAATCTAAAGACTGTACATAATAGATTCATTTTATCTACTTACTTCCTGTAGGAAATTTTTACATTCATCTTTATTACCTACATAAAGCGCACAGTAATCCATAGAAATTAAGCTAGCGATATGCCGTTAACTAATCAAAGCAAATCCCGGAACAGGAACTAAACGGAAAGTAACAAGATTACATATATTTTGTAAGACAGGGAAGCATGTTATTATTAACAGTATAGATGAAATTATAAAGTAGCTCTGTGGTCTAAAGTGATCTAGATAGATGGACAAAAATCCTAATTTCCACTAAAAGTCTAAGTAATCTAGGTAATATTGTTCACGACTAAAGGGGAGCTAGTCATCAAAATCTAGTTCACATCATTGAGTTAATGCATTTCACAGTAGTGAAATGCTATGAAATCTAAATGGTTATTAATACAGCAATTATATCATTACTAAAATATGCACTTATGTAGGTTTTATTATAATGTTGCTACCGTATTTACTGCAATAATTGATGTTCTAATAATTGAAGATAATTAGTATCATCAGCTACGGAAATAGCTATCAAGTTTCTATTATACCTGTTACAATAAGAACAACAGGAACAAGTTTAAACAGTGTTCGAGTACTGTATTTTATTGTCCTTAAAAGGATATTTAATAAATGATCAAACGTGACCTAAACATCCATTTAAAACGAACTCTGACCTAATGTTATCACTTTAAATACATACACGAGTAGTAAGCGCTTTAGAATTAATATTCTTGTAATGAAATAGAAGAAAATATTACATTAAATTTTTGTAAAGGCCTTATTGATCGCAACAGAATGTGATTCTTACAATTTTATTAATAAAATTACTCTATCCACATTATTCATGATTGTAGATAACAACCCGTTCAATTGAACGGGTTGTGTGAATTTGCTGATGTTTTCAGCTAGCTGTATACACCGTGCCAGGTACCTTATATTTCCGAAATGTATTCTGACTCATTCTTCGCATTCTTATCGATATCTTTAATTACATTCGCCATAACGGTAGTAATGTCTACAGATCTTAAGTTAAAACCGCAATGACTTACTCCTATTTTTACCTATAACTTGAGGGCAATAATATTGGATTACTTAATTCCAGTAGGCTTGCTGTTGAGAGTAAACAAAGAGTAAAAAGTATTAAGAAGAAAACTTTATATCATTATCTGCAGGTAGCTAATCATTTATAAATCATCCATTACACTGCATTATCTGCTGCCAGAAAAGTAATTGAAGTAATTAGTGAAAACTCAATTATTAGCGTCTGTTATTGCGCTGCTGCACAAAGGAATGGAAAACTTCCTATTTCGTCCCCTTCATTTTCTGTAAAATGCTATGATCATTAGCAATACGGAGACAAAGTTACCTATGTCAACTAATTATTTTGTATGCCTTATTTCAACTGGATATAAGATCATTCATGATTAACTTGTCGGTAACAAAATTATTTTTAACTTATTATGGCAGTAGTCCATATCATAAATTGGAAATATCTAGTCATTATTTGTATTTCTATAGTTTGCTAACTACAAATATCTCTCATCTAATCTAGATACTTATAGATAAATATATTACTTGTCACAAACTTAACTTGCGAACTACTACCCTAAACTAGTAAATTACTTATTCCTATCTCCACAACACTTGAAAGTCTACTGTGTGGTAGCCCTATACTACTTGCCGTTACACAGGGATAAGACTGTTCTGAGTGTTTAGTATAGTTTTATTAATAGAGTAGCCGAAACGCTATCTAATCATGAACTGAGTGAGCATTCGCTCCTCCTTTTATACCCTACCAACAAACTTGTGTTGCACACATATGGTAGTAATTTAGCAACATAACATTTATACGGTTCATATAGGGAAACAAACCTCAATAAAGTATATGGTTTTACTATAAATACAACTAGTAAACAACTTTCATTGGCAATAACTAATAAATAGCCAATTAGACGAACGAGGCTCAGCATGCTACTCGCACGTTACTCGCACTTCGCGGCGGGGGCCACGTCCAGCTGAAAGACAACATATTAGCATTTAATGAAATTAAATTTAATTCTTACAAATAAAACTACTTTCATCATAAATTAACACGAATCTTTAGCTTAGTTCAGAAGAGTTTCATTACTTAAAATATTATTAATTCCCGTATATAACTTGATAGATTCTAGCTTAAGCAAAAAGTAATTTTCCATCCTAGTACACTCAATATACTATTGCAACTCTCTCTATATTGTGCTAGTATTATATTAAAAATAGTATCAGTGCATACAGAAGCTTACAATTTATTGTGCAATTCATTAAACGTAATCTTGCGCTAATTGGGGCTGCATTCCAGACAATGTAACTTATGGTCTAAATCCTTTTGGGGGCCCGTCTTATTGTTTCACAAAAAAATATCCGTTTGATAATTAATCGATACAGGCCACGCTTTTGCTGCTGAACTCTGAATAAAGTATTAAATACTATAGCATCACTAAGATCAAATTAAAGTCTTTTCGAAATTGATACGATAGTAAAGTAAACCACTTATCCTAAATAAGATTTAAGATTTATTACCGTCAACATGTGACGTACGCATACTATTGTCTGATAGCGACATCTTAGAATTTATATAATTTATTCATTTTTATTATATAAAGTTGCGGTTGAAAAAATATTACTACTCAACATTATCGTCATTTTTTACTTTCTTACCATTTTCAACCTTTACAGCAACTTCTATCTAATTGTTAGTTGTTAGGTTGGATCCTACTATTCCAGAAATTCGAATAATTTGGTGATATAACTTTGACACAGGCGTAAGCAGATGATATATTTTTTTTTTTTCGCTACTTGAACTTCCAATGCATTTAATAGGTTTTACTCATATTTTTATTTTTTACTGGCCTAGATTAGCAATTTTACAGGCGAGATGAGTGGCAATTTAAATATCAAAGAGTTTAATTACGATCAAAGTTACTCGGCTTTTGAGCGCCAAAGTAATGATTCACAACTAACATCACACGGACTGGAAACTTTTCTGAAAGCGCTGCGGCAGAGATCGATTATATTTAATGGAAATCAACCGGTAAAAGTCTCAGAAATTGCTTGTGGCCCTGCCGTTAGAACGGTTAATTACTTCAAAAATATGGACTTTTCTCCAGGTTTTGATATCAGAGCAACGGATTTTAATGAGAAATTTACTGGTAAAAATGGATTTGACTATGATTCTTCTACATGCAGTGAAGAAAAATTAGCAGCCGTTGTCGATGATAGTAGTAACGAGGAGGTAGGGTTAATCGTAAAAACATTTTTTGATGCTATAAAAAATCGAGTCTTACCGCTAAAGTCATTCTCAGTCAAAAGAGGAAACGCCTTCGATGATAACTTACTCGAACTTCTAGCCAAGAATGGCTTATCCATTGAAACTGAAAGGAACACATTTTCTTTGGTTATTGCAAGCCATTGCCTTTATTACGTATTAAATGAGAAAGTACCTGAGGTTTCCTTTCAAAAATTCTTCAACTCTTTAACTTCAGATCTTTTAGCTAAAAATGGAATAGCTATATTATGTCACAGTATGTTAAAACCAAAGAGTCACATAGCATTGGAAACTAAGTATGATTTTCATAAAATCAAAAATGTCTGCCCTACCCCAGAAGAATATCAAAAATATTCCATAGATGCTGTTATCGAAAGACATTGTCAAATAAATGATCTTCCATATTATAAAATGGAAGTAAATACCAGTGTTTGCTATACCGATGCCTTCTTTAATCAGCAAGATATCTTTAAAGATATCCATCGATATAATGAGCTTGATGATGACGCTTTAGATAATCTTCTGCGTTTACTATTTATTGCTCGTCGATCTGCCATGGATTTATATCAAGATCAATCATGTTTTGGACTTAATAGCTTAGTAGACGAGGTTGTAAGCATTGCTAAAGAAGATAGATGCCTACGTGATTACGATCGAATATATCTCGTACTAAGTCAGCATGCTACTCAAGAATTTAGGGACCAAATCAAATCTCTTGTCGAAGATTTGAATAGCACTGCACCATAGGTAAAGAGAAGCTAAAATAACGTTTGCAGAATGCTTTTTTTGTTAGTCTTTTTAATTATACTAATTTAAATCATACAGATAGCAATGGTCTATAATTTTATTGCTTACAGCTTAGTCATAAAAAATTTTATTACTTTTCACATTTAGTAAGCGATTAGGTCTTTGAAATTTTTTCAGGAGTAAAGCATGTATTAGTGTGGCAATTTATGAATAAGTCGCTTGATTTGTTTAAGAAGCAAGCTCACTTAGCTACCCCTAATTTAATAGCATCTTGCAGTGTGTTTCGAATTGTTTACAGCAATGAATATTTTCATCCACAGCATGTTCAAATTCTTCAAGGCTTTACAGAATTAGCACTAACGGTATATAATTACGCCCGGCAAAAAAAGGCCATCTTTTAATTAGCGGATCAGATATTTTGAGAAGTATGCCATAAAGATTTCTTACGTGTAGCTTTCTATTTGCCATTCTTGCCATTCTTTTATCGACTGTACATTTTTTAATTACAGTTGCTGTAGCTTTTGCGTAATCAAATCAAGACTTATTTTAGTTACATTAGACTGAAATTATTACGCAAAGTATTATACAAAGTATGTCGCATTGACAGACATAGATTCAGTCACCATTTTCAGCTACTATGTTGAAATAACTTTAGGCATAAGCATGAATAATAAATAAATATATTCAATTATAACTCACGATGACAAGTTATTACTTAAATTATTCGATTAGAAGTGTTAAGAATCGACTGAAGCATATCATGATTAAAGTCCATAAGTACGTTTATGGTTAGTTTCATGTTTTATTTTAATCCTTAGTTATCGCAGCATATTCTTAGCCAATCTTAGCTTGCTTTATGTCCGTGAAACCAAGTGATGGGATAAAAAGTACTGGGTATGCATGATAATTGTAGTTGAAGAAGAGCAGTAGTATATGAGTATTGACAGATAATTACAACTTTATTTATTAATTACATACCAAAACAGTCTATGTCATAAACAATTACTTGAACTAGAAATTGTAAAAGTATACCAAGAGTTCAATCTTAGGATTGGCTGTATTTCATAAAAAAGTTTCTCAATATATGCCTGTGGCATTGAAGATGGAGTTTCATGTATCATAACGAAACAGCAAGTGATAGTTCGTACTAAACTTGACGTGTTAAATTTAATCAAGCTAAATAGTGATACTGTAACAAAATTAAAACTACCACTAAGAAACTATTCATTTACTATCATTTCATGATATTAAACTAAACCCTAATTATTGCTAAAGATTTCGGATAGGGTTAACTCAAATTATATTACCTCCGTGATGCCGGCTGTAATATCTTAAATACGTACAATATAAAGTACTGCAATATGGTCTAGTAATGCAGTAGTTGTACAGTCCAATTGCGGAGAGTAGAATTAATCGTCGTTGTAAAAGATTGTTCATTTTTTGATTCTTAGTCTCCTCATTTTTACTGTCTGCTACACATTATTCTAGCTACATAATTAATGGTTACTGTCTTCGCAAAGTGGAATGGCGGTAGAACAATACGTTATCATGTAACATATTCCATCAACTACCAGATTACATGCTTATACGCGTACACAAGTATATTATACGAGTATATCCTTTCCAAAGGCTCGACTTGCTCTGTACTCTAATCTTCAGACTTGTTTACCTTCGTTTTCAAATAAGTAGAAGACATTATCTTTTGGATATTTCGAGGATGCTATTGTATCTGAAACATTACAGCTATTTACCATATTGTCTATAGTTTGCATTGTGTAATTTTATTGCCTCCGGCTTTTATGGTAATCAGCCCCTTGAGGTAAATTCAATGATTTGTGGTGTAAGACACAGGGTGGAGTAATAAACAGCCCTATTGATCTAATTATTGAATTATATTATAATATTTTGATATTAAAAACTGAATATGCTGTTTCCATAATTCAAGAACTTTAAGATAATGTAATATGCTTGGTTTTTCCAACGCAGATAGCAAGGGGATGACGTCTTTATCTTCGTAATCATCATCTGTATTTGCCCTGATCAGAATGCAACTTCAACTATTTCAATAACTTCAATTTACAGTTACTTACACACTCGTATGCTATGTTAAGGTTGGGATGGCCTCTAAAATTGAGATAGAAAAGTACAATTTTGATCAAAGTCTATTAGCATTTGAACGTAAAAGTAATGCTCCTGAAATAATATGCCGGGTGGTACAATCATTTTTAAAAGGACTACAACAAAATTCGATAGTGTTTTACGGCGATCAAACGATTAAAATAGCGGAAATTGCTTGCGGGCCCGGCAATCGAACGATTGGCTACTTTAAAGGCATCGATTTTCAACCAGGCTATGACATTAGAGCAACTGATATCAATGCTACATTCACCGGTGAAAATGGCTTTAACTTTTCATCTTGCAAAGGCAGTGAAGACACTAATGCTGCATCTATACTAGGCAAGAACGAAAAAAATCTAGGGTTAACAGTCAAAGCCTACTTACAGGCTATTACGACTCAAAGTATGCCGTTAAAGACGTTCTCGATTAAAAGAGGAAATGCCTTCCTCGAGAATCCACTCCATTTACTTGTTAGCAGAAGTGATGATATTCAGTCTGAAAGAAGTACATTTTCCTTGGTAAATATTTTCCATTGCTTGTATTATGTATTTAACGAGAAGGAACCTGAGGAAGCTTTTCAACGGTTTTTTCATTCTTTAAAACACGATATTTTAGCTGACAACGGCGTAGCGCTATTTTGTCATAGTACACTCAAGCCAAATAGTCATATAGCATTAGAATACAAATATGCATTTCAATCAATACACGATATCCATCCTACTACACAAGAATATGAAAAGTATTCGTTAGATCATATCATCGAAAAAAATTGTCAACAAAATAATCTGCCTTGTTATAAAGTGGAATTTCTTACAAAAGTTCACTTTACTCAAGCTTTATTCGATCAACAAGATATTATTCGAGATATTTATCGATATGACGAGCTCGATGAAAATGCAATCGATGACATTCATCGATTGCTATTTATAGCCCGTCGATCACCAATGGAATTATATAAGGATAAATCTGATATTGGTCTCAATCATTTATTGGATACAGTCCAGGCTATCGTTCGAAATGACGGAGGTATCCTCGAACACAATGCTCTTCAAGTAGTTCTGAGCCAAAATGCAAGTCAGCAGCAGAAGCAAGCGGTAGAATGCTTGCTTGAGCGATTAAATACTACGCCAATGCAATAAAATAAATTTCTATTAATGGATCGATGGATAGGTTATGAACATGGCGGAAGCTAAAACAAAATTAGTTGATTCAAAGGTGGCTTGATTGACCAAAGATATTTCGCCTGATACCATTGAATATATACTTGTATGTCGCGTATGCGTATTCATGAATAAGAAAACTCTCTTTTCTGAAAACAGAATCCGTATCATGATTTTAGTTAACTTTCGTTAATTCGGTCTGTACATATCATATCTGAATAATCCATTAATTATCGTGAAAATTTATTGTACGTTATACCTGAATTGGTGTGAAGACTACGTTACTTTCAAAGAAACCGATAATTTTATATCAATAAAGCTTCATAAATCAAGTTGCGTGTTCTCGGAACTGCTAGTTAAAAATGGGGATTAGTAACGACTACAAACTGTTCTTATAGCAATTAAATACTACCAGTCTGGCGTAAGGTATGCCCACCCCCAACATCTACTTACAGTACTACTCTAAATACTGACAATCTCCTCTCGTCAGAAGCAACAGTAGTGCCACTAGCCTTGTTGAGATACAGTAATTAATCATTAGAAAGACCCAACCTATAGATCCATCAATATCCCAAGTTATTTAATTCAAATTAGAAGTTACCAACGAGTCACTGAAGATAAAAGTAAAACTAAAGCCGATATGCTACCCACGAGCAAGAAGAATCAATCAAATACTCAACTCTATTCTAGCGTTCTCTCTATCTAGCTTAACTTCTACAGCCTTAAATGCCGCCTATTATATGCAGTCATGCACGTGCAGATTGGATAGTTGAATATTTCACTAAGAAAGCAAGAGTAATTTGATGAACTTCTCCCATGTTAGCCTGAAATATCGCCCATTAATGCTGTATAGTACTGTATATGAAGTCATTCATACATGTTGCAGATTGTATACTCTTAAATATGATTGATCAATACACAATTATTAATTGACATAGAGTAACATGGAGTAGTCAATATACCATATGAAAATATCGAAATCTTGATAATGAACACTAGCGTTTAGTCAAAACATTAGCAATAAATACCTTAACATGAACATAACAAGTCTATCGAATCTCAATACTCCTGCAAAATTGGCAGTGCACTATGGCATTGCACGAGTCGGCAGATCCGTATAACGATCGGAATCTACCTACTAAGTCATAACTACTACTTGTTACAGAGTACCTAGTCGCCACCTTCCCTCTTGGCTTTATACCCTCAATAGTATCCACAGATTCTACATTACTGTATACCTTTCTAATAAATTGGTTCAACCTTTTCCAATCAAATCGAATGTGAAATCATGGACTACTCAAAGAAGACCATGAGTAGTCGATGGCTGAATTACAGTGCACAGTGCTATCCAATCTCAATCTACTCTTGAAAAGTTGGCAGTGCAACTATGGCAAAGTATGAGTCGGCAGATCCGTGTAACGATCGGAATCTACCTATTAACTTAAGTCATAACTGCTACTTGTTGCAGAGCACCTAGTCGCCACCCTCCCTCTTGGCTTTATACCCTCAATGGTATCCACAGATTCTACAGTACTGTATACCTATCTAATAAATTGGTTCAACCTTTTCCTATCAAATCGAATGTGAAATCGTGGACTACCAAAAGAAGACCATGAGTAGTCAATGGCCGAATTATAGTGCACAGTACCTTTCTAATAAATTGATTCAACCTTTTCCAATCAAATCGAATGTCAAATCATGGACTGCTAAAAGACGACCATGAGTAGTCAGTGGCCGAATTACAGTGCACAGTACACAGTCAGTACAGTACTGTACACTGTACTGTACAGTACTGTATTGCGTCATAAAATCGGTCGACAAGGCAACTCAGTGTACAGTACACTGTACTGTAAATCTAAGCACAGTAAGAGTGCTAACTTGTGTAAAAATGATGTCGCGACCCCAAACGAACAGCGACATCGCCACCGCCTCAATAACCGGAGGTGTGTAAAAACGACCAGAATAGAACAGATGGACACTGGGCAGTATAGTTACCTGGAACTGGAAGTGATGAGCCTGCTAGGATTACGACATCTTTTTTACACGCATCTGCACCCTACAGTACACATGAAAAAATTGATACAGTACGTACTATACTGTACAGTACTTAGGTATCACCGCTGCACTAACTCGTTCATTCAAATCCAAACCAGCATGGCTGCCGCCTGTGTCAACCGATTACTGCTCTATTCCAAGTCTTACAGGTCGAATAAGCTAATTAAGCAATGGTTTCAAAATTATAACAGTATAAGGCCAATGGCAGGTTTGTTCTACAATCATTTTTATCATTTCTGTTGCAATAGTAGCCTATTCAGTAGTACGATAAGATACAGCTTGTTCTCCTCGCAACAGCTTGGTTTGCAGCTAGATTGCAATAGATTTCAATTTGGTGTTAAACTAACGATAGTTGCATGGATCATCATTGACAGTGATAGCTGAAAATAAGACTGACAACCATCAGAAATCATCAGCACCTCATGATATTCCACCCAGGCGTAGTCGATGTAGCAGATTAAGCTCTTATAATGAAGAATTCAGAGCAACATCGATCATTGATGCTAGCCTCTATACTGGCGATGTAAGTAGACTATCCACCATGGAAGAGCATACAAAACTAGTTGCTTTACAACATTGAGGACCAGACGTTTAATCTTACTAACTACTCAACTATACTGTAGTAGTATAGCTTGCCAATTGTTATATTCAATTTCGACAGCTGCATAAGCTTACTTTCCTGTATTAAGTATTTCACTTGTTAATACATTGCCATTCCTTGCAATAGAACAGTAAATGTGTCAGATAATTGTGTGAGTAAAATTATGATACAATGATGGTATAATATGAACCCTTAGGATCATTTTTTGCTGTTCTGACTAAAAATAGGCATCCTTTGCTGTACTCTAGCTGTAATAAATTTCATCGTGCACGTATGGTAGTTATACATAACTTATACAGCATAGAATGACTATCAATCGATCAATAAAGCCGTTTTGTGTCTTCTAATATGGCTTGTCGTAGTGATTCATCGTTTTAGAACAGCACAGTAATACTGTAATACTACATGGCGTAAAGACCATTTTCCGCAGACTTTTACACACCAGCCCACTTTATGTGCATCATTTTCATCTTGTCAATTTATAGATCGAGCAGGCTTGGTCCTACTTTAATAAATTTCGACGGCTTGATCATACCTTCAAGATCGATGTCTACAATGATATCTTGCAAAGTCTAATCAAACAGGTAATTTATGTTAGTTGCATTGATTACATCGCAAACCTCCCGTAGAGCACGAGTACAGTATTCGACTTACAAGGACTGGTGCAATTCGAATTAGAATAATTATAGCTTAACGCTGTACATATTTATGATAATATTGTTAATGGAAACCCTGGTCTGGCCTAGAATACGAAACTAACCTCTTCTCTATTACGTTTTTGTACATTTAGAAAAATAGATCTAAAATTGAAGCTTTTATTCACTCTATGCAAACCGATGGTGTCCAGTATAATTATGATACTTTTGCAATTTTATTGTTAGACGCTTACATGTAAGACATAATACTTCAGAAAGCAACTAATGTCTTTATGTCTTTACAACAACCAATTGTTGAATGTGTATTTTATCATATTATAACTAACACAGTCAAGAACTTGAATACGAAAATGTCAAGAAAATTATCGATAGTATGACGGCGCAGGTAATACGTTAATTTAGTTTTAAAATTATTAGTGGATAGAATTAGACGGAAGACTGTCGATATTAGATACTTAAATACTACACCACACTATGTCACCATTTTTAGTTCATATTTCTAGTTTTAAAAGTATCTAAGCCGTTTGCTTACCTTCCGTTTGAATTAAATACTTAGCCTAGTATTTCTGATATAATGAATATACCCAGTCCTTCCGCTGTCGTTAATATCTGGAAAAAATACCAATTTTAGGGATTCGATTATAAACGTGTCACCTATGAGTGCTACTTGCCTGCAGAGGATATTGACAAAATAGCTGAGGTAAGTTAATGGTGTTGATCCCTAGAGGAGACATGTTTACTGAGGCAAAGTACAACACCTGTATCATACACCATTTTTTCGTAGATTGTTATTAAAATTCGTGTCTTTAAACGTCTTAATTTTGTATACAGTGGGAAAACACAGGTTAGCTAACATTGATTTCACTCTAGGTATTGGAATTCTATGACTTATCACAACATATTAAATCAAAGAGCGTTTTGGAGGAGCATCCTAAATTGTGTGATTTTTCAAATCCTTTAACTACTGCTGGCGATGTAAGCTAATGGATATGGCTACAAGCAAGCACGAGTTTTATGAGATGTAATTCTTGTCCATTAATTTCCCTCAGTAATGCTAATGCTTTTTAAATTGTAATAGATTCCGAAGCATTCCGTGCTATTCGATTACAGCAATGACGATATCAAGACATTAGTAGATAAGCAATTGGAACGAGAAAAAATTGGCTATACAGAAATAAAATCTGTAACCAAAACAAGAGAATCGGATGAATGGGCATACGCTCAAGTGAGCAATATATTCATTGCTAGCTTATTGATAACCGAATGGTATTTCTTGTATGCCTAACAAGATTTAGTGCAATAAATTCTCGTTCGTCGATAGAAGTAATCTTCAATACTATAGCATTAATTGGTAATACTGGAATTTAATGTTTCGTTATTCTTAATAGTTTAACAAATTAATGAATACCTGGAAGGCTGACTTAATTGCTGCTTTAGAAAATGAGCTACAACTAGTCAAAAGCGGGAACAAAGGTAAAACCAACTATGTTTCCAAATAATCAGATAAATATTTCTTATATATTGTGTAAACTAAATTGGTTGCTATGATCGATCTCTTATATGCTCTAATATTACTATTCATACTTTTGTACTAGAAACTCATCGCAAGCGATATGGCCCGTTTTTAAATATCCTCTCCACATCCCAATGTGCTGATATTACACTTAATGTAAGTAAAACGGGAGATATGAAAGCAAGCCTGGCGCGATTTTACATACGTATGACAAGCAAATTCCTTTTATTTTGTATAAATATTTTAATAGGTGTCAATATTGTTTCAATTTTGCAGACTTTTCGAAACTGTATGAATTCTTCTTATGGTAATGCCTTAAATTTTCTGTGTAAAGAGATTGGAGGAAATATTCTGCGTCTGTATTTAATTAAAAGAAAAGAAGAGTATGGTGGCATCGATAAGGTAACTATTGTAGTTATATGATATGCCTAGATTATTAAGGTACTAACACAAATAATATCAGGTTAGAGATCTGTATCCAGCTTATGTCAAGAATATCTTCCAAGGAAAGAAGAACATACAACATAGCAGTCTTGATTACTGGGAAAAACTAATTGAAGACAGTAATAGTGGCCCTTCTATGGTTAGATCTAAAACCCATATATTACTGGAATCGAACTAATAGAATTTAACGTTCCTTCGATCACTTTCGATATTCTTAGATAACAAGGCTACCAATATGGCCACAATCTGTTAAAGCATCGGTAAGTCACTTAAAATTGTTAAAATAACAATTTCAATACCTACTTCATCCTTAAATATCTCGTCTTCAGCTTGGATCTGCGATAGTAGAAATATTTCTTCGAGTGGCCAAAGTTAACGTTAACCTCATGAAAGAAAAGGCAGAGTACGGTCTAATTTGTTATTAATAACCTATTTATGAAATGTAAGCCATTCATCTACAATCTGAATTGAGTTCTGTTTCCGATCTTATAGAGAGAAATTTATTCCTGCATTTTATCATGTGTATGTATTTCAAAAGCAGCGTCAAGTTGGATTTATCAAGGTAATCTTCTAGGTCGCGATAATACTACAATTGAAATGATCACTTACTTTTGAAGTAACTGTCGACTCTAATTTACTCTAGCCTCATCCCAACGTTATGAAACTAGTACAAAAATTGCAACAATTTGGGGCAAGTCTAATTTAGCAAACTACCATATTTATCTAGTGCTTCGATTTTAATACAAAAATATAACAATAGGGAAAATTCTTAATGGAAACTAGTATGCTTCCTATGCTAGTACCTAGTAGACCATGGTTATGTCACCATGATGGTGGCTATGTAGCTACGCCAGGTAAAGTGTTTATCGAAGGTTTGGTCTTTACATGTTGGAATAATCATTTTTTTTCGAAAATTGATACCACATAGCGCCGATTATGCGTTATCGAGAAGATTGCTTCGATCAAGATGTTTTACTAGCCAAAAGTTCACGAAAATTAAGATCTATTTATGATAGCATTAACTATCTTGGATCTTGCCCTTGGAAGGTTAACAAACGGGTAAGGCGCTTTATGCTAAGAAGAATATTACAGCTATTTTTGGTGACAAAATTGTTCGTACTTCTTTATACTTAGGTTCTAGATAAATGTATCGAATGCTTCAATGAAACTGGTAGTGATATATTAGATATACCTGACCCAAGGCTAATTCCAATGCCGCCATATCCTGTTGAGTGAGTAGAATCTACAATGAAGAATTATTTTGTCGATATCCGTTAGCTAATTCTTTGCACTATCTGAATGCTCAATGATTTATTCAGAATGATAACCATTGATCCATGAGGTAGCAATGTTATTTTGCAAATTTAATTTTACAATATTCATTGAAACTTACCACTTTGCAAACTATTTTTTAATTGATGTAGTCCCGACATTGAGCCACAAGAGAAACGCAGAATAATTGAATTACGACGTCAAGTTGCAAAGAAACAAAGGGAACATCATTCTCTTAGAATGGATGTTTTATATAAGTTATCTGTGGCTAAGCATGTGAGTGTTATAGCAGCTGTACATTTGCATAGATTGTTAATTCCCATATGCCATTAATGCAGTTATACGAACATAGTTTGTGCTACGAATACTGACTTGTAGTTTAATTTTCACGTTCTAGTTTGAAAATGACATATTTTGGTTACCTCACAACATGGACTTTCGTGGTCGTGTCTACCCAATTCCACCACATTTAAGTCATGTCGGTAAGTTACTATTGCAGATTTAATAATCTTATTGCGCCAAGTGTAGATTGCATTCAAGCATCACAAATCTTTCACCTTACTTATAACATTCCGGGAAACAATAGGAAGTGATCTATCACGCAGCCTAATGTTATTTGCTATTGGGCGACCCCTGGGTACCGAAGGCTTCGATTGGATAAAAGTTCACTTAGCTAATGTTCATGGTCAAATGAGCAAGTTAGTAGTATATCTCCATTCATCAACAATTAATTATTGTTAAAATTACATCCAAAAATGCGATAAAGTTTCATTACTTTTTAAAAACTTAGAGCATCTTTAACCGATCGTATTAACTTTACCGAGTCACTGAAAAATGAAATTTTAGATTCTGCCGATAATCCTTTCACGGTAAACAATTATTTGTTTTGCATGGAATGAATGCATTGTAACTGTCATCATCCGATAACAGTAAGTAATAAAATTGCTACTGATAATGATTTTACCGCTAGGGTGATAAGTGGTGGCAAACTGGAGAACATCCTTGGCAAACATTGGCTACATGTATGGAATTGGCAGATGTTTGGAGATGTGATAACCCAGAACAGTATATATCTTATTTCCCCGTTCATCAAGTAACCAAAAGTTTTACAATAGTTCTTTTGAATTATACAGCAAATTTTCATGCTTATATTTAGCACGGTTAATGTTTCAGGACGGTACTTGCAATGGTCTTCAACATTACGCTGCGTTAGGAAGAGATACATTAGGTGCCGAACAGGTAACATTTCCGTTATTATAAGATTTTTACTCGCCTTACCGGCTAATTGATCAAATCTTACTTATAGGTTAACTTGGTATCAAGAGGTATTCCTCAAGACATATATTCCGCTGTGGCAAGATTGGTCCGTTTCTATCGTTCTCGGAAATATGCCTTACTGAATTAATAATTAAGACGTTAATTGTGTAAATTTTATAGGTTGAAGAACACCGTGCAAAAGATGCAAAGAAAAATAATTTCAACGCTCTGTGGTTAGAAGGAAAAGTTTCTAGGAAGGTTGCCATAAGAAAATTAAAAATTTAAACATATCTATTGTAGAACTTAGTACAATACCGCTGTTAATATTTATCGCATAAGATTGATAGCTAATGTTTCATGTACTCATTAGGTTGTGAAACAAACTGTAATGACTATTGTTTATGGGGTAACAAGAGTTGGCGGAAGGGAACAAATTGCGGTAAAGATAAGATATGCGCAATTAATTTTATTGATATTAAAAGAACGCCCATATCGCAACCTAATATTCTGTAATATTGTTATAGCGACAACTTGAAAGACTACAAGAATTAGAAAATGAGGAAAGAATTTTCACTGCATCGCAATACCTTGTACGAATTGTTTTTGATCAGCTTAGCAAGATGTTTTATTCCGCTAGACGAATACAGGTAGAAAATATTCAAAGTATGGGTACTAATTGTAATTACTTCTGAACTATCCGGATATATCACTGTGCTGTTTTGTGATATTTTATAAGGAATGGCTAAATGATAGTGCGCGCCAGATAGCGTCAGCAGGTAGCTTAGTAGAGTGGATAACGCCACTTGGACTACCAGTACTACAACCGTATAGAGTTCCTGTTTATAAAGAGGTACACTTTAATCGCGTAGATGTGTATACATATGTTGCATGTATATAAAAAATTCATTTAATAAGTGCGGAGTTAGCTCTAGAATAATTTCTTTTTTTTATAAAGTGACTTTCGAGTTCCTATAGCTACTACTTTGTGTTAAGTGCAATAAAATCTAAAATGCGCTTCAAGTTATTCGACCCAAGATACCAATAAATTTTAATTATGATATTACTATACTATGACTATACAGTACCTGTAAATATATCGTGATCAATTGACAAAATCTACTTTGTTAATTATTCCGCTGTATTAATATCAACTGTTTTATGTTGTAGCAACGGACTAGATTGCAAAGGATAAATCTTATATCGACAACAGACAATACTAGGTATAATTACATATATATTGATTTGTTCAGTTACTTGTACGGTTATTTCCTAAGTCGATTCAAAAATTACATGATTAATTGATTGATATTGATCAGCATATTTTCGATAATTTCAGTAAACCTCACGTTTCTAAGCAAAAGATGGCATTTCCACCCAATTATATACATTCTTTAGATTCAACGCATATGATGCTAACAAGCCTAGAGTGCCAAGCGTAAATAGTCTCGCTTCTTTTGACTTAGTGGATTGTTGAATTATTGTCGGTAAATGAAGTAAATGTACTTTTTAATGAATTTTACAGATCTGATACTACTTTTGTTGCCGTTCATGATAGCTTTTGGACTCACGCTGCAACTGTAAATGAGCTAAATAGGGTTCGTTGAGACTAATCTTCATATTTATGTCTGTGTGGAATGCATAACAAATTCTTATAATACTATATATAGATTTGTCGTAAGCAGTTCATCAAACTTCACCAGGAGCCTCTGTTAGAAGACTTGGAGAAATTTTTGTGCGCCAAGTTCGATGGACAACTGTAAGGTTTTACAGAAAACTTTGATTAATTAAATTCTATACCACGACTAAACATTAGCTTATTCATTGACTTACATTATAGAACTAAGAATAAAAGCCGCGTAAAATTTGGCAGAATGCCAGAAAAAGGTGAGATTGTAATTACGATTCTAAACGTAAAATATTTACGTTTAGAGGGAATCCTGTTGATAACAAAAACGTTATTTTAATGCAAGTAGAAGAATGGTTGAGTAGATCAATGTTATAATGCGGTCTTCATTTCTAATAATGATAGGATCGTTCGATTTGAATGAAATTAACAACTCAAGATATTTCTTTAGCTAAAAATTCTTATCGAATTCATCATAACCTTATTTGAAGGATGAGATATAATCACGGCCAAATTTTAGATGACAATTTACTGCCTTTAATGATTAAATTAGAATCCAATTATATTCGATTATTGGCAATGAGTGCAACCGACGTTGAAACCAATTTAATATTACAAACGAAGCTCGCTGTTTTATGCATTTCATATTTTCGCATTGAATGACAATTGACGTAGAAGCTCAAGGCTGTTGTATTTACAGCAATCTTGTGATATATGATTTAAATCATCAAGTATTATAATGTGCCATTTATATCATAATGAGAGCAATTGTAGATTTATTGCCGTGATATTTTAGACTAGATATTGTCGAACACCCTAAAGCTTACATAATTAATTTAATATTCAAATTGCTAGTTATTATATGGATTATTTTAAATTTATTTATTTTTTATATTTTTTAGTAGTTTCTGATATATCATTCATTGATGGTAAAATTATAAATTTAACATCACGTGGAAAGTGCAGTGTAATAACAAGTATATGAAAGGGTCGTAACAGCTCATTAAACTGCTATAAGTTAATGCAAAGATACCTATCCAAGTAATATATATATAGTATATATATATATTAATTTAAATTATTATACTATATCATATTAATACAATTATTTTGCAAATCGATTTTCAGATAGGTGCACCTAAAATGTTTTTGTTTCTAAATTTAAAAATACTTTATCATTAGCTGTTTATCATATCAATATTTTGTACTAGACCTACTACGAAACTTGAGATCCGTATATGTATATTAATAGAAGTGCTATCCTAAGATTGTATTTCCTGGTAATTATAGCTAGCAAAAGTATTAAATACAATCGTTGTTTTAGTAAACGGTGAATGCAGAGCGTATTTACGTAGTTTCAACGCGGCCAGTAATTTAAATTCTCATCATTGTAATCTAGTTTATTCGCGATTTATTTTAACTGCGAGTAATGATTTGTATAGCAATGCTCAAATGCTTATAGAATAAAATATTATGTTTTAAGACTTGTAAAGTGAATTGAAATTTTAGTTGACTATTCGTCTACTTGGAGCGCATAAATCTGTTCGTGTTCTATTCAAACCCATTCTGGAATCATTTAACTTCAAATCCAGTATATAAATGCCTATTATTGCTAATTATAATATGTAAATACTGTAGAAGCGTCTACTAACTTCTCCATCAGTTTTAGATATATCAAAAATCCGTTATAAACAGAATTATTTTCCCTGCATTCCAGTTTAAGTGACCATGCAGTAGTTACAACCTAAAAATTAATGACCAATCATCTCGTAATGCTATGTATGTAGATTACGTTTTAATGAACTAACTTGACTCTATAGGTATACTGTATTTCATGATTTATTAAGCATGACATTGTAATAAAGTGCAATCTTACTAAACGAAATTAATAAACTCTAATATTACACAATGATGATTTCTTTATTCAAGGGGTGATAACAACAGACGTTTTATTACTCGATTTCAGTTTATATCTTTCACATTTTAGGTCTATTAACAATTTACACCTAACGTGCATGTATATTAATCTACACTTTACATTGTATTCAAATATTTAATGTACGAAATAATCCATGGCGGCGTTACTGATAGCTTCCGACAATACTGTAACTTTCGTACGATAAGAGCTATTTGTAAAAAAATGAATGTTCCACAGTATACTGATATATAGATCAAATTTTTCGAGGACATATAGAAAACTGTTAAACTTCGCGTACGATCCTTCATGCCGAATTACGATTGCTTTTAATTTCTATTCGTAGCCAATATAACGCTTTCAAAGAAATGGCAAATTTATGTAATAAAACCTGTTTGAACAGAATTCTTAGGGCCTACAGTTACGATTATCAAAGTAGTAATAATATTATATTTATGCAAATGTTATTATCTATTACCTAGAGCACTGCAATAAGTTCAATGCCTAACATAGGTGTTAAATAGCCATTTTTTATCACTAGCGTCAATAGTAACTTAGCAATGTTCCGAGCATTTGCAACCTAGCCATGTATTTTCATAAGCTGAAGTTTACAGCATACGGACGGATATCTAAGTTCACTTATATATCTTAATTTAATATTTGATAATCCGCTGAACACTACACTTAACATAGCAATTGATCTAAAATTTAATTTTTCGCTCTTTGAAATGCTATACAACATTAAGGCTGATTTTATCCAGTTTTACTACAAAGATTTAATTCACGATAGTAGATCCATTATAAATCAGCTCGATCGTCTTAGAATAGATGAACTGATTCTACACATGATGGTAGTAAATAGATTTTAGCTCCTTAAGGTCGTAAACTACGAAACTTAAAACTAAAGTTGTTAAAATAAAACAATTAGTAACACACAACTACTGTAATTATCTGAAATCACTACGACACTATTTTTCATCATATATCAACTTTTATCAGTTCACTACTCTCATCCAAATGTACTGAGTACATCACTATTTAACTGCTCAACGATAGATTCCACGTCTTTCCTTAACTGTGGACTTGCATGTTGGCTTAGTACTATTTGAAGAGCATCGTACTCGGGAATACCTCCATGCTGCTTGATGATAGGTAAAACTGTATCGAAAAGGCTATTTAAACCAATATCAGATTGATCCATGTATAACTCTTTTAGTGATCGACGAGGTATCAGCAACAACCGATGGATATTATCAATTGTATCTTGGCTAAGTTCATCGAATCGAGATATATCTCGAGCAATGTCTTGTTGATTTAGAAAAGCCTGAGAATAACGAATTTTGTTAGGAAATTCAACTTTATAGCATGGCAAGTTATAGTTTTGACAACACCTTTTAATAATACAATCTAGAGCATTTTTTTCGTATTCTTCGGCTGTAGGATTCGTGTTCTTGATATATTGATGCTTAAACTTCCATTGTAAAGCCATATGACTATCTGGCTTAGGAATACTATGACAAAATATAGCTATACCATTGTCAGACAAGATATCGTTGGCTAAGGAACGGAAAATTTGTTGAAAGCTATCTTCGGGTACACTCTCGTCAAATACGTAATACAAGCAATGGCATATAAACGCCATGGAAAATGTTTTTCTCTCTGCTTCGGCATGATCACTATTCCAAGCTAATAAATTAAGTAGGTTATCCTTGAATGAATTGCCTCTTTTAATGGAAAATGATTTTATTGGCATGGTTTGAGAGCTTATGGCTTGTAGAAAGGCTTTAACAGCTAATCCTGCATTATTTGTAATCTCGTTTAATTCTTTGGTAGCTGCAGTACTTTCATCGTTATTACAAGCTGCAAATTGATAGTCATTTTGGCCAGTAAACGTGGTATTAATATCCGTTGCTCTAATGTCAAAGCCTGATTTGAAATGGAGGCCACGAAAGTACCCAATCGTTCTTTCACCAGGCCCACAACCAATTTCAGCTAATTTAATCGTCTGATCACCTTTGAATAAAATTGATTTTTCTTCGAATGCCTTGAGTAATAGCTCTATACCTTGCACGTTATTTCTGGAATATCACTACTACGTTCATAGGATAAAAGACTTAAGTCGTAATGGTAATTTTCAATATCCATTCTTGCAGTCCTAATCGATCATAAATATATATATATATATGTAACAAGTTCTCGAGCAAATGTAAAGACAGCGTATTAGCAAATTAGCAAGAAAATTGATCGGATTTACGACAAGGAAATGGAACCTAATTTGATCTCCTAAATAGACAGTGTAGTTGATGTCATACTGTATTCAAGCTTATTACGATACTATTTGTATTCAAGTTGTCTTGAATGGATGCAAGGTTAAGAACGTGACTGAACACTAATTATATTATTCGTGGATTAATGGCATTAAACAAACTTTTGGCTTGTAAAAAGTATTCTTGTAGCGAAACTTAGTGTTGTGATTGTAGACTTTTAGCTATTTTAGTAAGATGTTCGGAAGCGCAACTTTTATATTTATCTTAAGACGTATTTGGTAGCTCGCTACTATGGACTTTAATGGTCGATTCTATGCTACAGTACAGGTGACTATATATAGTAAGGTAATGAGTTACTATTAATTAAGACTAGAGGTAAAAATAGAACTGTAATTCATTATATTAACCGTTCGTTGAAATAACTAAATGCAAGGCAAGATGAGCAATAAAGAAATACTGGTAGGCACCCGTGCCACACTTTTACCAGGCATATAGAAGAACTTGGAGTCGAAGCATGAATACTAGTCCTAGCCTTTTTGCATGAATTACTTTGTACACTTCGTTTAACCCTTAAAATTTTCGTTTATGTACTATTGCTTTCTAATAGGCACTGATATTCGTGTCGATCACTTTTAAGTCATCAATGGTTTCTACTCTAACAAACAAGCATCTGATATCAATGGCTGGATACTTATAGTACAAGATATCTTCAATTAAGGCGTATACCTCTAGATCGCGTAACGGTCTACTAACAGTTCAGAGATTATACAGTTAGATGGTATAACATATTGACAGAAAAAAATTTTCATCGATTTACTGCTGCTTTCAATAGACACTACGGTATGTTCAAGTGGATCATTTTTGAGTTATCAATTAATTATTTTTACTTTCAAAATTTAGCATCTGACATCAATAGTTGGATAAAATATAAGATATCTTATTTATAATTGGCAAAGCTAATCTATCACTACCTGCAATATACGTATAGTCCACTAACTCCAGCTGAGGATTAATTACGCATCGAACAACTGTTTGAATTCTTGCTAGATAGGGTATCTTTTCATCTAGAGAAACTCTTACCACCAATATAAAACTGCTTGGAAGAATTTTAAGCTGTACATCCCTTTGTGAATCGAGCTATTCCCTTTCTTTATTTTTTAATTACAACTTGCCCTAGGGGGTTTAAAGCCTATAGAATCTCTAAAAGGGAGGAACTATTCTATTTTGTATTGAATTACAATATTGCTGATTAAAATAGTAGCCTTAAGGTTTCTTCAAAGTCTTGGCGGAATGTGAACACAGTGAATGACTGACACTGTACTAAGAGATTTTAGTTCAATTTTTTTATTTTTAACCTTACAATTATCAAATTCTACGTGAGTTAGTGCTTGGGTAGGCGGCGACGTTATTGTTCAACTGCAGTGTCACATGACGAGTGAATTAAAATAAAACTAATTAGTATCAATTAGCATAGCGTACAGAGTCTAGGATCAGAATTATAACAATATTAACATCGCAGAATAAAGAATTATTAAATTTGATATTTTCCATTATTTAAAAATGTCTGCCAAATGGCTTTGCTTTATTTACTTGAAGCATTGGATGACTCAAACAATCAATCCCTGTTTCTTTAGTTGCTTTACTAATTCTAAGTTAAAGACATTGAACCATTCACCCTATAAAGATCATCATGCCATGTAACTATGAAGTCGTCTACACATAAATAAAATCTACTGCCTTATCCGTGCACGGTAGAAGTGATACTTCAGGAGTAATAGCTAGTTAATAAAATAGTCAATAACCCAGATAGATAATTTTAAAATTATCACAGCTACTATCGATCAAGTAATACGATATCTAGCATACTGTATATAATATAGATTAATTATATATATATTTATATATATAACATATAGATACATACTGTATATTCATTATAGGTAGCAAAACTGTTCAATGCAATCGTTATTTTAATAGACGATGTATGAAGAGCGTAATAATGTAGATTGAAGGTGGCCAGTAATTTGATGTTTAATCATTATAACCTAATCTATTCGCGATTTATTTTAAATTGCAAGGAATGATTTGTATAGCTAAGCTAAAATACTTGTAAAACAAATAGGATATTTAAAGACTTGTAAAGTGAATTAGAATTCAGTCCATTAATTCGTAAACTTGGAGGGCGTAAATCTGGTCGAGTTCTATTCAATTTCGTTCTGGAATCATTGAACTCCAAATCCATTATATAAATACCTATTATTGCTAATTATAATCTTATGAGTAGACACGTATCTACTACCTCCTCCATCAATTTTAGATATATCAAAAACCCGTTACTTACAGAATTAATTACATTATCATCTCTGTATTCCAGGTGAAGTGACTATATTGTAGTGACAAGCTGAAAATCAAGAACCGATTATCTCGTAACGCTATATACTAAACGAGACTAATAAGCTTAGATATTCTGCTATGATCATAGAGGCTTGACGATAGTTTCGTTAATAGAATTATTTTATGACGTTAATAAGTGATTTAGTTATAAAATCTTAACAGCTATAATTGTTTCTATACAACGGGATTCTACTCCAGTCTAGTTTCCTAAATTCTTCTTACTTGAGTTTAGACCACTTCTCCTTTTATAGGGGTGACAACAGCAAATCATTTTGTTACTCGATTACAATTTATATTTTTCACATTTTAGGTCTAATAACAATTTACACCTAAGATGCAGGTACGCTAATCTGCATATTACTCACAATAACTAATGTCAAGATATGATTGCTCTTCGCCTTTATTCGTGGTCAAATACAACACATAGAAAGTATTGGTGAATTTATGTAAAGCAACCTGTTTGAACAAAATTCTTAGGGCCTACAGTTACGATTATCAAAGTAGTAATGTATTAATTTTACATTTATGCAAATGTTATTATCCATTACCAAGAGCACTGCAATAAGTTCAATGCCTAACATAGGTGTTAAATAGCCATTTTTTATCACTAGCGTCAATAGTAACTTAGCAGTATTCCAAGCATCTGTAACGTAGCAGCGTATCTTCGTATGCTGAAGTTTACAGCATACGTACATACAATTTCACTTTATACCTTAATATTTGATAATCTACTGAACACTACACTTAACATAGCAATTGATCTAAAATTTAATTTTTCGCTCTTTGAAATGCTATACAACATTAAGGCTGATTTTATCCAGTTTTACTACAAAGATTTAATTCACGATAGTAGATCCATTATAAATCAGCTCGATCGTCTTAGAATAGATGAACTGATTCTACACATGGTGGTAGTAAATAGATTTTAGCTCCTTAAGGTCGTAAACTACGAAACTTAAAACTAAAGTAGTTAAAATAAAACAATTAGTAACACATAACTACTGTAATTATCTGAAATCACTACGACACTATCTTTCATCTTACATCAACACTTGTCAGTTCACTACTCTCATCCAAATGTACTGAGTACATCACTATTTAACTGCTCAACGATAGATTCCACGTCTTTCCTTAACTGTGGACTTGCATGTTGGCTTAGTACTATTTGAAGAGCATCGTACTCGGGAATGCCTCCATGCTGCTTGATGATAGGTAAAACTGTATCGAAAAGGCTATTTAAACCAATATCAGATTGATCCATGTATAACTCTTTTAGTGATCGACGAGGTATCAGCAGCAATCTTTGGATATTATCAATTGTATCTTGGCTAAGTTCATCGTATCGAGATATATCTCGAGCAATGTCTTGTTGGTTTAGAAAAGCCTGAGAAAAGTAAATTTTGGTAGGAAATTCGACTTTATAGCATGGCAAGTTATAGTTTTGACAACACCTTTTAATAATACAATCTAGAGCATTTTTTTCGTATTCTTCGGTAGTAGGATTCGTGTTCGTGATATATTGATTTTTAAACTTCCATTGTAAAGCCATACAACTATCTGGCTTAGGAATACTATGACAAAATATAGCTATACCATTGTCAGACAAGATATCGTTGGCTAAGGAACGGAAAATTTGTTGAAAGCTATCTTCGGGTACACTCTCGTCAAATACGTAATACAAGCAATGGCATATAAACGCCATGGAAAATGTTTTTCTCTCTGCTTCGGCATGATCACTATTCCAAGCTAATAAATTAAGTAGGTTATCCTTGAATGAATTGCCTCTTTTAATGGAAAATGATTTTATTGGCATGGTTTGAGAGCTTATGGCTTGTAGAAAGGCTTTAACAGCTAATCCTGCATTATTTGTAATCTCGTTTAATTCTTTGGTAGCTGCAGTACTTCCATCGTTATTACAAGCTGCAAATTGATAGTCATTTTGGCCAGTAAACGTGGTATTAATATCCGTTGCTCTAATGTCAAAGCCTGATTTGAAATGGAGGCCACGAAAGTACCCAATCGTTCTTTCACCAGGCCCACAACCAATTTCAGCTAATTTAATCGTCTGATCACCTTTGAATAAAATTGATTTTTCTTCGAATGCTTTGAGTAATAACTGCATTACCTTCCACGTTATTTCTGGAATATTACTGTTACGTTCGAAGGATAAAAAACTTACGTCGTAATGGTAATTTTCAATATCCATTTTGTAGTCCTACTCGATAAAATATTCAATTGCCTTTTATAAGTTGTTGAAATGGAAAAACCAATTCTCCAATCAATTGGTACAAGTTTTAAACAACACAGTTAGTAAGGAGGTTGATCGGATTGACGATCAATAAATGGGATAAATCTGTTTTAATCTTCTCGATAGACAGTGTAGTCGATGTCATACTGTGTTGACAGCTGGAATGCACGTTGTGCTGTCAGCTGTTATGTATGTAAGAATACAGTGACTTGTTGTACTGCACCTAAACGTGTTAGCATAAGATAAGGTAATGAATTACTAAGATAAGGGTATAATACGCCATTACAGCTATACTATTTAAATGCAGTAAATCCTAAATAAAAGGGATTTTTTCAGTAAGCTTACTAGTAGGAGTGTATCAAAGTTCCTCGTGTTAACGTTAACGACTAAGAGTGGAAACACAACGTCAGCCAAGTTGTACGACAGGGCTGTCGATAAAACAAGTGGCAAAGTACTACGCGAGATATGCAAGGTGAAAAGTCATTTATTGCCCCGTGTTACCCTCGTGCATTAAATCATACAATATTACATATATATGTAGACATGATTAGTATCAATATCGTTACAATCTTTATCTTGCCATTGACAACGGCACTGCTTGTATTTATTATTTAATAACTTGTCTTGAATGAATGCGAGATTGATAGCGTGATTCATCACGAATTAACTAATTTATATTGAATCAATCTTATCTTACCATAGACAACTGTACTCTTTGTATTCAATATTAATAATACTGTATGTTTTAAATAAATGCAAGATTGATAACGTGATTCAACGCTAATTAATGAATTACTTGTGGATTAATTAATTTATATGTATTGAATTAACTTTTGGCTTGTACGCATGATAGGTACTGGTACGCCTGCTGCTTGCACGGTACCTTGGTTGGGTAGAACAAAATTCGTACGGGTTGCAATCCCTAGTTGTGAACATTTTGCACTATTTCTACAACGGTATTTTCTGCTTCAAAAACGTGTCATGTCTAGTACTGAATACACACAAAAAAGCTCCCATTCTCCGTTTGGACATAATTATATGATAAAATAATCTACTTTCATTTTATGTCATGATATACAGTAGTTAGAGGGGACAGTATCTAAAATATTGACCCGAAAAAATTTCTCGTTGATGCACTACTACTTTTGTATCTGACAAAATGTACCTAGTAAATGATTTATGAATGATGCATTGTTTCTACCCTTACAAATTAGTACATGACATCAATATTTGGATGAAAGTACGAGATATCTTCAATCAGTAAAGCTAATTATAATCATCTTTTACTACCTACTTCGTATCGGTATACACGTAGTCCAGATGCGGATTAATTTCGTGTCGAATGACCTTTTAAGTTGTCGAAAGACAAACTTCACTACCAGTTGATGTGTCTTGTAATTTATAGTACAATACTGAACATGCACAAACAATACGAGTATTATGATGGATCTAGAGATTGGCAGGTGATACTTTGCATAAAATACAGCTTACGCTTTGCTACTAGTTAATTAATTGAATTTATTGAAACTTGAACTATACGATGAACATACGTTACCATGCACAGCGAGATTAAATTCGATGGCACAGCAGAAAAATAAAATGGTGTATGTAAAATTAAGCCTAAATTGAGTAAAACTATTGTGTGATACTTGTACATCTAACTTTTATATAGAATTATTAGCATATCATAACTTTGGTTCATCACCCGATTTTGCCCTTGAAATTAATCTCGCGGTACGGTATACTGTTAGGGTTTCGAAGTTGGGAGGTTCAAAAAATTTCTTTTTATAGTTGTTTGGCCGTTTTAAATTCGGCGAAGACCGTCAATACTACTTAATGCTGGCTGATTCTGGAGGTGGGCATAATATTTTTCCCTTTCCATCCATTTTCAAACCTTTTTGTTCTCCTGTGATGTATATTATAAGCAATTCCACTATACACCAATGTATATTTACTTAGACGTTCAAGCTTATTTGTACTATGGTCTAAATATTAACCAGATTGCAGAAAAGGTCAAACGAGTACAGTATAAGTAATTCCACTATACACGAATGTATATTTACTGTTCAAGATTGTTTGTACTGTACGAAGGTCTAAATATTGACCAGATTGCAGAAAAGGTTATACGCACACTCACACCATATTATACTGTACAGTAGTTAGCATGGCAGCCAGTATGTGCTCAATGTTTATTTAGATCTCGGGATATAAAATTGATATTGGGGAGGGTTACCGGCTGTTGGACAATTGGAAAGTTAAGGTGGTAGGTACGTATAACATAATCGACTTGATCCACAATTTGTTGCTGCACTCCCCTTGACGAATCGAAGCACGGCCGTAGCTAGAAGCATTCCTTTCTTTTTTGAACTAATTTCAACAACTTGTATTAGATTCGAGTGAAGGTTGCAGTTTTTTGAAAGTCTTGTGGTATGCGCTTCTATTTAGTGAATGAGAATAACTTCATGCAAGGACTACCAGAATAGATTGTCACCTATCTCATTCGTTTTCAGTAATTTGTAGTAAAAAGTGAATCAATATTCCCTTCATGGGCTACATATTATAGCCACTTTAAAATCGACTTGTGTTAGCATGATTGACTGTTAATTTGTTGCTTCCATTTAATTATTTCCAAGTGCCTGCTAGTGGCTTTACTGTATTTTGCTTGAAGCTCATGTGCGGTAGATTTTCATGATGACTATCATTCCCTGGCTAAAAAATGAAATCCTATTTCTTTAGTTACCTTAATAATTCAAGTTGAAAAATACAGTACAACTGTAAGTGGCAGAGACAGCCGACAATAGCGCTACTACTTATTCAAGATTATCATACCTTTTGAATTTGAATTAGTATACGCGTGAATAAAGTTGAAAATCTATTGCGTTGTGAGGGTAGAAGTCACGCTGTACAAGTGATAAATAAAAAAAAAATATAGTACTAGGAAATGAATTTATAAATATCATTACTTCTAAAATCGATCATATTTGACGATAATTGGTCTAGCCAAGTTGCTGAAATGATTATGTGGGTATGGGAATTGGTAAAAGAATTACAGACTACAGTAAAAGCATCTACCTTCGATTTTGCTGTAATACTGTCTCAAGGCTATTCAAGTTAATGTCGTGTTCACTTGGTAATTATACTAACTAAAAAAGGTTTACTTACCTCTTCAATAACAATAAACGAGTTACAGTAGCCGAAACTGCGTTCAGACTCGATCAACTACCGATTAAGACTGTTGCAAAAGCTAAATTTGTAGTAAATTTATGGCATTTGAAAGCCAAAGTATTGGTCCATCAATTAATTGCAATTGCACGCATCCAACCAATTTTTATGAAGCTACATAACTTATTTAAATTGCTAAAACTGCATGTTGACCAGGAGTAAATACAACTGAATATTTTATGAAGATATCAGCTTTAAACTAAGCTATGACATTTAGTAGTAGTAGTAGTAGTAGTAGTGTTAATTATTCTTGCATACTACCTTTTTAATAAAGCTGGTTTCGCTGTATATTAAATAATGAAGTATGAGATAATTTTAATTTATGAAATTATTCCAGTAGCTAAGACAATTTTTAACGAAATGACTTTTAAGGTTAACAAATTCAATATTTACTGGCAAACAGGTAAGATCCTTTCATTCAAGCAGAAATACTAAGAAAAATCATACGCTCATCAACTTTTACCCCTTATATATACTCGTATAGAAGTAATTGCTGTGAAATCGTGTACTGTAAATTTCAACGACTACAATATTTTCGTAACTGCACTCTTATTTTTGGAGTTACAGTATAATGCTAAAATATTTTAACATTAATGAAGATAGCATTGCATTAGTTATACTGTTGTTTTGATCAGCATCATACGTCGGTTAGAATTGAACCACTTCTACGTAATACAACTCATTCTGAATACCAGTTATGCAGTGTTCTTTTAGTGTAACTATTTTTATGCGTAAAACTCCAAGAATAACTTTACAGCTAATTAGTTCTCAGCAAAGTCAAAAATGATGCATAAAACTTTTAAGCGCAATTTAGTCGATATCTTCAAGCACCAGTACACCAAATGCTGAAATAAATTAGTAATAAAAATGAACTAGATTTTAAACTATTCTAAATTATTTCACTATAAAACATTTCATTTTAGTAGCTGAACTATGAAGCCTTGCGATAACCTTAAAACTAGTGCCACAAGAAACAGGATTTAAACAACAATGTAATTATTTTCAGCATTATTAAATAAATAAAATGATCAATAAATAATCTGATAAGAAATAATTTTCTTCCAGCACGATGAGTTTCTATTTACAATAATAACTTATCGTAATATACAGTAAGGTAATTCGAGCTTTGTCATAGCTGTGCTACTTTCGCTACGGCGGCTACATAACAAACTTACGTAAATACGATTTCTAAAATTTTTCCAGCCGTATAAACATATACTTTATATTTTAAAACATATAGTCACTTATTGTGCTTCGGGTAAAACCCCAGTAAACTAAAATAGATTCATTCAAGCAATATCTGCGGTGCTACATAGAGCTATCAGTATGAAGCAAATTTCAATAGTCATTAATGCAGCTAAGCCTAATGCAAAATGTCTGCTTCATAAACAAATATTAAGATCGATAATTTAGCATTTAATCGCCTAAGGGTTTTTCAACGCTACTATCGTATCTTCGAATAAGTTCAGCCTGCAGTTAAAATTAAAAATAAACTACGTGAATGCGTTGTAAAATATACTTTGAATGAAGCTCAAAATTATATAATGCGCAATTTGACGATAGTATAGATCTGTCTACGTATCGATACCTACCTGCGAAGTAGCACCATGTTCTTCTTGCGAAAAAGCAAAACCACCTAAAAATTGTTAAACGAGTATTACTTAGTACCGGTATTTCGTGTAAAGCCTTATGCAACTATCTAAACTCTATTGCAATACACACTTTGTGCATTGTATCTAGCGTTACCACCAAAGGCAATTATTGGTAAATGTTTCCTGCAAGATGGTTCAAAAAAGTAATTTAAGTACTTGACATTAGTAATTAACGTTACAAGTACTAACTAATTCTTTGCATGCCAGTACGTACCATATCGTATCCTTGATATCACTACCCTTTAGTCGTGTTTCAATATCACCCTGCGTGAATGAAAATCAAAAAATTACAGAAAATACCCATAATAAAAGATAACAAAAAAGGTAAAATAGTGTTATAATAATCATAAGGGAAATGGTAAAAAAATAAAAGCACTTATCCATTGTTACTAACCTGTCTTTGTTCAAGCTCCTGTACTTCCTGGGTTAAAGTCTTAAAAAATGTTCTTTGAATTCTATTATATTTGTAATTATTTATTGAGATAAGGGCTTCCTTAAAAGTAGGTATACATAATATTGCAATAATTATAATAAGTATGAATTCTATACTTTATCTGATATCATTACGTACATTGCCCAAACGCAATCCCGGAAAAGAGTTATCACAGCAACAATTATCACCGTAAACCAAAATGATGGGCATTTAAACATAATCAATTCCTTAATTCAAGATAAAAAAGTAAACAATTTAGCTTTAAGGAGTCTCTTGAAAAATTAACACACTATCACATAGTGTCTAAAGTACAACATTACGTCTAACTTTATGAATATTTCAAATACCCACCAAACCGGCCATATTTGAACCGATATCAACCGCTGGCCAAAGATTGCAAAACATGAATAGAAACAGGAACCAGCTAATAATACTACCCCAAATGACTAAATGTGTAACCTTCAATTTTAAGAGATTAATATAGTATTGAGTTCGATATACTCTTAATTATCTTTAAATGATAATCAAATAAAAGACTTTACCCAATTCCAATAATCAGTTAAAAGGGCAATCTTTAGATTCACGGTTACAACAACAGCCTATGCCGAAATGAAATGTAATCTATATTAACTAATAATGATTTGTTAAATGTCATGAAATTTCATTACGTACCGTATAAATAACGTTTCCCACAAACCATTCACCAACCACTTTGCCATTAATGAATGGTATTTCTTAATGGTAAAAATCAACATTACGATTATTACAAGATTATTGGATCTACGTCGATAAAATTTTATAAGCGTAATTAACTACTATTCCAGAACTAAGACTTACCATGAGTGAATGCAAGGATGATTAACCAAAATATAACTAAAGTATGGAATACTGCGTTTAGTGTCCAAAGCCAAAAGACCTACATTAAAAGTAACCTTAGAATATGACTTGATTCTAATTAAAATGAAATTTTAATATCTGATTATTCTAACCTTAGTATTGTAAGTATCATTTTTTTGTGTTTCTTTATACAGTTTCGGATATTGTAGAAGACTCTTAGGTGATAACGTTTGATCAAAAATGCCGATAGCGATGGGAGGCAGGGAGGTAAAGATCTATAAATTCAGTTTAATTATTACTGTTATGCGCATTAAGCTTAAGTTGATATTACAAAATAAGCATAAAATTATTATCCATAAATAGTTCATCTCATTGTCTTACAATATTGTAAACAGATATTGTCCATTGATTAAATAGAGTCTGTCCAGAAAATCCATTAACCGTGGCAAACCAAAACTGGCAAAAAATGAACTATTTAATTGGTGAAAACAGCATCATTTATGGAGCTCATTGCTATCCGTTACCTCAATTAAGTAAAGTGTATAATTCTTGTAAAAGCAATATAAAATACATTTGCAGATCCTATTATAGCTCCAATTTCCATGAACAAATAATAATTTACGAAGGAAATGGAATCGTGCGATACTATAGTCAGCAGCACAAACAGCTTGCATTCCTTCTTGACCGCTAATACCAATACCAATGTGGGCGGTCTAACAATAAAAAATATACCTTAGAGGGTGCTATGATATAATAATATAAAACAACATAGCTCTTGAAAACAATTCTTACCTGAATCATACCGACATCATTTGCTCCATCACCGATAGCTAACGTAATAGCCTTCACTTCATTTCTAACGAGTTGGACAACCAAAGATTTTTGTAAAGGAGAAACTCGACAACAAATAATTGACTTACAGGATAATGCAATATCTAAAAAAATATCTTTTAATTCTTTCTCTAACGCAAACTGTAGCGCGTGTCCATCAATAACCAATGCAGTATTGTTATCTTTACGAAGGTTATCACCAAATGCTTGTACATGGTTATATAGCGTAGTCCTTACGCCAGCTAGCGTAGAATCATTCACAATTAGTATTGCCATATCATCGTTTAGAAGGCGACAAGAGTATCCAATGTTGATAGCAGTTTCTTGCTTATCGCCTGTTAAGACCCATAAATTGATGCCAGCCTTCGCTAAAGCTGCGATAGTTTCAGGAACATATTCTTGTAACTTATCTTCTATGGCAGAGGCTCCAATTAGATACAATTCCTTTTCAATCAATTCTGCAGCTTCATCTATCTTGCTGTCTCTGTCTTCCATTGCTGTACTCGCTTGCTTAAACATTTCATTCCATTCACTGAATTGACTTTCTGTGAGCTCTCGCATTCCAAAGCACAAAGTTCGGAGACCATCAACGGCGAATTCTCTTAACTGATCAGAAGTTTGATCTGCGAATGGTGATCCACCAGCATGTAATCTGGCATAAATAACGCTATCAGCGCCTTTACAGTATAATTTTATTTTGCCATCAGGACACCTAACGATAACTGACATTCTTTTTCTAGTACTGTTAAATTCTAGAACGCTCAGTACTTCATAAATTTCTTCCTTTCCCAAGACCCGAATAGTAACTGTATTAGGGGTTCTAGCAGTGAAGGTAAATCCGATATTTCGAGCAGCACATACAATTGCATCTTCATCCGGAGATGCCGCTTGGTAAGTTACGATAGATTTATCTTCATTTTGATAATCAGGTATTACAGTATGACAAATGGCCATCATCGTTAGCATCTCGCGAATTATTGGAGCAATTCCCTGAAAATGTTGATAAATTAAATAACGTTATGAATCAACATTATAAGTTATTGTATACATAACCCATAACTTCATTAAATTAATCAGTGACTGCTACATAATAGATTGGGAACGACTTACAGCAGGTTCTGACAAGTCTTTTAGTAAGTTTGTATCATCAAAGCCATGCCCCTCAATACTTCTGTTAATGTTATAATGTACGAATACATATAATTAATAGCACTGCTAGATATACGTATTTGTTGTCAAGTACAGTATATCGTAATTTACCCATAAACTTTTCCGGCTATTGAACATCTTCGAAATTCCATTACATTGCGAGTTAATGTACCCGTTTTATCGGAGAATACATATTTAACCTAGGATTGAAGAGTTTTCTCAGATTACTATAGTAACTGATGATATGAAATTTGCAACGAATTATTTAAGCAATCAATTAATGAGATGGTTGATATCTCATTATATGACTAACCTGGCCCAATTCTTCATTTAGATTAGATGTTCGAGCTTTTGCAGGAGTATCGGTTTGCTCGTAGTACATGTCTAAATCCCAGCCAATCAGTAGCCCTTGCACGAAGCGCACAATCTGAAATATTATACTTATATTAAAATTAAATTTATTAAATAACTAACTGTAAAAATAATATAATCCTCCATAAACTGACCTCTAGAGTCACAATTAAGCTTATCGGTATCAAATTATTGTACAGAATTACGAAAGTAAGAAAAGCCATGCCAAATTTTGCAGGTTTCAACCCTAAAAAACATCAACCTTTGTTATCTTACTGCAAAATGGCATAGAATGCAAATAAAATTTTTTTCATAGAGCATTTTAATAAAGAATTCATTTCTAAGGACAACCTTCAAATCTTGTTCTCCAAGCAATATGCGCTGGAACAGCTAAAAATTAAAAGGTGACTTATTTATGATAATCTAAATTTACTAATTAAATAAAATAATTATAAGTATTTATTTATTACCACTATAGCCTTCATATACAATAGCACTTAGCAATGACAGTCCAATCAAGAGGAAAAAGAGAAAAATTATCTATCATAAAAAAAATGGCATTAGTTTCTTGACGAAATCAGCTAATATCATATATTCCTAGTAATTACAAGATATTTTGAAGGAAGTGGTGACATAATTGAGGCAGCTTTTACTTTAAGGTCAAAACGTACTTATTCGATATTATTACGTTACCTGATCGTTCGTAACATGCTCCACGTTGGAACGCTTTATCGGCGCCATTGTCGTATTCTAATTGTTCAAATTTGGGGGACAATAATTAATTAGTAATATATTTACGGTATATACGTTTTATTCGAGACTGTAAATATTACTTTAAACAAACATTAGGGAAAAAAAATACCTGCATAAGTTTGGATTCATGTCCAGTGTATATTACAAGACCTATGATGAAGGTAAGAATTAAGCTTATCGCTGACGTAAAGGATTAATATATTAATTATAAACATTATTTATTAGAACAGTAAAGGTAAAAGCAATTAACCGTAAACCCATTGGGTATTTCTTAATTGTGCTCCCCGTAACAAAATTTGATTAGCTCCTATAGGAACTGGTCTACATAAAGATTAAATAAAAGCCCAGAATTACAATAACAAGCAAAGATACATTACTAAACTTGATAACTACCATCGAATGCAAACTAACTCTTGTCCTTGTATGGATAAGTTGCCAACAAATCTGTACAAGCGGTTATTTGGACCTTCACATTCAACGTATCCCTACAAATTTATAAGAATATCCAGTATATAAATTACAACTTAGTGGTTAGAATGGGCAAATTACTAATCGAAAAATAACCGGTTTCTACAGTTGTCAATCGAAAAGTGCAAACCTGGAGATCTTGCAAGTCATGTATGGAATTTTTAGAGGCCGTTTCTGGTAGCGCCTAGCAAATTAATAGCTTTCTTTAAACTTGGCTTCTAATGTAAGCGTATAGGGTATAATTTGATTCATACATATTCACAAAATATTTTTACCTGGCGAATTTTTAAGTTTGTTTCACCATCAAGGTTTGCTGTCTGAATGTAGCACATTCCTTGTGGTTCACTGAAATTTATAAAAACTATTTTTAGGGCTGATTACAAGACTCCATGAAGTGGGCGTTTATCATATATGTATGGTATGAATTACCTTTACTAATCTAAACAGATTGTAGATTAGTTATCAATACCTACCTCGAAGATAACAAAATTAAATCTGATGGAAAGAGTTGGCAGTTTGTCACTTTTACAATATCTCCTGTGACAATCTATAAAAGTTGGACAAATGTAAATTCGAGTTTTTGGCAAGATATAATAACTACGTGTATTTCAATATTTAATTAAAATTCTACTAACATTTCTCCATTCATCAAGGACAAATTTTTCACCACGTGCAACTAATAAAAGATTTGAAAAAATTTTGAACTGTATTTGTAGATTCTGATAAACATGTATATTTTACTATTTTACTAGCTTACCTAAAATTTTTGAATGATTCACTTCTCTATCGGCCTTATGACGCGCCTTTAATAGTTAGTAAAAATAATTATATATACAATAAAGTTAAATTCGTCTTTGTTACCTTCTACTAAAAGTACACTAATTTAATCTAACTAATAGTGAAAGAGGTGTTTGCTGCTATCTTGAGAGTACGTAGTTAATTTATGTATATTAACAATAGGAATATTAGCGTTACGAACATAATCTTCGATAAGTTCTTTAATCGCAGAAATGCTCAGTACAAGTATTAAAGGTCCAGCTGTACTCCATTTACCAGTGGGCGACACACCGGGAATTTGCTAATAAAAATATTATACATGGTCGTATTATAAATCATTATAAATTGATACATAATAATGGGATAATCGATATACAGTACTTATACTCAATAATAAAAATTTAAAGTCAAATTTTTCTCTAACGCGTAAATAGCAAATAGTAAAAGCATTCAATGTCCATACTTCTAACCTGAATTAAGGTAATAAATAAGAAGAACAAATTTGCATAGCGGCTAAATTGTTCGAATAAAAATTTCGGGAAAAAGGTAATAAGGTTGTACTTGGCAGTGCTAAAATTTATGAAAAGAAAGAATTTAATTTTAGAGCTATCAAGCGAACTGATTATATCAACTACAGACAGAATAAGAATATACTGTCAATACGCGTATGTTTTCACCTTTGCTTGAAATGTCATGTTGTTTTAAATGTCTTACCTAACTGAATTTGATTTATAACTCTTCTCTTGTGGTACGTTGATACCAATGAGGCGCTGACTGGTTTGTTGTTGTTGTGACGTTAAGGGATCATCTGGATTAACCGTTTCCTTATGAAAGTCTATAATATCAACAAAATAAGATAAGGTTAAAATTAATCAGCGACGTACTTCGGTGTCTTACTTGAAGCCAAAGAAGTTATTTATCATAAAGTTATCGCATATAACCAATCAGGAAGTTTTTTTATTCCTAGTGATAATTTAATAATCTGAGTGATTACATAGTAATGTACCATATGAATGAAAAAGATTAAGTAATAATCTATAGATCGTTTAAGAAATCTGTACAGATTAGTAATAAATTCGCTATTAATTATTTTAGTATAAACAATTCATGTAAAATTAATTAAAATGCGCGTGGTGAATAGGACGAGTTCCGCGAGACGAATTTCTATTAAATTGTGCGTTTTAAAATAGGAGCGTATAAATGATATTAAAGTAGGTGTAGTAAATAGCAAATTTGACTTGATACGTTGACATACTAGTATCTTTAATTAGGCAAGCGACGTGCAACAAAATGTATTGCTAAAGCAGGCTGGAATATTGGAAAGAGTATATAGAAATTGGCAATACTAAAAGGCAATATCCAATACAGTCTTTTCCATTGATACTCAATGGTAAATACAAAGTAGAAGGGATCATTATTATTAATGCAGGTTTTTTCCTAGACGTAGTGATTCACAGGCTGCGTATCAAAATGCGAACATGAAACATCAATACGGAAGAAATTGAAAAGAAATATTAAGTTCAGTACTACACGCAATCATCCATTTCAATTTCAAGGATAACAGAATGTGCGAGAAAAAGGAATGCTGATACAAGATTTCTTTATAGAGTGTCTTCAAGAGTATACTGGCGTATATGTACTGTACAGTATACTGTATGTCTTCGCCTAATATATCACCATGGACCATTTTAGATACTACAAGAGTAAAAAGACATACAGTATACAGTGATATAACTGTTGTAGCAAGACTTAATGTCCTTTGTTCTAGTAGCAATCATGAATAGTTAGTTGTAAAATTTAAAAGGATCCGCGAATCAATGATGATAGACCCAAAACAGAAGATTGGAAACATTGAAAGCTTTGAAGTTATTGATACAGTATCAATTTGAGAATCTTTATACTGTACTCTTTCGCAGGATAAATTACAAATGGAATCATTTCATCGCTATGATAATAATTAATGGAGTTGTATATGTAAGAGAGAACTTGATAATCACATCGACATTAAGCACCATACGCTCAAAAATTCAAGCTAATCTTGAAATGTATATCATAACAAAACTACCGACAAATGTACTCTTTCAATATTGAAGTGTGTCCCTGATTATACATGTACAGTATACCAAAGGCAATTAATTAATTTATGAACGCAGTAACATTCAACCAACGACTGATGAAGAATTCACAACAATTCAGTCACACTTATACGTCAACTCAAACCGGATATTTCAAAAATAAGTACAGTACACGATACGTTGTAAATTGATTTATCAATTCTGATTGCCACGACAGCTTGATCATTCTTAGTCTACAAAATATATAAGACACCTAGTTTTGATAAAGTGAATTGAACCACATTGATAGTCGCCGATACAGCACTCTATCCTCTCGGTCAAGGTTGCCGTTCTTGATCCCATTCAATAACAATATGTACACTAACATAGTATGGTTTCTTTCAAGAAGAAGAAATCAGTTGTACAGTATCTTGTTCATAGCTATGCTGTATAATGCCTAGTAAATGGGTCAATTGTACCTATTGCCATGCTCCATGAAGATAGATTGTCAAAAGTAGGCTTTGAAATAAATTATTTGAAAGCAATCAAGACCTTGCGGAACAAACTCTACGGACAATTCAACATCCGAGAATGCATTGTTCACCAATCCGGTCTATGAAAAGTACTTTTATCATCCATTCAACTTGACCGCGTTGGAAGTGCAGGGATTACTGTTATGAACTAACAAGAATTGCATGCAAATGCTCATGACTAGTTCAATCCGAACGCTATTATCTACAGTCATTCAAGCAGAGTATGTCTGGGACGAAATTATTTAATAGAATTGCAGAGTTGAGGAGATTACAGTCATGTACGTATCACGCCCCTATGTTTTGCATAGGAAAAGATGCGAACAGAAAGTATTTCCTACTGCTGTCCACCACTGCTCTTTCTAGTCGTCTTATCGCTGATATTAGTACTGAAAATGATCACTCATACTCCTCATCACAGACAAACTCACATTTTCGAAGCTTACTGAATCTCTCTTTCTCAAAGAAAAGTGTCTTTTCCGATTGAGAAGACAAGAGCGAAACTTTTTCGGAACTTTCCGCAGGATCCATTGGTCAGCCTAGGTCGGTATCACGTTGTGGTCGGTAGGCGTCAGTTGTTAGCATAAGACGTCAGCGATCAAAGCTCTGGCGCGCAATAGACGCTTGTTAATCCAGAATCGTTGACAATCCACTATGGCAATAAATGGACTACTTCTTGACTACTTGACAGTCTCTGTAGACCCATCAAAATGGTAAAACGTAAGTAATCAATTAGCGTTGATTCCCTTTTGCCAGTGCCACTGCTGTAATCCATCTACCGAATGAACAATAGCAGATTTTAGCGTTCATACGATATCGTTTGTCGGTCAAGAACGTTGTGGTTATGCAATGATAGACGGTTCGATTTCGCTTGCATCGATTCATAGAAATCAAGGTACGTTTCCCACTCCAGTCTTTTTCTACAGTACAGTGTACAGTACAGTGTACAGTACACGAGAGACCCTCTACTGTACTGTACTGTACAGTATGAGCGACATGACAATCTATTGTTAGTTCAAATTGGGTTTGTACAGTACAGTACTGTACACTGTACAATGTACAGTACATTATACGGTACAGTACAACAACTGTACAGTGTACAGTACTGTACCGTAATTGGACGATTGATTGATTTTTTTTTTTTTTTAGATACAGTATGTCAATGCATGTCTAATGTATCACTAGGAAAGCTTAAACGAAGTGTACAGTACTGTATAAAAAAATTCAATTTATGCAAAATGATCAGGCCTACTGTACAGTGTACACTGTACAGTACAGTACAGTACATACTGTAGGAGTACAGTACTGTACACTGTACACTGTACAGTATGGTACTGACCGTACAGTACAGTACAGTACAGACAACAACAACTACTGCACTTAATGGTTAAGCATCGCTTAGCCAATGAAATCTTTCTTTGATCAAGTGATTGTTTGTTTTGTTCTAAATCCAATCGCGAATCAAAGTTGCAATTTACAGCACGGTACAGTACAATTATTAATTTCTATATTAGGGTACATTATACGTACAGTACAGTACTATAAAACTCATTGTACAAAAATAGATTTACGGTTAGTGACATAACACTGTACAGTATTTACCGTACAGTACGTACCGTACGGTCGTGCGGGAAAACTTTGAATACAGTACACTACAGTATACAGTACTGTAATGTGCTGTACACCCTACTGCGCTGTACTGTACTGTATAAGCGTGACATCAGAGAAAATTCACGGAAAAACTGCTTGAAAACAACATTGAAGGATTTTAGTCAAGAAGCCATCGGTAAACCTTTTCATTAACAACTCTTGATCACATTTTCGCCAAGTGACCACTCATTGCGTCTTGAAACAGGACAGAAAATTACAATTGCACTTTAAAAAGTAGAAAAGTCTTACATGATGAATGTCTTACTACGTATTTCGTTATCGATCTTGATTTTAACCGTTTTTACTCAATACTGTTTGGCTGACACTACCGTCAAACCTACAGAAAAACCTGTCGATTGTAGAAAGTACAACGGCAGTTGTGGCGACTGCGTTGGTACACATCACTGCTACTATTGCGGCTCTAGTAAAGTTTGTTGGAAATACGACCCTACTATTAAAAATTTTATCCCGCCTGAAAGCCAATGTGCTAAAAATGACTCCTTCCTTGGACAGTGCTTTTTTTCTACTCTTGTTCTATTGATCGCTGTACCTACAACAGCCGGTGTATTACTGATCGCCCTTGGCTGTACCATTTATTATTGTTGCTGTCGCAATAACAAGCGCAAAATCCAGCGTGATCAAGCACAATTCCAGGCAGAGTTGGATCGAAGAAAAGAGGCATCGGATCGACGAAAATCTGAAAGGCAAGCGAAACGTGACGACATTCGACGCAAGTATGGTTTGTTCAAAGATGGTGACGATTCAATGTATTCTAGAATGGCCTAAATTCCAGTATTACTTGTTACAGTCTATAGTGTAGCGTAGAATAGAATAAAATAAGACAAAAAAGTCTACATTGAAAAGTTCCTAAATGCCTTATAAGTGAGGAGTTACTGCATGATCAGGCGTTGCTTCTGCCTTATAGCGTTGAACGATGATTGTATTATCGTAATTTGTAACGCAGATTTTGCTGTATGGACTGAATATGCCAATGTTTAAAGTATGATAATCGTGTCCTCTATAATTTACTTGAAAGTCGATGCGTGACTATCAATTCATTGTACTGTATACCTACAACAGTATCGTAACGCATTAGTTTATTATGCGTGACATAGCTGATATTTTAAGACCGAAATATCTCACAACCAAAGTTTGATAATGTCGATCTAGTTGGCAAGCTACAGTATTGTACTATAGGTTAGAAATTAGAGGAAGATTTCGGTCGATTTTTTACATCTTTACAGTATGTTGCCAGTACCTCAATGTTGTACAGTAACCATTAATAATAAATAATAGTAATCTTACTGCATTAGTGAAGTAATCGGCGCTGTAATTGTATAATGGTAATTGATAAACTATGAAATATTATTGAATAAAATGCTCGGATAATAACTTTTCATATACAATTATTGAATGGTAGTATTAATAATGATAGGTAGTCAAGTTTCCCTAGCACGTTATAATATTAGTGAAAATTGTCCGAAACGAATCGAATGGTGAAAACTCATCTCCGTAAATAAGTAGGCGTTGTATAAACGCGTTCAATTCGATGTGGAACTGCATATACTGTACATACTTACACGCACATTGGTATATACTCACTATATAGTAACAGTATTGCTCAATGTTCAATACAAGTGTACAGTATAGAAGGTCCAAAAAATTATTATTATCATGAACTCAGCATAAATTGTAATATTAACCCTTGTAATTGTCTGTCCGTCAAGTTCAGTCACAACGCTCTACCAGGGTAGGATCTCTTGGTAGAGACTTGAAAAAAAATTGTAAATTCGAAGAGGAAATTAGAATTTTCTTTTACAAGCTCGCGGCTGCACTAACTGCGTACTGTACCAGGTACCTTCTACTCAAGGACAACCTGGGGCTACTCCAGTAAAAATGTAAAAATATTACCCTTTTTCCATCGCGGCTGTGCTTACGGCGCACTGTACCAGGTACCTTCTACTCAGGGATAACCGAGGACTGCTCAAGTAAAAATGGAAAAATATTACCCTTTTTCCACCGTCTACCCTCTCTATGACTATCGTACAACGTAGTGGGCTAGTGGCACAGCAATGTACTGTACAGTATACTGTTTTTTAGTATAATAATTTTACGGGCGGGTTAACATGACGTAATGTCAATAGCATAAGTTGCGGAAAATACGAGCAATGAAGATATTCAATCGTTACTGGACTTGAACTATTTGTGATGATACCGTTGACTGGATACTACTGAGTATCCAGTCAATCAATACTACATTCTACGTTAAAGATTCGTGACTGGAAATAGCTGTACTTACGGAGACAGTTTTCCCTCTGCTTAATAAGCTCCATCACAAAATAACGGTTATCTGATTAAGATCAACTACTAGGAAGCAAAAATTTAGAATTTTGGCTAACTAAATGACACTTGCACAACTATCGTTAACTTCCGCTACCGGATAAATCAATTCATAAAACTGCCGGAATGGTACAAAACAGTCTCTTGACCGGTAGCAATTATTTATTTCTTTGAACAAACTTTATACGAATATACAGTATGTATGTGCAGTACATTGTACAGTCTGTGATAATACTTCCCTGTACTGCCTTAAATATAAATTGAAAATTATTTTCAATATCATGCCAACGAGACAACCTCCGTTCAACACAACCAACTAGTTTATTCACAACAATGCTTTATTTCATATATTTTCGTTAAACTAAAAGCAAATATTTAAGGCTAGTATACAGTATTACGGTACGATACAGCTGTCATACATTACTATGTAATCGATAGATCTTACACAAATCTTACAGTTAAGAATCTCCCATGCAATAGAATGATTACAATAAACTTTACTTTATCAACCCCACAAATATGTATCATACATACGGTACACAAGCTGAAATCTAAACATCAAGAAAATTTTGACCAAAACATTAATTCAAGCTATAACTACATGTAGCTTCCAGATGAATGTCTGCATTTACAATTTACAGTTAAAATGTAATCTATACGTCTTGTGTTGTACATACCAGATCAGAATGCACCTTCAATTTGAGGTCAATACTACGTGACCGTTGACACTGCTGGGTTAAGATGTCGTACAATTTAAATGTCTTTAGTAAATATACATCTTATTTATAACGTGGTCCAACTAACTTATCTACTGTATATTCGTTCTAATAATATCATTTACAGTAATGAGCGCAAAGTAGTATTCCATAAAACAATGATTATGTTCTCAATGTATTTGAAGCTAATATATTATGTAACGGTGACAATGCGATTGTAAGCACTGCATTTCAATGTTACCTTTCACATAATTTAACTGCTACAATTGAAGGTATATATAGTCCGTATTCGAATAGGAATACTAAAATTACAGAGAGGCGTCCAGAGGTTTCTGATCTAATTTACTGCGAAACGTTTTAACCATGTAGATAAAGTACGAAAGAGCTTCTGTCTCAATCACAGGGATCGTATAAAAGTGCTTCTGCAAATGCTACACAACCAACAAATATCAAAAAAATAAATTAATAAATCACATAATGTCAGTGGATATTTCAGGTGTAAAGCGTTGGCTGCATAAGCAATTATAATAACGGATTTCTAAAATAGCGCCGCTAAAGCAAACTGAATAAAAACGCTATCGTCACAACATGAATCAGAACAAGTAATGCATATGAGTAACAAGATATCTTATAACTGAAGACAATTTATGCCTATATGGGTCTTTGCCAACTTACCTCGACCAACTGAGCTTTATTCATTCCTGGTCTAGTCTGTAATTTAAAGTGACGCTTGTATCGTCGAAGAGCACTAACTTGTAGTTGATGAAAGTCAACCTGCAGAAATATTGCATACGTGAGAGCAAGACACAGTAAACTGATTTTTCAGCCACCAATAATATAATCTGTGGTAGTTTAGACCGCTATCGCCGTTTAATACTTAATTAAATGTTCATGCGTACATATCAACTTTCAATAATGTTTCGCATCTTGTAGTAACCACATCACAGAAATTTTTAAAAATGATTACCTCTGGAGTTTCGCCATCTTCATCCGATTCTTTCCTTCGTCTGCCTTTGTTACGAACACTTAGTATCATATTTTTATGATGGTCGCAAATATAGATGTGTGGAGCCTAAAATAATATGCAATCAAGATGATGAGAGAAAAAAGGATCAGGTGTTGTACTGTTTGCTATCGGAGCAAGTTTTGAATTCAATTTTTTACAACATAAATTTAGAAATTATCTAAATTTGTTGTGTAAAATCTATAGGGAAACACACTGTGCATTGTGACGAATACAAATATTTCTATTAAAGGAAAATCTACTGTAGTGGACTAGTTCATGTATAATAATCTTCTACAGGTACTGTATTACTACAGTATTACACGCTATGTAGCCCACATACGAGTTCGTGTACTGTATCTCACCCATTTATCTAGAAAAATGTTAACATAAGCATTTGTCAAGACTTGGAAAACAATTTAACTCCATTTTTTTAATATAGCATTGATTGATGCAATAAAGTGGGTAAGTTATACGAATCATCATAATATGTAAAATGTAGTACATTAGTAACATTACTATGGCACTTCTGCTTCAATCGTAGATTATGTAAATTAACAACAAAAACGTCAAATTTGTTCAATGGGCTAGCTACTGCTAGTACATGTTTCATCTTCAGGAGCTCAGCTGTAGCGACTGTCTTCAAATTACGATAATTATTTACGCCTAATATACTCGAATGTACTTGCATGAACAATAAGTTGCTAAAAATTAAGCTACGGCATCATGTGTCTCAGTTTGTTGGTATGTATAGTACGTGTATACTGTATACGCGTACATAAACGAGTCTGTCCAATAACCTCATTGTTGAAAATGAATTAATCATCGTATACAGTAGAGTAGAATGCCGTACAGTTTGGTATCAATAAATAAATAATGAAATCAATCTTCTCGTAGCATGAGCTACGATTGATTACAGAAATAAACTTGATCATCGATGCATTCAATTTTAAATCGTAGAATACCGTACAGTCTGGTATCAATAAATAAATAATAAAATCAATCTTCTCGTAGCTTGAGCTACGATTGATTACAGAAATAGACTTGATCATCGATGCATTCAATTTTAAATCGTAGAATACCGCACGGTCTGGCATCAATAAATCAATGAAATCGATCTTCTCGTAGCATGAGCTACGATTGATTACAGCAATAGACTTGATCATCGATGCATTCAATTTTAAATCGTAGAATACCGTACAGTCTGGTGTCAATAAATAAAAAATAAAATCAATCTTATCGTAGCATGAGCTACGATTGATTACAGAAATAGACTTGATCATCGATGCATTCAATTTTAAATCAATTTTAAACTAAAGCAATGGCTAATAGTCCTCGTGAATCGTTTTAGTACTTACATGTAATGCACAGTACTGTACTGTACGTTAACGAGTTACAACTAAAATTATGGAGTTTACAGGCACCAAGAAAGTCAATCGATGCTCTTCCAGATAGATCTTTTAGGAATTATAGTTTGTGTCGTTCCTCGTCAAATCCAATTAATTCCCCTCCCCAAACACTGCATGTACTGTACTGCAGTACTTAGAGGTGGGCTTTAAAAATAAAATTTGATAACTATACCCGTACAATACGATTACGAAGCCATAGTGCGACAAGCTGGCTTTCAAACTCAGACAAGTCGTCAGCATGTGTCTGGCCAGTCTGGGCAATGTTGAGATCGCCTTTTATTGCTTTGCTGAAGTCATCATCATCATCATCATACAATACAGTATAGTCAAAACAATGCTATCCTATAATTATGCTCGTAGAGCACAGTACTAGAAGTGGCCGACTTAACCCAGTACTGAAGCACTGTCAATATTAGTACTGGCCAATTGGGCAAGGTCAGGCAGGACATGGGCTGCTGGCTGCAATTTAGAATGATGCATGCAAGATGCACCTACGAGTATGTCTTTTCGGATCCGTGTTGATCCAGTTCCTCCGCTACAATTAAATTGTTATTACTTAAGAATCGAATTCAGAACTACAGTATGCATAATAAGGGAACAGCAATTTACCAAGCTCTCACGATGGTCAACATTCAATGGCTCATATAGTATGCACTACTTTTGTACTGTGGTCGGCGGGGGTACAACATCAGTATACTTTACAATGATGTATTGTACTCGTATGTGCACACGACTATTTTATGTCAAGCTGGCTCTAAATCACCTGATTTATTCCATGATGGTAATATTTATTTTCCCTAATATTGATAGCATACAGTAGTATTTTCCCTCGTACTGATTTAGGATTTTAAAATTACGGTTCTTATTGTAAGGAATGAACGAAGCGGTTACAACACGGTCGATCAACAGCAACATAAGTAATGGGTTCATAAATCAAACTGCCATAATTATCAACCGAAGCAAGGTTAAGCATTGAAAACAGGCTGAAGGCAGCATCGGTGATTCATTCTAGTACTAGTTAGCAGATTAGTTGATTGAAAAATTCAGCCATGGCTACATTATGAATATACTGGGCTAATTCATCGTAGCACGTTTCAAGGAAAACTGTGGAACATACAGTATATTACTGTACTCTATAAAACAACGTCAAGCACTTGTCGTTTTAAAACTAGCCACTTTCCTGTAGACGCACTGTTCGGACTGTGCCATGCAGTTTAGTTTGCATCTGTATTACGCAAGTGCTTCAATATCTTCAAGTGGAAATAGCACTAAGGACAGAAAAATTTAAAACAACAGAGACGCCAAGATGTCTTGCTACGGTATCCTTAATTCAGCTAAGCATACATACAAAGCGCTAAATTGCAGAGGGCTATATCAACGATCATTAATCGCAACTTCACCTAGATTTCAAGTCTGTAAACGACAGTACCGTACAAGCATCAAGACTGATAGTTACAATTTTAGAGCCCAGGCAACTGTTTTAAGCAAGCCGTGTCTTGAAGAATTCATACCTAGCTAGAAAGTGTTACTGTAGTGACAATGAATCGACTTGAATCTGAACTAGATAATCGTCACAAAGCCTGAATCAACTTGATCTATAGACTAGAACTCATCTATAAGCAGCCAAAATCTGATTCATCAAACAAAATCAACGTTCTTATTGTTAAAAGACTTAAATACAACACTGTGTTCTTTCACGGCGTTATCGAACTCAAATCAGCCACCATTCCATTTCAATGGTTTAGGAGTTGAGTATTCCTTTCTAGCTAACAGTACATGCGAACCTTAGCCGATCATTTCTGACAACACATACTAGCTGTGCTAAATCTGAATACCGTACTAACAACAACAGTTGGAGATTGTACTTACATCCGATTCTCTGGTTAATTTAAGATGACGTTGAGCAACTGTTCGTTGAATCCTTTTCGAGTAACTGGCGTTGGAAGCTTGACGATGACATCTTGTGCCATCATCCACTAGACAGCATATTCGATACTCATCTGAGCGACCATCGAGATCGCTATTACTATCATTCATTGTATCAATATTCTTTATCGGACCAATGATGAATCAAGTGGGGTAGCGATGGTGATAATAATCAGATGGTCTCAAGACCGATCGATGTTTTGAATAGCTGTGAATGAAAATGAAATTATTACTACTACGATGACGGTTCTCCACGCAGAAAATGGCTACGTAGCTGTTTACGATCGATGCAAACCAATGAGGATGAGAATGGACCGCTTCTATTTCAATTGACGGTGGCTTTAGCCAGTGATGTCGTTTGTATTAAGCGCTAAATGGGACCAAAGTACTATATAGTATGTACAGTAGAAAGGCTAGAATGCGCGGCACTCACTTGTTCAAAGGTCTGTTGTTGTCCGTCCGTCTACCCATCTACTTGTGGACGTCATGAAAAGGAAAAAAGCATCTTTGTTGGTTTATAATTATAATTCAAGCTGCCGTTTCACAAACTTGCACCTCATCAAGTTATCGTGATCAATTAATCTCGAAAACTGTGCCCTCCATCATCTTGGCATGAAATAAGTCTACTTTACTCCATGGAGTTAAGGTATGGCAAAGTATAATATGAGTGTTTTAGATTAGCACTTTCCCAACATGTTCATGTCATTGCAATCACCAGCATGTGCATTGCGCAATTTGTGCTTGGAGCAGCCCATGCTACTCGCTGGAGCACTTTAAATGTCCGAATTATACTGTACTGTACAGTGTACTGTACAGTACTGTAATGTGCAAATTCAGTGTATGTACTGTACTGTACTGTACTGTACTGTACACTGTAGGTCACGATGTCCATCCGGATTTAGTTGGTACGGTGGAGCGCACGTGACAGTGTACTGTACTGTACTGTACGTGGTACTGTACCTTACGAGTTACTGAATACTGTACTGTACTGTAATGTGCAAATTCAGTGTACTGTAGGTCACGATATCCGTCCGGATTTGGTTGGTACTGTACTGTGGCGCACGTGACAGTGTGCTGTACTGTACAGTACAGTAAATGATCAGGCCTACAGTACCCTACTGTACAGTGTACAGTACACTGTACTGTACACTGCACAGACTACATGACCGAAGGACTATAATACTATGTATGTATTATTGACCGCCGACGTCGGTTACTTAGCAACAGAGATTTGAAATAAAGTTGTATCGTTCTTTGGAAGTAATAGCAAATCAAGTAACCATTGCTGTATAGAATATTATTAATAGATGATATACTCCAGTAATAATCATTGTACTGTTTTGTTAGTTTACCATACTGGTAACAGTGATTGATTCTATTGATACAAGGGGCAAATATTATGGCATAACATGCTTTGAGTAATGCTTGGTGTTGTACTCGATCTACTTCTAAAATATTAGACTGCCTTCCAAATTATTATCATTGCTCTATTTTAATTTATGTACACTTACAGCGATGTCGGTCCTAATCTCAAGACGAAAACAACGGCCTTCTTCAGCATCTGCTGCTTTACAAACCCATTTTAGTCGTCAAACCGTTACCATAGACGATATACGTCCTGCAACATCTATCCCTACATCCAGAAATTTAAGAAACAACGTCCGAAATCAGCAAACCCCTATTGGAACGAAAACTCGAACACAACATAATAATGCAATTAATGGTTGGACTAGTATTGTTCCTATGCAGACAAACAGCCGTACGCAGCGTAGGATAACATTAAGTACCGTTAATAATGTTTCCATATCGACTAATACTAGGTCACGTCCTACTACTGCAGCATCATCTAAAATTAAGGTAAGATGCATCTCATGCCTGTTGTACCTTCAAGGAATACTGTCATATTTTAAACACTCTTATACTAAATCTATCATCAGGTCAATCACCTTTTATCAAATTTGTTATTGCTTATATAAATGATATCATATGATTGCATCGAACGAAGGATTTATATCTCATTATATAAAGTTGTTAAATAACTATAAATCAACAGTTGACTGGTTCAGTTACAACTTATGACGCTATACAGTACGGTATAATAACCGTGTGTTTTCCACTGATGCAGTATATCATGATTTTTTAATGATATAATTGTCTGCGTTTTCCAATATACCTGAAACGATATTAATTTGCCAATTTGTAATCCTAAATCCGCGCTATAAGGTACTGTAACAGAGTCGACAAACTAGTAATTGAATAGAATTAGATGATTGCGAAATTAATTAAAACAGCGTTACACTACGATATAATTCTACGGGTTTTGTACGATAGGTCGTAACATTATAAATTTTTTTAATATAATTTTATAGCAAAATGTAGATAGCATTTATAATAATGAGTGAATCACCCTAGCATATATCAATGCAAATATGCTGAAACTGCTTTTAAAATAAATTAGCATAATTTTCGATTCAGCTAAAATTGATGGAATGTCGATGAAGTAGAATATATTGTCATAAAAACGTCCTATATTAAGAATATATGATAAGAAGCGGATACTTACTTAAAGTAAAATAATAGTATGAAATACTTTCAATCAGTGTATTACTTCATAAATGTGTGTCTCTTCAGATATAGTGTTAAAGCCTTTTACGTTAGATCAATTTGTACTGAAATTAAAAAAAATCAGTTACTATTTCCGTTGCTATGGATTGGTCAAGTTGTAACCTGATAACACTCTGTATTTTGTCCATGACTGTTATTTACTTGTGCTACTGTGTGAATTGTTATCTTTTGCGAATCATAAATTTAAATGCACCTAGTACATCATCGATCATCTTATGCAATGACATCACTTCACTCCGAATTATTATTCCAGTATCAAATCCAGCATATTTGATCAGTATCTCCTACGGTGTATAATGAAAGCCCTTATATACTCAAATATATTAGTATTAAATTTGGTATGAAAATGAAGACTGCCGTTAGCTATGATAATTACATTAATAGCTATTAACAATAGCTCACTTTTTAAGATTTTCTAACACTAATGATACCAATACGCCATCTGCCAACTATATTATTGAAAATACATACCCTCATCAATTTTAACGAAGTTATTGTTTAAAGCCGAACCTGATTGATCAATTTAACTAATTAATATTTTTAAGAGTGACATAATTATTATCAATTGATGCATGTCAAACTAGTTTTATTTCATTAAACAATTTATATAGTTCAAATGTAGAAGCTCAAAGCAACTACGCCATAGTCAATTTAAATTATTCCAAGCAGTTCTGATCATTGTTAGGTATTTCCAAAACATTACGATCATAACGTCAGTTAAGTAATGGCTTTTAAAATAAAGTCGAGAAAAGTTTATCAAGAAACCAATAGATATGGCTATTACATTAAAGTAAATATCATTGATGCTTATATCATTATATACGTAAACTACCTCTTTTTCGTAATTTTATTATTTCACCCATCATATCCTTGGCCATTTTCTATATATTTTCTCGTCGAATTGTATCCTTGCCCATTTCCTATATATTTTCTTCAAGAACTGTATATAATTAGCACATACGTTAACCTTCTTTCCAACTTCATTGTATGTTGCGTCTCATAATTTCATGCTAGTTTGTTTAATTCAAGAACAATTTAATAATTGCGGATGTAAGAAATGTTAATTTGGGTAACACGCTGACGTAATATTGCCCGATAAAATTGAAGAGCGTCACAATTATTTGCAAAAGTTTATATTGTAATTTTGTTTTTAAATGAATTACGAACGGTATTGTATCGTTTTATTACATACTTTTTATCTTATTTAGCTCGAGGAATACGTCAATTTGGACCATCTCCATATCCTAAAAAGTGCATTCGACGTAAGGGCATTTTTAAATTCATAAAAAAATATACATCCCTAGAAGTAACAAATCAAATCTAGTAAATTATAAAGCGATCTTGATCTCTAATTTTTTGAATACTTAGGCCAATGCCAATAAAGGAAGAATATTAACTAAAAAAGAATTTATTAGAGTATTTGGCTCATTAGCTGGTCTTCAAGGAAATGTAAATTTTAAAATACAATAATAAAGCTATAATATTATAAACAAATCAAGTCATATTATGGTACTACCCTATTTATATAAAGCAAATAGAATACGTAAATGTTATTAAGAGAACTACGTTATAGCTTACTGTAATGATGATGACATCACTGAGGATTTTTCAATATTATTGTCAGAATAATGAACAGATCGAGCTACTTTTCATGAAAATTGATTCTTGCTGCAATGACTATATAAGTTGGGTAAGATATATGCGTACGGAAAAATAATTCTTTAATAGTCAGAGAATCGTAACGAGTAGTAATGTACACCAATGTAACTGCTTATTATCTGAATCGAAAATTAAACAATATTAAGCCATACTTTTTTTTAATATAGAACGAATTTTGCACTTATATGCAATTAGAATACGCTGAGAAAGAGGATGCTTATCTTCATGGGAAAGAAGTTAGACTTGTGTTTATTTTACCTGAACGAATTTTGTATTTAAAAATCGCTTGCTTTAGCCACTTAAGAAGCATAGTCGCTACTTTTTGATGTTTTATATATCATCAATGTCTTTAAGAAAATGAAATATCCTCAAGTTCTTATGATCAATTCTTAATATCTTAGGTTGACTTTACTGTTCCGGCAGTAACATCAAACACCCCACATCGAGAACAATTTTTGAGAATATTAAATACCAGTGACAATAATTTCGTTATAATGAGCCAAGTAAGTTTTTATCTTCGTCGATGTAAATTAATCAATTTCTTATCATAAGAGAGGTAGGATTTTCGATCGAATTCTTTGATTTTGCAGTCGTGCTATATTCATTAGCATCTATATCTGTATAAATTTAAATTTAGTATCAGCACGTTACTCGATAAAATTTATTTTTAGCCAGAATCCGTTACTTCAAATTTTATTTATCATTATTTCAGTAATATAGATATGGAATAAAGGCACTGAATAATTTAATAATTAACTAAAAAAAATTGAAAATACTGTTCTGCTTTGAGTTTAGATTTGCAACTTTGATCAAAGATTGATTTAGCATGCATGATATTTGCGTTACGATTTATTTCTATGGCGTCACAATGGTTTCAGTGATAACAACATTGCTACTCTATATAACTCTGTTTCATTTATTATTATGAAAATTTTTTATTCTTTTGATTTTAGACTCTCCTGCAGTTAGATAGAGTCAATAAACAAAAACTATTATACTATTACTACTGACATTTGTTTCTTTTCAACTAGTTCTAAAAATAATTATCAACAGTTTTTTACGCTGGACTATTATGCTATTTTAGTGCTATTTCTGTAGCATAGCGTCTAGTATAATTGACTAAAGATTTCCTAAATTTCGTAGTACTGCGATGGCATTACAGATAAATACTAAAAAAAATTGGAAATTATCCAATTTTTGGTTCTTATATAACATATATATATATATAAATGTTATAAAAAACTGTCTGTAATCACGGTTGAATGCGCCATCGAGATTAGTACACTATATTCTCTTTCTCCGAATACGTTATGAATAATATAAACATTGGATGTTTATCAAATCTATTTAGTACAAGTAGCTCGAGTGTGTTGATGCAGGTCCAAGTACAAAAGTGAATTCTTTTACTACCGTTAATTTCCTGAAATTACTATTAAAAGTTTTCATTTTATTTTATTCTTACGTAACTTCTTATAATTGGTAAATATGAATTGATGCCATATTCTGATCGATGATCAACGAAAAATTTTCATTTCTCAGTATTGCAATATTAGCAGCGATGACTGTTAATGTCGATAGAATGGTATTCGATGTTGTAGCATTAGTAATAGTGACTATTAATACTAACGGAATAATTTTTGGTATTGCAACATTACTAATAATGACTATTAATGTCGATAGGATGGTATGATTACTTTTTGGGGGGCGGACTTAAAATTGAAGCGCAGCCGCAATGTAAGCGCTCGAGTTGGATTTGTTCTAAATTTAAGAAATTGTTTAGAAAATAATTTAAACTAATAAGATATCTCCTTTTGTTATATCAAGATTACTCAAGATTTAACCAAGTCAAAGTCCAAGTGGATAACCGATTTTACACTGATGCCACAATATAATAAAATTGTTACTTCAACAGGGTAAGTCTCTATATAATGAATAATGTCACAATTATACATATATTTATTAAACATCTATCTAAATTTCGCCACTAAGAACGCGTTTCTAATATATTTTGACGTGTTGCAAGACTAAATTTACAATACACTAGATATATTGTGAATATATCCCTATTAGATATTTAATTGTATGCTTATTCGCAATTAGAGTAGACAGTTTTTCCATTAATTAAATATCTATAATCACGAGTAATTTAGCTATAACCAATTACTGTTTAATTCGCTTTTATCTTTCTACTATAATTTGCAAATCCTAGCAGAATGCAAATCTTACTCGATTATTTGTTAATAATTATAATTTTTCATTTTTGTCACTAGATATACACGATTTTAGCTAAATAAATTTTGTAATATCAAGCGTACCAAGATATCATAATAGAAAGTTTAACTTGACTTGCTTCATAATTTTATTTATAGATTCTAATTATTACAAATACATTCAATACTCTTATTCTAAAAAAGGCTAAAAATTAACTAGAATTAATTGTTATTTTGCTTTACATTATATTTTGCTACCAGAGATCGTGAAATTCAATTTTACGAAATGTCTACATTTGAGCCTTACTGCCAAATCAGTGGATTAGACAGTGTTCCGCTAAAAATCGATTACTGGTATGTTTAATATAAATCATCATGAATTTACGACTCTAAACAGTAGAAGCGTAATATTTTTTCTGTCCTGACCTGTTTACTTTCTTGCTGGACGCTATTCTAATTATTATAACGTTGAAGGAAATTCGCGCGCTTTCATTACATTTATAATAAATGCTATAACCTGTATCTAGTAAGCAACCATATATTATTTATGATTCGACATTATAGGGGTTCAAGATCTACCGATGAATGTTATGTGCTATATGGTGATGTCCAGGTAAGTCTAACATGGCCTTCAAGTTAATATAATTAAATCTGTTTTTTAAATGATTTTTCCTCCTATGCATTCATCGTTAGGGCTGCATTAATGTAATACAAATTGCATCTGCTGGAGAAACTCTAAGGTTCGCTCCTTAATTTTTTCAACGTACCTATTCTGAGTAATTTCTTACCCAAAACCATCACATGATCATCTATAATGTAGAACCTGGAAAAAGAGTCCCAAAAGTGACGGTATTGCAAGTGTTAATTTGGAAAGGTTAGTAAATAATTATGGTCGTTTATAAATGAGATTAATTTCTATTTGCCAACACCTATGCTTTTCATTGAATGATTTAGAGAGGTGACAAGATCAAGTAATATTAGGTTTTCTAGGTAAATAAAGGTAGTAAATAATAAAGAAATGATCAAAATCCGTAAGCTGTAACCAGATATTTAAGATTTACTGGTTTATAGTTATAGTAAATGATCAGCTAGTATTTGTTAGTCATCTTCGTATGTAGAAAAGGCTTAAAATAATGACTCTTAAGACTCAAGCGCAAGACTAAAGTTGATGTTCCTGTTATTATAATTTAATAGGTGGAAAGTGCATAATGATTGGGTTGGTCAGGTGAGTTACTTTGATGCCTACTAATCGGTTTTACAAAGGGTTCGCTAAACCTCTTGATTAATTTCGTCGGGTGAAACTACTTTTGATTTTTATATTGTTGGCACAGTTTTGCGTCTTAATATGTTTTGTGTTTAGTAAGGTTATACTGTTTGGTCAATATTTATATCTAGCGTAATATGAAATTACTAATTAGCAATAAGCCGCTTTGGATGGCTATTAGACAGACAATTTCTTAGAAATTTCAAATTTCTGTTACACATGTAATAGAAATAAGTCTGATGGATGAGTCTATTTCCGTATGGAATTTAATGCTCCCTAGAAATAGAACAAAACATAAAATATCTTCGTTTTGATGTTACGTCTACAATTGTTACATATCTATTATACCTTGTTATAATAACATTTAGCTTACTTGTTTGACCTATTTTGCGTTTAATAGATTTAGTGATAAACGGCGATGTTCTTAATTTATCTATCTATCTACTAAATTTATTAATCATCGCATTATTTTTCTACTGATAGTTAAACTATTATGAATCCATCCAATCGGTCATTTCATGTTCTAATGATGATACAAATGCCTTAGTAATAGGTAAATTGATTTATTATTATTGGCGTAAACGTAAAATATATCATAGCTATTTTTAAAAGCGATGTTGTTGTAATACTTGTAATACTATCTTTTTATTAGGGAGCTTACAAAGTAGCACTAAAGTTGACTCTCAGTTACGTGAAATATATTACTCGGTTAATAGTCGCCACCGCATACAACAATCTAATTACATTATGGGATCGCAACCAAAACGAAGAAGTGATAGCGATCAGACTGTATTTAAAATCTATAAAGGTGTCAAGACATTCGATTTTTCCAAACAAAAAAATTTAATTGTCACTGGAGGTAAACGAAACGATAATAATATTAACTAATTTTAATGTATAACTATTTAACAGACTTTACTTCTATACTAAAATAATTAAATTTAAAAACACAGGAATGGATAGAATCATTCGCACATGGAATCCTTATGTTGCAAAGTCAGAAAATATTAAAGCGTTATCATTTATCAAAGTTATATAGGAATTTAAAATGATTTATTTATCTCTATTACAGTAAACCTACCGGGATGCTTAGAGGCCACAATGCTCCAATAAATTACATAAAAATAAGCTCTGATGAAGGCCGTGTTTTTAGTGTTTCTACCGACAAGACAATACGGGTTAGAACATGTCATAGCCGTTGCAGATTAATTTTTAGTTAGGCAATACATGCCTATATACCGTTTACACTTCATGAATAATTATATAATCTACTAGTGAATTCATTCGAAATACATTTATATTCTCTAAAATGTAATTTGTAAATAGATCTGGGATTTACAGGACCACACATGCTTGCATATCGTTAGACCAAAGGCTCATAAAATTAGAGGCGATATACAGGGTAATAATATTTTTATTTACTAACTAAGCAGTGATGTTGAACTTTTAACGTAGTCTGTGACGGATATTTCAAACTGAGAGAAATTAAAGTGTCAATAACGTCTGTCTTAATTCACTTTAGTTGTTCATTATAACACACAAAATCGAACCATTGCTATAGCCACAGATTTGCTTGCTTCCATGACTTTAAAGTGCAAGTATGCTATCAACTGACATTTAAAGCTAACATATGTGGACTTTGTAAATTTTGTATGTGTTGCTTTTACTAATGTTGGATTGAATTATGTAGAACTATTGTAGTCGATATGGCAACGTCGCATAAAGAAGCTATCACGGCTATAAAATATAACTCTAGCTTTAGACAGATTGTGACTGCATCCGATGGTTCAGTAAGTACAGTTAAAGGGAATCATTTCGATAACGATAACTATCAAGATTTATCTTATGCATCTAAAGAAATCTTTATATTAATAAAAGTATACCTCTTATATTCTAATGTAAATACTGAATGCTTTGCTGTCAGGTTGTTCGCGTTTGGGATATAGAAACGGGTAATTTACTTTTTGAATTTACCCAAGCTCACGGTACATCCGCAATTACAGCAATCACATTTGATTCATCTGGTAGAAGGTAAATGCAAAATTGAGCATAATCTTTCACTATTTTTGCAATGTCTGTGGCTATATGTAAATCTAATTTTCAATTGAATGTTTCTTGCTGTCCATGTAGATTAATTACTGCAGGAAGAGACGGCTGTTTAAGAATATGGAATTATAACAATGGACACTGCTTACGAATTTTAAGGAAGGGTAAGAGCTAATATCCAATTTGATTGGACGAATACTTCGACATAGCAAAAATAAGCTTAACATGTAGTATTCAAAGACTAATTCTGTTATATAACGTGTGAAATTCGGTTTACAAAAGTGGTTGTATATCGATGGTTTAGAATAAGTAATGACTACTTTTCGATGGTTAAATAGCAACTATGAATATATGCGAAATCATTTTTTCGCAACCACCTTATCATTATGATTTACATATAATTCTGTAACTGAACGTGATTTATTAGCGTAAATGGTAACATACATTACCCTTCTTTTATGAGTAAGGAATCGGCTACTTATTACGTAAGAATCTTTATTCAATATAACTGAATTACAGTACGAATTATAATAGTACAGTAGACTATGCCAGAATCATCCTTATTTTTCAGTACGACAATAGCCATTTAAAATAAATAATGACATTGTGCTACTGAAAAGCGAACTCAATACTTTTTAATTCATTTGCTAAAAATTGTTTTACTTCCTCACAGATGGACGCAATCAAGAAATATCTGACATTACTTACTATACACAAAATAAAAACAAGTTGGTTTATTCTTGTGAATGCATAAATGGAAGCTGCTTTTGAAATTTATTTTAATGAATCCATTTATTCTAATGTTAATTGCAGGCATATTGTATCGGTTGGTTGGGATAAAAGAATAAATATATACAATGTAAGATGATTAGCTGTCTAACTTTTGATCTTTATAAGAATTCAACCTTGAGGATCATTATAAAGATTTCCGTTTATTCAGTATTAATATTCCTCAAAGATTCCGTAGCAGATAAATTTTTTAACTTCATTGCCCATCTACCATAATTAAGGACAATCCGGATGATTTTCGATATGTCCAGCCACCTATGCCTTACTGGACAGAAGATACTGTATGAAGTTGCTTAAGATTAATTATCTTCTGTTTGTTAGTGTTTATATACCGATATTATATCGTGGTTTAATCATTAACAATAGATCAATGGCCATCAAGATGATATTCTTGGTATTGCTGTATGCTCACCGAATTTATTAGCTACATCGAGTTATAAAGGCAGGGTATGTGGCATATTGCTATTTTTTTACAAGCTATCTTAATTAACACCGGATTTTCAATAATTTGGTCTCCCTTTATTTTCCTTATATTCTATAAAATAAAGATAATTGTATGGAATTTGGTTTCTGGGCATATATTTTGTCGCTTGCAAGTACCATGTAAAGACTCTCAATATAAAGGTATTTGAATAAATTACTCGGCATAATGGGTGCTAAACCTATGCGAAGTCACGATTTAGTATTGCTATTCTTTATTTAATTAGCTGGTGAACAGAATGCCATTACTAAGGTTACATTCCTTGGCACACGCTTGAATGATAAATTTTCTGCTATATTAGTCTCCAATGGACCTAACGGTAAATTCTTACTTTTGCGCTAAAATATCAATCTGATATTAAAATAACTGTATTGATGCCAAAGATTAAGAATGCGATGTTAAAATAAATATTTAGGCTATATCCATTTTTGGAATGTCTATAATGGTGGTGCTATTTATGCGTCTTTCAAGGCGGTAAGTCTGCAAAATCCAATCATTTAATCTTACTTTTGGAAAAATTATTTCCATATAATTAAAGATAATTTTATCTATCATCCACAATTTTTAATAAAAATTACAGACGGATTTTGATGAAATTGTGGCCATTGCCACCAATCATGATAACAGTAGATTATTTACCGCTGACGCTAAAGGTAAGCATTAAATGTAGCGCAAATGTTAAAATTGCACGCATAACATAGAGTTCTTATAATTATCAAATTAGGTCAGGCATGATTTAAATTCTAATATTATATTTTAGGTTTTATTGGCACTTGGGATATCAAGACTTATGCGTCCGGTGGCAAAGAGTATATGCCACCAGATGGTATGTACAATATAAATTATTATCATGATATCAGATTATTTATTATGATAGTATGATAATAATAAGAATTACTATTGTACCGTCTCTTAATTAGTGCTATATTCTTGGAGAGCTCATACTCAAACTATAACATCGTAAGTTTACAACGAGTATTCTGCGTAAATCATCGTTGTCATCACTGTTAATGTGTTTGAAAATCTAAATTTTGAGGCCAAATTACAATTTATAGGATGGATTTGATTGAATATCAGGAGGCTATTGCAACAGCATCAACTGATTGTACTTTGAGACTTTGGACCTACGAAGGGAAATATATTGGTAAATTTTGTTGCTTCACATAATTAGATAAACTAACAACAAAATTGATAACATTGATGCAGATAAATGGCTATTAACATCTCTCTTGCTTTAGGCACTTTTGGTCAACAAGAGAGCTGGGATATCTACGATCCAACATCCTATCAGAGCCCTATGGTACCTTATGATGTCTTAGTCGATCCTCAAAGTCTTCCTAATCACCCCATTTTGAAAGAGAAAACGGACATAATGCAAGTTGCGAATAAAAATTCGACTGTAGAACCTGAAAAAAAAAAAGGGCCCAACGTCCAGGTAAATCACTAATTACAAATAATTTTAATCGGTATTACTAGTAAGCCTTGATAGATTTGGAATTCATTCCATATACTGTATACAGAAAATATGTTTGATATCACGTATAAAAGTGTAGCAATTTATAGTCCCAGTATTCAGAATCATAAAATATTACCCCTTTTAGAAATACTTAATTAGCCCTAGTACCACTGCTAACGTGTTTACCTTGCAGTATTTTACATCTGTTTGCTACCTCTATTGATTTAATTCCTAGAGCCTCTTTTCGTAATTATGCGTATTTCGTATGTACTGGTATTATTAATTCAAGGCTGTTAACTGATATCCTTAATTGTGTGCAATTTCTCTTATGTATTTTCATAGGTTGAGCAATCCCCGACGCAATGGTATAAGAATATGAAGCATAATTCAAAGTAAGCAGTCCCATTAGTCACACAATTAATAACTATAATTTATTATTGAGCTATTGTAGTGCCGAATCATATAGCCAGCGTTTGTATAAATAAGCAGTCCTTTATTGATAGTAACGCTTTGATCATTTATTAAATACTATTTGACTCATTTCAAGGTTCGATGATTTGGATATTACTTCTGAAGTTTTAAGAGAAAGGCTAACTGGATCTGGCAAGAGGTACTTTGTGTTGATAGATCAAATACTAATCCATAATAGATTGTATTCTACAATACACAGATGATAGGATATGCATCGAATAGACGACGTTCTTAGCCAATAATATTAACTTGACGTAATTTATATAGTATGTAGGATAGTAGTAGAATATATACCAACTTTACTAACTGAGGTGTTTACCTGCGTAGATTACGTCACGAGATTCTAACACCATTACTAAGATCCAGAAGTGGCGTTACAAGGGAGTACCAATCTCTACCATGTTACGATTTGCAGGACACACCCTCTATACCGGAGCCTCAAAAATTGACATCGCATAACGATCCATTCGATAGTATTTTTAACTAACTGTATTACCCGATAACACATCAGGATTGTAAATTGCCACGCAATACATTTGTTAACTAGGACAATAGTCTTCTGAACTTATATTCTATCAAAGCATAGCTTCATGTAAATATGTGACATTTTATAAATATTTTTAAACTGTAACATAAGAATTTCATTTGCAATGATTTCTTATCATTTATTCACAGTAATTTCATGTGATGACAGGATAAGTCTAATCTACTGCTATATTGATCGAATCAATTAAATTATACAAAATCTATTATCTCCACACACTATTCTTATTCAAAGTATGCCATAATAAATATTGAATTTTATTTAACGCAATTAGCTACAGAAGCACTGCTAATTTACATTGAAATCATCTGGTACGGTATTACTTCAGGGATGAGCATCCCTTCATGGGACTGCTATTCATATATTTATATCAGATCCATATTAAGATGATTATAACGGTGCAGGCTCTAAGTCTTAGTACATTATCATAACATGGTTTAATATTCATGTTCAGTACGAAGTAAAAGATAGACAGCAGCGGTTAAACCACCAATGTTGATCCAGTAGCAATGGCGTCTTTTCCATAAATGCTTGTACTGTTGTAGAACCTAATCAAACATTGTATTTTACATAATTTTCTAGTTATTACATTCCAAATTTCGTATTTGATAAGAAAAAACGTTCATCGAACAAAGTGGCTACCTTAGTCATAACTTTGCTGTCTTGAGTTAGTAATACCGCTCTGCCACTTGAACAGCGACAAATCCGCGCCATTTCGGACAATGCATGATCATATAATTTCCAGTTTTTGTGCTTACTGCCAATTCTAATATTTAATAACACTAATTTATCGACGGCAAATGATGCAAATTTATGTGATAACAAATAATGTTAGATAAAACACACAATACATCATTTCTACTTGACATTTCCCAACCTTTTGCCAAACGGCTGCAAAAGAAATAGATTTTTGAAATTATAACGATATAAACATCAAATTATATACAGTGAGTACTATTATCATAGCTGCAGCAGTTATACGTAATTACCATATCGGATACAACGATATCAACACTATTACGACGAAGTGGTAAACAGCAAACATCCCATGTTGCTACGTCCATCGCCATCGATCTATGTAAAAAGAGTTCCGATATTATGCCAAGGGTAAATCCGAAATTAATTTATTAATGAGTAGCGGAGCTGGTTAGTAGTCAGAAATAATTTTTCACTCTTTCTTAGAATAAGCTAATCAATTTATGTCAAGTTGTGGGTGGTTGCTTTTTATTCCTTTATTTTACTTTGTAAAATTTGATTTAAGTACAGCAAGTACTAGACATAAAAATTACTAACTCACCTAATATTATTCTGGTTACCAGCATAGTCCCTATTTGCAACAGATCTGAGGCCAGCAGCATGATGATTATCACCGCAGATATGAAATGAACTAATCCAATTAACAGCTCCCTAGATAGAGACAAAGATATCAAGGTAATGAATATGTAGGCAGGACTGATACTTCAATTCGAATACTGCCCAGATTGGAGGTTACATTACCTCGACACTAATGGAGCCTCCACCAGCCATAGGATCACAAACAATGTCTCCATTCTGAATATCAGCTAACCTACAAAGTGGTTGAATACCAACATCGTAATGCGTATAGACGCGATATTCCGTAGTGTAATGTAAAGTGCAGTCATTAAGTAACAATGACAAATTTTCTACCTGAGCATATTATAAGCTATAGTTGAACGTAAAGCCGTTGGACCAAATTGGGTAATATTACGCCTGTGTAAGCTAGCACCAGTGAGAGCAATTGAGATATTGATTGAATTTTCGACAATATTGAGTATAACATTAATATCAGGGTTGCTTAGATCAACACGCCAATGCAGGAGGTCATTTATAGCTCCACCAAATTTGGCTGCACAATCCATGGAAGTAAATTGATGATCCTTGCCAACACGGTTACACGTAACTCGAAAGGTTGGTGTAGCAATCGGAATAACGTTATTCGGATGTGCGTTGATAGAGACATTGTTTTGAAGAGAAGCTTCTTGATTTTTATCATATAATAAAGCCGATGGAGGCATAGTAAAATCCGGAAGGGTTGGATAAGGCTTTCCGGTAAACAAGTGCCAGGTATATAACGGTTGTTTCCATTGTAATTGACTAGGTAAATCCAATAATCTATCCTGAAATGTCTCCTATTATCATTATGGTATAATAGTGTCGGTTGTGAGATTCATTATGCTTTGATATGTTGTCCTTGAGCAATAATGATTTATTAGGCAAAGAATGTCATTTGCATACGTCAAATAATACGTATTTGAGCATACGTTGTACTACTGACCTGAGGAGTGCAATATCCATCCATTTCAGCAACCATCACAGATAAGTTATCAACCGATTTTAAAGTATGCAGCTGGAAGTAGTATGCAATAGGTAAATTTCAGCTTTGTCAATAAATCATAATGAGGTATCGATGATAGCATAAGCACTCGATACTATTACTACAGCAATTATATACGTATCATTGATTACGGTGGTGTGCGAGCAGCCTTCAGATTGATTCAACTACAGTACTAACAAATACATGTACTGTGTAGGGATACAGCACTGCCATCAGCCTACGCAAAAGGCAGTTGTACGCAGATACAGTCAATGTCCCTTCAGCCTATTTGCCCTATAAATGCAAGCTACGTGAAGATTCATTAAACCACTGACAACTACATGTACTGTGTAGGGATACAGCACTGCTATCAGCCTACACCGAAGGCAAGTTGTACGCCAATACAGTCAATATCCCTTCAGCCTATACGCCATATTAATTTAATGTGAGCTGCCTTAAGATAAATTAAACCACTGACAACTACATGTACGGTGTAGTTATACAGCACTGCCATCAGCCTACGCAGAAGGCAAGTTGTACGCGAATCCAGTCAGTATCTCTCCAGCCTATACACCCCATCTTAAGGTAATGAGTGTTTGACTTCACTATTAGTACTTGACCAAGCTATGCTACAGTTATTCAAGTGTTTAAGCTGTAATAGTCAATCCCTAGGTGAGAATCAGGTAACGCTGGATTTTCGATCAAGTGATAGCAATATATCAATATTTTTTATTTTCACCTTATTGACGTCTGCTGGAGGTATGGAAAAATAAATCCGACCTCGTCCTAACTGGGCATCGGTGGTTAATTTTTCAGAGCACTCTTGACCAGCTAAAGCTTCAAAGCTGGTGGTCACCGTAGCACAGATTTTACTACTTGTTGTAGTATCCAATTGCATTGCAGGTAAATTAGTGTCTGAATTCTGCAATTCAGTCATGTCTTTATTCTAAGTTGAAGTCTATGTGTGCGATTTCAAGGCTGTAAAGAGTAGACAGATGATCAAGCAATGATAGACGGTCCAGTTTGCCTTGCAGACAGGTGAGTGTTGTGAATAACAATGGTCAGCAGCCGTATCGTTTCAATATAACTTGGATACGCTACTAGGAGACTAGATAAGGCTATTACGTATCGCTATACTCGTTCCACTCAGGTTTTTATTCGTGTCTACAGCCGTATCGTTTCAATATGCCTTGGATACGCTACTAGGAGACTAGATAAGGCTGTTACAAATCGCTCTACTCGTTCCACTCAGATTTTTACTTGTGTCGGAGACTAGATACGGTTATTACATATCCGCTATACTCGTTCCACTCACGTTTTTACTCGTGTCTACAGCCGTATCGTTTCAATATGCCTTGGATACGCTACTTGAAGACTAGATAAGGCTGTTACAAATCGCTTGTACTCATTCCACTCAGATTTTTACTCGTGTCGGAGACTAGATAAGGCTGTTACGTATCGCTATACTCGTTCCACTCAGGTTTTTACTGGGGTGTCACATCAGCTACGCTTCAGTTGAGGGCGTTTACCTTACAGTCTCTACTACAGTAGTACTGTAGTACTCTGGCCTACTCGTTTCCGTACTGTACTGTACTGTACTGTAGACTGGCGAGAGTTTTATGGCGGCAGGCTTGTAGACCAGAATAAAGAATAAGAAAGTGATTAACCCTGAGGTTGAGCCGCTTCTGAATTAAGTTTACTTCAGTCAATGGACAATTTGGTATAAGCTAGTGGGGGGTCTAGTGTACTGTATGTATCCTAGAGTCCCTCTTGGGTCTTGAGTGTACGCTAGAAAGCTGAACAAATCAGGATTTTTGACACTACAGTATTGATATTCTACAATATAGATGAATCCAAGTGTTGCGCTAGCAGTGCAGTATCGCAGAATGCTGCAAAACAACGAGATGCATCATTCGACCTGTTGTCTAACATGGTGACATACTGTGCATGTCTTGTCGCTCCTCGTTTGCCTTATTAATGATGAATACTCAATCGCCATGTAACATCTTCATCATTCAGCAAGGCGATCTTGTCTTCAGTAGGGCTAAAGAAAGCAAGAAGGACGAGAAATCGACAGCATAATCGAATCTTGCAGCAACGAAATTGGGCCGACAGTCGTGGACACTGTCACTTGTACTGAACTCTGCCATGAGTCCATGACACTTGTGTACGAATCTGTCTACTGAGTCATACACTCCAAAAAAGACCTCCAGTAGTAGTCCCTCTATTTCTACTGTACTGTACCATGGACGAGAGGTCCATCGTCTATGGTGTTATGTTGGTGGTAATCGGTAGTAGTTAGCCAGTACTGTACTATACTATACTGTACAGACATAGAGGGTCTCTACTGTACTGTACTGTACAGTATCGATATGTTTCTATATATAGTAACATATCGATGTGCAAGTGGGCAGTACCGTACCGTACCGTACTGCACCGGGCCGCACCGCGCCGGTCCGGACCGGACCATTCCGTGGCGCCTGTGGAGCTAACAGCGCGTCGCTTTGCTACAAATACGCTGTTCTCTCTCTTTTCTATACATTTGTATGCTCACGCTACAGGTGCATTAACCATTTTACCGACCGAGTGGAGATCACGGGAGAAAAAGTGACGAAATCCACTACCCAAAATTTTATTATTATTATTATTATCAATTGTTGTGGTTGCTATTTGCAGCACTTTGGCTAGCACGGTATCATGTCCGCACAAGAGGTATCGGATATCGATCAAGTACTCCATCAATTACAAAAATCAGTGGACGCTGGTGCACGTTCCGTCAACAGTAAACTATTGAAACAGTTACAACAAGCGTTGGATGAAGTTGACAATCATAAGATTAAACGTTCAATTTCTTTTATCTTGGATGTTGTGAAAGATGGTAAATCACAGGCTTGGTTGTGGCAAGTGGCCCGAGTGGTACGTTTATGCTTACTTAGACATTTGAAGGAAAGACGATTGGATGAACCAACGGTGAAATGTTATCGATCACTATGCGAAGAAATTGCGATAGTCTTTGGTATTTTAGATTCCAATATAGGTTACCATAAATCCCGACAATTATCAATCATGCCGCCTTACCTCTTATACTATGAGTTACGAATTATTGAGCAACAGTTGGCTGATTGCATCGATGAACAATCCGACTTGGTTTTTGCACCTTTCAATCCAATTTATATTAGTGTCCAAGACTTAATCAATTGTTATGATAACAACGAAGATCCAAATGGTGTCCAAATGGATCAAATACGACCAAGACAGAATAAATTTCAAGATATTTTATGGGAGTTGTGTGGTTTTCGAAATAACAACCCCTTCGATTTACGTATCTACCTCACTTTAGATCTTCTTTCTACTCTCCTGCTACAATGTGAACATAATCAGACTATTATACAAAAAATTGCTTACCTTAAAATTAATTATAATGCTTTTGCAGTGGACGAAAATCAATTTACCTATGGTTTACAGGATTACTTGAATCAGTTATTAAACGACGTGGATAATACTGATCGTCACAATGCTAACTATAATCCTCAAAGGCTCATTGTTAAATATGTCGAAGATGCTACTAAATTATTACGCCTCAACGATCAATTATCTCCTTCTATTTCAGCCAGTTTACGAGCTGATCTAAAACTAGTCTTAACCAAAGCGTCTACGCCCTATTTAAATCGTGCACTCAGTCATCTTGATTTAGAAACAGAAGAGAACCTCAATGCAAACACAAGTAATAATAACCTCGATCAAATCGATGGTAACATCAACAACGAACTGTTAGTACTCTCCTTGCCCAATTTACCTCAACCTTGTATAGGACGAAAGGAAGAACTTAGCTTAATCGATCAGCAAATATCTCAAACGGATAAATGGTCCATTTCACAGGTCGCAATTACCGGCTTAGGCGGTGCAGGGAAAACCTATGTTGCTCTTCAGTATGCTCGTACGTGCCTTGAAAGGCAACGTTACAATATTGTCTATTGGATCCATTCGGAAACTGTATTATCACTACAAAGTAGCCTAATAAGTTTGACCTATGAAATGGCTAGCAAGTTATCTCTAGATCAAGATCGATCTATTAAGGCTTTGTGTGAAGAAGTTAACAATGATCCTCAAGGGCGACCCATTTTATCATCGTATATGAATAACCAGATATTAACGGCCATAGGTTCTAACGATCGTGTTCAAAATATCATTAGTAAATGCCGTCAGGTAATACAACATTCACGCCAACTCAACTTTCTATTAATCTATGACAATGCCGACAATATTGAAATGGTTTCTAGTTATATACCGTCTTGTGGTAACTGTCATATTATAATAACATCTAGAAATAGGAACTGGCCTAATGCTATTGACATTGGCCCCTTCGATAGGCCAACATCGATTTGCTATTTATCCAACGAATTAACTAAGAGCGCCATATACCAACATCATCCTTTAGATGAAGACCTGTTGGATAAATTATCTGATCAGTTAGGCGATTTACCATTAGCGTTATCGCATGCAACTAGATATATCATTCAAAATAAATACACGATCGAAAAATATATGGATTCATTTGAAAAAGAGCGTAGCCAACTATGGCATATTAAATATGCTCCAGATGAGTACAAACAGTACGGGCAATCAGAGCAAGAACATTCGCAAGAACATTCGCAAGTAATCGCCCAAAAGAAGACTATCAGGACAACCTGGACTATATCTATGGATTCATTGCGTAAGAACGAAGAAATGTGCTATTATATCATGCAATATCTTGCATATTTACGGCCGGATAATATTCCCAAGTGTTTAATTATTGATTTAACGAATTTTATCAGGAACAGTTGGTATTGGTATTTTCGTGAATTGTTACGTAAAGTTAATTTTAATAGTAAGAAGGACAAAGAAAATGTTCAACATTATATTGACATATTAGTAGACTATTCATTTTTATATGCCTACGATGACAATTATTCTATTCATCGATTATTACAACAGACTTTGCGCGATAAGAATAAAGTTGAAAAGCGACATAGTAAAATTTTATATACGCTATTGTCGTTTTTTGATAGTCAAGCTGAAATAGGGGTCGACTTGTCGATGCATGCATACCAATGCTGCAAATACACTACTAAAGATACCAAGTTATCAGCTGTACGGTCAAGTGTTCTTAAAAAAGTTAAACTTGCAGTCAAGTCTAACCCTTCCGATGCAGAAATTGCTGGTGATCTTGAATTTGATTTAATAACTAATATCGAACGAATGAGCGATGAATTCAATAACAAATATTCCAGTAAGGATGAAACAACATCGAAAAGGATCTTTGGCAACTTAAGCCCATATATGACAACAACAATGTTGTTACCGCCATTAACCTTAATATGCGTGTTGATCATATTTAAAAGGGCGTAGTTTAGTGTAAATTTTGTGTAAAGGCAATTTTGAAAATATTACCAACGGTTATCAACTGTTCCTTTTTATTTTGTATTTTTACGGAAAGATTAGAAATATACATGTGAATGATAAAATCCAAGTATATGGAAATATAGCGAAAGAAATAGAAATAATTGTACAAACAACTAATATCGCCGTCTTTTAATGATATCCGGTTTCCAATTGATTGGATTAGTTTCTTCAGTCTTTATGCAAATTGAATGATAATAATGTCATCATTCTAGGATTCTCATGTAATAAAATTTTTAAAATTTTAAAACGTACCGCAGTTTCGTCCTCTTTATAGATTTTGATAGTTTTGTCAGCTTCGCATGTTATTAGGCGGCTACCACTTTTATCAAAAGCCATGGCATAAATACCGGCTTCACTATCTAAGGAGCCGGGCTGTACAGCAGTAGTAATCTTCTGAAAGTTATATCCAGTTCTCCAATCCCAGAAATGGAGTGTTCCGTTATCGGCTACATAGGGCAAAGGAAAAATTGACGTTATACATCATTCGTAAAGGCGATAAGGTAAATTTTAAAATTTTGATTCGAAGCTATTCAACAGGAAAGCAATTTTGAAGTGTTTACCTCCAGAAACGACAACATTATCATTATTAATAGATAAACAGTTTAAAATAGCATTGTGCCCGGAAAAGTTTTGCATAAATTCTCCATTGGGTAGTTTCCATTGTTTGATATTATCAGATGAGGCGGAAGCGAACGCAAATCTATAATTGATCATAAATACATATTGACCAGTATGAGTGAATAATAAATAAATAAATGATAATTTTATAACGAAAAATTCAGGATATCAAATGTATATATGTAAGATAATGTTAAACATACTGAGAAGGATGTAAGGCAACTGTCCTAATACTTTTTTTATGGTTGGTTAAAGTCGTTAATGTTCGACCAGCAGCAAGATCCCATAATCTTATAGTGCTATCATGGCTTCCAGTGATTATCTACAATGTAATAGAAAACAATATAGACTAATTAAAGATGGATTGTGAATAGAAGCCGTGTCCGAATCGTTCTAGTCACGGGACATGCATTACTTGCGGATCAACAGCCTGGCACTTTACTGTAGCCACAGTATTAGTATGACCAGTTAGCGTGTGAATAGCTGCCTTAGTTCGCATATCCCAAACCTATAATGGATTCAAATTAAGATTCATTCATGACTGTAACTTAGTTAGGTACTGCAAATTGTTAATGTGTCATGGTTATAAGATTACTCTAGCGGTAGCATCGCGACCACAAGTAACGAGGACGTCTATAGAGGGGTGGATATCAACAGCATGTACTGCGCTTAAATGCCCATGATAATGTCGAATGACCTAATATAGCATCAAATCATGACTGCCGATTAGAGCGAGATGTTTATTCAAGGGTGAAATAATGCCTTACTTATGTGAAGTAGCTGACAACCGTCCTTACCTTGTTACATTCTAAATCCCAACATTTCACTTGTTTATCCTCACCTACGGAAAACAAATACGGATGTCTTGGGCTAACAGCTAACCCACGTACTACACTAATGTGACCGGTTAGAGATAGCTTTAATCGTCCAGACGCTAGATCCCAGATCTTCATCACAAATAGTTGAATTATTTAGTTATGGAATAAAATGGTAACATTACTAAAGTTAATACAATCACTACCTTAATCGTACGATCTCCAGATCCAGTGGCAAACCAATCGTTTCCTGGTTCGATAGCTACTGCCCGGACCCATCCATGATGGCCACTAATTACCTAATGAATAAGAGTATAGTATTAAGATACGAATGATTCCTAGCGTGCGCAATCACTACTTTGATAACAACGTGTGGTTGATGCTGTTCTTACCCTCATGAGTTTCCAAGGTGGATGCCATTGTGGCTTAGGTAAAGATGATGCTTTTCGCGCTATTAACTGACTACTAGACGGTTGTATCTTGGCTACAGCCTTCGACTACATCATTCAAAGGCATCAATGATAAAATTATTCAAATTGATTTTTATAAAACCAAATCAATATTATTATCAACACAAAGGATGAACAATTAAGAAATACATTATTCGATTTTCCTTTAATGTCAGCAATTCCAGCGCCACGTTTCTGCACTTCTAACCTATAAGATGTCGATCTAATGGTGATGATATTGTCAATGCATAATAGTTTAACTTTCAATAATCTTACTGGTCTTTGGAAGGAGGTAATGAACGATACACTTGGTCCTTGGCGGCTTGAGAAATAGGCTTTCCCTTAGCCATAGTATTATCGGAAAGTTGGACGCCTAGAACACATGAAAGATGATCGTCTGAACGAATACGAGCAAACACAAGTATGATATATTCCGTTGTTACAATAAAGGAAGACATCAAGTTTTTCCAAAGCAATCAATATCTACTACGTTTGAGTTAACAAGTTAAGGCAATGGCTAGTATTTTGTGATAAATTCATAGTCTATCAAGGGTCAAAGATATCGGACAAATTTGAGTTGTGTTAATACGTTTTTCCATCTAACCTGGTGCAGACGGGTATGGATGACCTCCAGTTACAATCGGTTGTGAAGTATCTCCTATGGATTGTCATTATATGTACAATAATTAATTAATATAAGAGTCCATTATGAACCTGGAAATGAGCTTGCGAAACAAATTTCAAACGCAAGTCATTTATCAACTGCTTCTTGTATAGTGCACCATTCTATTACTGTATATAACATTGAATTACTTTCTGTCGTTGCAATGATTTCTGGATCTCCGTTATCGTTGGAGGTCGCTATTCCTGTCATGGCTTGCTTGATTGGTGGTAAATCTTTTACATTGCAATATTCATCCATAACTTTAAAGTTCATCCGAGATTCGTCGCTGTCAATATTGTAGTGAAGATAGAAAGCAATGCAATGAATGATGTGCAAATGTAAGCATGAACAAGAAAGAAGGATTAACATTGAATCAAGTTTTCAAATCGTTGTATAAGTGTATTTGGTATACAGAATCAATTTTTAGCATGGACCCATTGCAGTATACCGTAGTAGTATTACGCTTGGCAAATGAACGATCCAAGTGGATCAACGTAGTGTGTTAACGATAGCCTCTTTATTGGCGAAATGTCGTTATGGACGGTATACACTTTCAATCAATAACATCATTTTACATGCTACTGGAATGAGACAAGTCGATGTTGGAGAATCAAACCTAATATCATCCTGTGGTAACGGTTTCATAAGATCGGACATGAACATCTCGTGGGTTCTTTTGAGTGAGCGAAATATCATTGTATGTGCGGAAAATTTTTGTTGGGTTTCCTAAGCAGAAGATAATATTGTTAGCAAGCATTGAACAAAACAGTTTGAATAATAGTGTTGTCCAGTCTGGTGACTACAGTGGAAATGGTCGGTGAAGACGATTAACATGAGTTGATTTCGATTTTTATTCTAGCAAAATAACAGCATTAACTCACCATTTTGATTCTCCACGGACGGACACGTTGTGGTACTGTACAGACTTCGCTTTACAGTGGGTCATTATACATTATTATACCAGTTTAGCATCAACGTTGATCGTGTACCGTACTGTACAGTACAAAAAACTGTCGCAAGTCTGCAGTAAAGTACTGTACTGGTAGGGCCCGCGCCGCGCTCGTGTATAGTGTACCCTGTACTGCTATCTATGGTATAGGATAGTACAGTACAGTACTGTAGAGTTCATACGAACAAGCGTATTGAAGGTTAGTACAGTACTGTACTGCAGTATTCTCAATCTGTACTGTACACTGTACACTGTACAGTACTGTACGCTTGTTCGTTAGTATACTGTACTGTACTGTACTGTACTGTACAGTACAGTATTGAAGGTTAGTACAGTACTGTACACTGTACACTGTACAGTACATCGTCTAGTACAGTACAGTACACGGTATAAAGTTACTGAACCTCTGACAGATCTACGACAAATGGTAATACTATCTGTCAAATGAGCACATTATCGTAAACCGTCAGCAAAGCGACGGGAGTTTGTACTAGTAATATTATAATTTATATATTACTAGTGCAAACTCCCGTCGCTTTACTGACGGTTTACGATAATGTGCTCATTTAACATCTTTTACGTATAGAAGGTTAGTACAGTACAGTACAGTACTGTCAATCTGTACTGTACTGTACGTATGTACTGTACACTGTACAGTACAGTATACAGTATACAGTACAATCAATTTTGCCCGGCGTGATAGTACAGTACACTAGTACAGTAGTTGCAAACCAACCGTCTTTGAATGACGCACAAGATGGACGTTGTCCTACAGTTCTAGCACTAGTCTTTTACAAGATTTTAAAGCTAAAAAATGGCTTCGTTTTTGAAAAAATTTCTTGTTCAGGATAGTACTAAGCGTTCGAAGGGTTAAGTGCAACAGTCGACACACAGTCTGTACTACGACTATATGACAATCCATACTTGTCACTTGGCTGACGAGGCTAGCTTGAATTTTACTAATCATTATTTTAATGAATACCCTATTAAATTGACAAATAGAAGAAGACGAGTAACATCGAATAAGTAACTCTATGATAAATTCAGTGAATGATCGAAAATCGGCTATTAATATCATTCATCAAGTAAAAATAAGCGTTGAAATACATTTGACAAAGTAGAACTATCAAGATTGTACTGACAATTTGTCCAATTTGGATCCCCATACCCAGAACTGGCAATGCGCTAAATTTAGTCCATCAATTATGACGAAAAATCCCCTTGCATCAAATAAATAAATAAATAGATTATCGAAACAAGTTCATGTTATATATATTGCAGTACATCAACAGCTTATCGTAACATATCTGCTGTGCAATGCCATGTACGTCAAACTGTATTGATATACGAGTAAGTCGAAGATTATTGCAATTCTAGCTCTGTTCTCAAATGAAGTCGATATGGAGGCGCTGGACAGTATCGAATAAAACGACACCAAAGGCTATCTCATTTTACTCTCATTCCAATGGCGATATTACCGCAGAGGTTATCTCATCTCCCTCGAATTCCAACGACGCTATTTCTAACAACAGCACGCCAAAGGTTTTCGCAGGTCGTTCCAATTCCAAGCGCGACGTGACCGCAAAGGCTATCTTATCTCACTCTAATTTCAAGGACGATATTTCTAATAGCACTAGGCCAAAGGTTTCCTCATCTCATCCTGATTTCAACCACAACATTCCTAATAGCACTAGGCCAAAGCTTTCCTCATCTCACTCTGATTTCAACCACGACATTCCTAATAGCACTAGGCCAAAGCTTTCCTCATCTCACTCTGATTCCAACCACGACATTTCTAATAGCACTAGGCCAAAGCTTTCCTCATCTCACTCTCATTCCAACCACGACATTTCTGATAGTACTACACCAGAGGTTATCTCAGCTTACTCTAAATCCGATAATACTACACCAGAGGTTGTCTTATGTCACTCCGATTCCGATAATGACATTGCCTACGGCAAGAAATTAGAAGTACACTTGAAAGAGCTCGGTGTAAGGGTTTTCAGAACTGATAAATCACTCACTCCAGGAAAGTCCATAAGTGCAGAATTTGGTAGACTTGCTCAGAAGCTCTTTATCTTTATTTTAAGCGGACACATTTTTACCCGTGCGAATAACTGGCTAGATCATGTTTTATCACTTAAAAGCGATGAAGCTGATCCTTCAGCTAGTACAAACAGGGGACTCGATGATATTGTTATAATTCCTGTTCTACGTATGCCAAGTCATGAATTCGATCGCTATTGCCGCCCTAGCTTAAGTAATTTAAACAAAATCGAAGGTTTAAGAGGGCCCTCAAGCGTTGCCGATATTGTACATCATATTCTACAGGAAGGTAACAGTATTGACAATAATACTAATAGTGAAATTTGCTTTGCACAATTTTCTATCCAAGTAGATACCTATCTTAATCGTAATCAACTGATTTTGACTAATTTTTATTACATTAAATAATAATGCTATAACTCACTATTTGCAATATCATGCTATACAATTTCAATAACCAACATTCAGTATCCTGCCTTGATAACAATGCAAATTAGCTGTTGTTGATACTAGCAGAAGCTTTCTGCTGGTTACAATTTAATGCCCCGACTTGAGTAGACTAAGTTAAATATTACTGTAGCTCCTATTTGAGATATTTTGAAATGTGTTGGCATATTGTGATGGATGCCCTTGTAGAAATTGGCGTTTCGTCTCCATCGATTGATTAACTATGCCTATTAATATCAGTTGTTTGATAGAATGGACGTGTTTGTGCGCTTGTTAGAGGACTACATCATAACGCAGCTTTAATTAATTCTAATACCTATAGTACAAAAATGCGTTAGTTTGAAGGGCAAGACTCTACGACTGGTGGGATTACATAGTAACCTCACGGAGTATTTTACTGCAATTAGTCTTACAGATGGATTTGTAATATCTTTCTCACGCGTCCATTGAAACTATTTTATCAGAGACAAGATTTATTTGCAGTTACGCTTGAAATGAATACCTTATATTACAAGTTGCGATAGCAATAATTTCATGAAATATCAAAAATTTCTCTTATATTCTTTTCAATTTTTTTTGCAGTATTTGCAGGTATAATTTAAGAGTGGTTTAAAATACAGCTTGCGAGCTTATAGATTGAAAATTTTTTAATGTTTTTCCTGCCAACTTATTCAATTTTTAGGAAGTACAAGTAGTAATTTTGCACCTTGGCTATCCCAATATCTTCGTAATCGAAAGGGTCAAGGTATTCGATATTCTAGGAGTTAATTCCTACCAACGCAATTTTGCTGCATCGATAAGTCAGTTTAGAATGTCAAGAGATGTTACAATTGAGGATATCATTAAAGTAGAAGATGAAACAATCTGAATAATAATTTGTAACTGACATTAATTCAACACTATATTAAAAAAAACTTATTGGAACGGGTAGAATTCACTAGTTATTACAAAAAACTTCTTAGATTAATAAAATAATTTTTATAACTTTCCTATTCTATTCACGCATAGAGTTACCCAAGGGTATACAATACGATGTATTTGTTACCTATCAAGAAAAAACAGAATACGTACAAGCATTAGTGGGAAAACTGCGCTCAGATTGGTTCAGTTTAAAGGTCTACGATAAAAAGCTAGAAGGTTTAACACACTCTCTTATTGAGCCAACAATTGAGAAATCGGCTAAGATTTTGGTCATTTTAAACGGCAATTTTAACTCTGTAAAGTGGCAGAATCATTATCAACCATGGATAAAGTATCATAAAAAAACTGCTCAAGTTACGTGTATACTATGTGATCCAGAAAAATTTTCAAGATTAAGTGAGACCGTTTTTGCAAAGGCGCAGCGCATTGACTGGAATGATGCCTACCTATACGAAACGTTGTATAAAAGATTACGGGAACAGTAAGTTGCTCCAACTTCTCATATTCACTTTCAAACTGTAACCTTATTACAGTACAAGTACTTTGAATAAATGAATTAATTAGTGTGACAATTAACTAATTATAGTGTCATCAATGATATAATTTTGTTGAGTAATGAATCATATGTTAACACCTAGCCATTAATTAATTAACGACTATTAAATATCATAGAAAGTGTGTTGCGATTCTTGCTCTATTCAGCATGTAAACTTGACTATAAATTTATCATTGTTTTGCATCAACGAAGCTTGTGAGGCTATCTAAAAGCCTCAAAGTTCTTAATTGAAGGAGTTGATAAGTTAGTCGATAACAGATGGTTATCAGTTGTTAGTAGTAGATTGTAAGTTATGATTTCGATCGGTCATTTTAATAAAAAGCCTTTAGAATAAAGCTTTAATCCTTAACGTCAGTATTTTATCGTCTAAGACTGGAATCTAGGTTTGGTAGATTAAAGAGCGCTTAGAGCTACTTGCTTCGATAGTTAGCACTACTTTAGAGGAAAGAACCCCTTTAATTTTTTTATGTAGCAATCTCGGTTGTGACAATTAGGAAAATATTTGTATCCGCTTAGTCAAGCGATATACGAATTGTCAAGCTATGCTTTTAAGTAATTTTGCACGTATGCTTGCTGCCAGTGATACCATGCCACGGCGCTTAATTAATAAAATCCAGGTGAGCTGGTTGAAAGTGTATATGTCGTTTACCAATAACTAGTAGCTTTCACGTAGCCCTTGATTGAACTATCTATTGGATAGCTGGCACACGCAAGATATAAACATAATCAGTTTAAATAAACAAGTATGAGCTGGCCTACTTGCTATTTTTCAAAATTATAAAAACTACACGTACTGTACTTGTACTTTTTACTTGACATTATCGTGGACTTGCGATGGCTGCACTAAAATAATAGCCTTACTTGACCATATACCGCGTAATGCAAACCCTCGTCAAGAGTATTTCTAGGCAATGTAACTTATAGGAACGTATGTCCTTGTATATCCATAGCAGAGAATGCTACCTAACATTATTTTAGGCTACTAGAGTTTATTCTTGGTTTGCATAGCTTTTAATTGCTACATACAAAGTGAACGATAGATCAACGACAAGCCAATTTCTACAGTACCAGGAAGGCTTATAAAATAGTTGACAAGACAGTAAAATGAAAAAATGCAGAGTAGTCAAACAGTTGTACAGACTATAAAGGATTACCTTGTAGGTCATGACAATTGTAGAATCTACCTTTGTAACATTGTATGTCTAGCAGACCATATTAATCCCTATACTGAATGTTATGACGTTGCCGTAAGCGCTAAATAAATCTGATTACAAAATTGATTAGAGTCCGCTTCATTCTAATTTCCTACTCTACTCTGGTTACGGCTACAAAGTCTGCTATAATGAAAAAATTGATTGACTACTATAAGACGTTAACGATAATATGTAATCATATAGAATCAATTAATTATCGATGGGCTTCCAAAACAATTCATCAATAACATTCACTCAGAAAATAAAAGTTTGAATTTGGATCATGACTAATAGTTTCTAAATCATCATATTAGAAATGACGGAATTAACAGGTTATGATACAGATAATGTGTATTTACATGCAGTACGTATAATTCGAAGTCAATAAAAATACTAAATAATTCGAGGATATACTGCATTATCATATTGCAGTATTGTAACGGGCAAAAAAAATTGGCACGGGTGCAATCCCTAACTGTAACTTTTCGCATCTATAGGCCTATTAATAATAACATGTTTGTAACGCCATCATCACACAGTGATGATCATTTTTGTGATATGCTAAAACTACGAATATTCGTATTTCATGACGTAATGGCAAAGGCCAAAAATATTTTGATTTTTCTACAAAATATCCGGTTAACGAGACTTTTTCACCGAAGTGGTTTTCATAATATTCCCAGAATTGATGCAAGGCTTAAGTGGAGTTGCAAGTCTATCAAATGTGTTCGTTGTTTCATGAAGGATTTGATTTTCCAGCTTTCTTGTTGACCTTTTCTCTTTATCTAGTTGGTCTTGAAGCTTTACTACCTCCTATATACACAAAAAGGTGATATAACTTTCCTGGTGTTGACTTATATGATTACGTAACTTAGGTATCATGCAAGAAAACAAGAATTGAATGAAATTTAGTGTTTAATTACATAAATAGAGACTTCACATACCTGCTTTAGTCGAAGATTCTCCTCTTTAATGCGTTTAATATGCTGAATTTTCTGCTTGTTATTCTGATGTCCAAGAAGCTTAGCATAGTTTTTACTTAATTGATTGACCTAAAAATTAAATGAAATCCAAGTGTTGGATAGAAAGTAGCATGTACTGTCTAGTCGCTTTCAGTAATAAAAGCGTTCTGCTAAATATGTGTATAATTGAAGTTTTATGACCTCCTTCGTTGCTTCTTTATTTTGATAGAGAAGTAATTTCTTTTCTTCTTCATACTCCTCCAATTGTGCCTTAATTTAATATTAACGTTAGCGATATTCTAATTAGCATAAAAGTTATATTGGCAATATACAGTAGATTGTAGGATAGCAGTCTTCGATTATGCGTACCTTAAAAGGTAATATCATTTCGTTCAAATTTTCATACATAGTTTTCCATCTAGTATACAAGATAGAGTTTTCATATTTCAGACTACAATCTATCAATGGTATACTAACTAGCTACAATAATCCAATATCTTACTTCTCTGCCTCTGTACGCCATTGTAGTGATTCTGTCAAATATCTAACGGGCGGTATAAGTTAAAATGTAATCTTAAAAACAATTCTTGGTTATATGCTGTTAAAAAGATTTTATTCATTAGTATATTTAAATTACTGTTGGCTTTTCTCCTGGTATGTTGCAATGACTTCCTCCTTAGCTGCTGTTAGTGAATTATTAAACTGCAAGAAATTTAAATGTTTGATAGATGGGTTAAGTTCAGTAGATGAAATAAACCATTAATTACAACTGATAACTAGCAATCGTATTATAGCACCCGCAACTACCTTGTGCACTTCCGATTCCATAGATGCTCTACATGCTGTAATATCTTTCTTGAGATTATTAATTTCTGTAATGCTTTCCTTAGCTTTTAATTCCCATCGTGATACTTTTTGCAGATCTCTGCATTCGGATTATATTTTGATAACAAAACATTTTCAATCGTTTCGGCTTTTAACCAACTTAAATGTGTATTGCTTAGATTTCTTACTCGATTGTACTTTCAAGTTCCATCTTATGCGCTTCAGCTAACTTTTTGGCTTCCACTAGTTGGCCGGTTACCTACGCATTACAAGATTATCAAATACTATTAGTGAGAGTTGCTTACAATATTTTGACAATATAGCGTAATCTGGTTTAATTAAAGCCATATTGACAACAAAGTCAAATGAGTCCAATATCTGCGGACATATCTTCATTCATCTACTCACTAAGTCAATTTGATGAGTTGATTCTGCTTTCACTTCATCATACATTTTGCCTAATTCATCGTATCTTTTATCTTTTTCCAACACAGCATTCTGTAACAATTTAATGTTGTTAATAGGTAAGACTGCCAGTAAATTAGCTTTTAGGTCGATTTTAGCTATCTTAAATTCTACGTAATTGCGTAATAACCTTTAGCTCATTCAAGTTTTCAGAAAGTTCATTTATATTCCTTTTCATGTTGGTATTCTCAAATTGCCTAATAAAATTTTAGTAAGTTAGGTGAGTTGAAACGCATACTTTAATCTAGTGCGATTGCGGATTTACACAGTTGCAAAACTAACAAATCTTCAATCAGCTCTTTTTTCTCTGCTAGCTCATTTAAAAGTTGCTGCTGTCTATTAGTTGCATTTTTCTTTTCGTTAGTCAGCGCTTCTAATGCCAAACGATTCTTTTCCAATAAGGAATTCATTTCCTGCTCGATAAATCCCTCGTTTCTGTTCGTAAAGTTGATTATTATTATAATTATACGCATTGTCAAATCCCACAGCATCAAAGATATTACTTTCATAACGATAAGCTATGAATTCTTGGTTTGCTTCTATTTGTTACAGTACACTTACTTCTTAAATTCATCCTTCAGCATTTGTATCATTCCTTCAGTTTCAGCAATAATTAAAGAACGCGCTGCTAGCTGCTCTTGCATGGTATAAACTTCAGCCTTTAAATTTCTACACAAACAGTGAATCATCACATTAACTATAGCCAAGTGTTGGTATATCTACGCTGTGGTTAAGACATTTATTTCTTCGGAAAGTATATACTACAGTATATATAAATTTACTGCATTAGTAAATAGGTTGTTGCTATTTAGACAACAACAATTTTTGGTGATTGCCTAGTAATAGTTGTCATCCATTTTCCCAATCGATAAAAATCAAACTATGCATACTATATAGCGGCAGTCCAGAATTAGATTTCTATCATATAACATGTGGAAATTTTACGTGTTTAGGAAAAAATTATAGATAAATTCATCGAAGCTTACAGAATAGTTTCCTCCATGCTCTTCTTAGAGTCTGTTAATGTCATAACTTCCTTTGTAATTTGATTCACTTGATTTTTTAATTGTTGTCTGTCCGGCATAATTAAGTGAATGAGTAACAATAACAGCATTTTTAATTCATTTTCATCGGCATTACATGATATTACTTACTTTTCCATTGCATGGGAGTGGATCGAATTTTTGGCTTCATCTGCTTCCGTTTCGAGTGTTTGAATACGCTGATTACGGACATTAATATTTTCTTCAGCAATTTCGATGTCGACTTGATATCTATCAATAGCTTTCGTTAGTTCATGATTTTGGTTTTCTAACTGTGTCAAACGCTTCTTTAAAACTGTAATTTCATTTTCTGAATCGCGCTTAATTTCTTGTAGTTTTTCTATCTCAGAGAACTGTTTGTTAATCTCACTTTCACAGTGAGTTTGCTTTTCTAAAGCCATTTTTAAGTGCTGCTCTAGATCCTTGACTGTATTTTCAGTAGCGATCAAAGTATTTTCGGTTGCAGCTAATTCTTGATTGCAATTTTCAACGTGTGCTTGACTTTCAGCAAGATTTTCTTCAAGTTCTTGCATATCGCCAGCTATTTTCGAGTTAATTTCTGTTAAACTAGATATTTTTTGTTGTAAAGATGCCTTCATATTTTGCATTTCCTCTTTAGCTTCGTTGACTTGATTGGACATGCCATGCAATTCATCACGAAGTGAAATATTTTCTTCATTACTTGTTCTTAAAGCTTGCTCCATTGATGCAAGTTTAGTTTGCAATTCATTGATGCTTGCTTGAGCATCTTCAATCTTATCATTTAAATTTTTTAATTTTAAATTTAAATCGTTTATTGTTTGGGTGGCTACTTTATTTTCGGACTCCTGCTCGCTGAGAGCTTTTGCTAAGCCACTATTTTGATTTTGCAATTTCTAAAATAAAATGAAACCGCCTATGAGGATGTAGTTGTAAATTTGACCAATTTCTATTTTTACAATTTAGGAAAGCTTGCTTTCACATTCTTAGTACTGTTACCTCACGATCCATTTTTATTTGGCCAATTTCCACATTTATGGAGGCATTTTCAGTTTCAAGCTTCGCTTTGCAGTCTAATTGATCGAATGAAATGAATAGACATGAAGTATACTGTACGCTTAGCCTTATAACTTATATTATATGCTACCACAGCAGCTTTATAGTTGCTCTATATAACTCCAACCTTGGCTAACTGATAATTTCTGTCGAATGTCATCACAATTTTGTTGAACATCGATGAGCTTACTTTCTATAAATATCATTAGATAACATTGGCATTTACATTAAAATTGCTAGCTTGCCCACTTGCTATGTGATGTGAATTATATATTACTTGCTATCGTAATCAGCACACAGTCAGCAAAAATTTGTCAACATAAATGTACCATTTACTACGCACAATAATTGTTACAGATAAACACGCAACATTTGCTATATCAATTTTTTAAAATATATAAATATAGATATACTGTAGATGAACGAAAATGGATTCCATTAATACATATATGGTTATAAAATATTTACCGATCTCTAAAGTTTTTGACTCAAGTAACTCATTCTCAGCGATAGCTTCTTCTATTTGGTGAGTTAGAGCATTAACGGCAGATTTCGATCGTGATTCTGTATTCATGAGTTCCTAACAAGAAAATGCTCTGATATCTCAGCGACATTGTACCATTTGAGGAAAAGTTAGCAAAAATAGGCGATTTAAAGACCATAGTAGGTACCTCGTCTTTTACAATTAATTTTTTGTTTATATCGGCTAACTCTGCTTGGACTTGATTTAATTTGGAAACGTTTACACTTGATTTCATCTAAACAATATACCAATGAATAATTGATTCATGCAAACAAGCTTTATGACAAACTATCAGGTTATTGAAGTATTAAAGGTAGTAGCTATCTAGTATATAAAAGCATCAATTGAAAATAAATTATTACGGAACTATCACTATTGAATCAACTTTCCAAAATTAATCTAAATCGAGTCAGTCGCTAATCAAGATTTAATTTATCTTTTGAGACCTCACGCTGAAGACCTTCATTTTTATGTAAGATATCATTGATTTCTTTCTGTAGTGATGCAATAGTTGATTGCTGCTTAGTAGTCTCTTGCAATGCCATCTGCCAAGCAAGTGACATGAGTACAATATATATATATTAGCCAAAGCTTAAGGTACGATGAAATCAGTGCAAATTAGCCCGATTGATATAATAAAAATGAAGTATTGGCATACATTTAATTTGCTGTCAATTCGTTTTTTCTCATCTTGAAGTTTCTGCAATTCCTTGTCTTGCTGAACTCGCTCATAGTTTAGCTGTCGAATACGTTTCTCTAGTCCGCTGCAATCGTTAGTATTACATGTTGCAGCTTTCCTTTTCCTGGTGCTAGACGTAGTGATGCTAGCCTAAAAGAAAAATATTTGTTCAGAACTGCTGGTAATGGCATTGATTTTACTAGCTAGAGTGGACACCAGCTTTAAAACTCGAAAGAAATACTGTATATACCTCAGAGTTAGTTACCGGTTTAACACCACAATGCCTTTTAGCGGGAGTCTCTATTAATTAAATAAATAAATGATATTCGTATCATACTAATATTTCATTATTAGATACAGGAAATAGATAGTTGGATAGATAGATTAAGTGTATCAATAAAATAGACAGGTTACTGTGGATATTTCTGTTAAGGTAAATGCTATAATAGCTGTTATATATTTATACGTTCGAAATTACAACACATATATTCATTTATTTATTCTAATATGCTTGTATTTATATTCTAAATGAAAATGTATTATTTTAAGCATTGTATGGCCTAATGTTGTGTATTATTAAGATGGTATAATTGTACATTGCATCTCTACCATTTCTCAATTTATCAATCCAAAAGATTTGTAAATATCCTCGTATTATCTGCACTATTTTGTTATGTACAGAAACAGGCATAAGTCGGTACGATAATTGAATCTTCTTACCTGTAGTCTTAATTTTATTATTACTATAACCGGCAGCATCTTCATCTTCTATGTGATAGATTAGATTACAACATTCAGTATAATTATTTATCAAACTATTTTCATATACATGACATGAGTTGTTAAAAAGAATGAACTATATGATCATGACAACCTCTTAAAAAGATATTAAACCGTATTCGAGTACATGTGCTGCAGAGACCTGCATGGGTCTTGAAGACCTGATATGCAGTAATCATTGCGTGTACGGTAGATTATAATAATGAATTTTTAAAATTTCAATCAAACAATTATCACAACTCATTCGCAAGAATCAGGTAATCTAATTAAAAGAACTGATTATATCTAGGAAAATGAATAACTGTTAATAGTTTACAAAATGTCTCACAGACCAGTTGTGACACTACAAGCACCCTAAATTATAGCATACCATTTTGCGAAAACCGTTTCGCTTTATCAAATATAGCAGCACCGGTAGTACCAGCTTCCGCCTGAAAAGTCTCGTAACTGCCCACAGGTGGCCCTTGTGGAACTACAAGTTTGCGGTAGAAAATATCATATTATCAAAAAAGAGACTAGTGGTAAAACTAGCGTCAAGCAGGTATCGAGCCCATTTCATTTTTGATTTAATAAAAGTTCAACTAGGATTGGATTTTCAACATTTATATTTGATAACCTATGATTGGTCGACGATCGAGATAGGATGCAAGCAAAACATGCTGATTATTGCTAAGTAGTAAAGCACAGTAAATCAGCCTAGATACTGTGGATATTATATACGTTTAATTTAATTTATGAGGCAAGATGTTATGATTCCTCTTCTTATCTTGTAAAAATAGGTATTGCTTACTCCTCTACCTTGACCATTGACTGATTACCGAATTTGAAAACTACGTTTTTGCAATACTATGAGTGTATGGCATTAACACATAGTATCAGCTAAGTGAGACATCCAAGGATTTTCTAAATCAACCCATTATTGGCTATCCGATGTAGAAGTGACTGTACTGTACACTGAGGTAATCCTTTTCTTGTTGATTTTCTAAATCAACAAATTACTGTCTATCCGAAGTCAATGTACATGGAGGTAAATCAACAAAATACTGTGCATCCGATCTAGTAATCAATGCACGTGGAGGTAATTCTTTAATCCATTACTAGTTAGACGATCGGCTATCCAAAAAAAATCGAACGTAAGCATGGTAACAACCCACTAGACTTGATCGCGATGTTAATCCATTACATAACATTGCCAATGATGCAACTTACCTTCTTCGATGAATCGTTTTGCTCGAGGGAACATTTCCTATTCTGCAACGTAATACTACAATTTGTTTCTATGCGTAAGATAGATTTCTTTCACCAGTGCAAGATGGCTATAACTTGTTTCTTCTTACCTCGTTGACAGATTTGTGATCACCAAGACGAATTGCAATCTATTTCAATCAACGAGATCGGACTAATATGATCCAACTGAGTGACAGAGGCAACGGATCCTAATAATGTGCTAAGGGAGGTTGGGCACGTAGTAGCGAATTCGAGACCAATATCGGTCCAAATATTGTTGTTTACTATTGGCTTTGGTAGGCGTTAAGTCAGGATTGCAATATTATTTGCGGTTGAAATTTGAAATTTTAATTTATTCGGTTATTTATTCGACGGTTTATGCCGGTGTGTGTACAGCTCAATGTACCGTGCATGTCTCGAGTCAACAGCAATCGACTAGAGTACAGGACTGTATTAGCAAATACAGTATCTCGAACCTCCTCCTCTACATACAATACATTTTGTTGCCTCTATGAAGCCACTTTATTTAATTCGATGAGATAGAAAAAACTTTGCACCTTGTGCATTGCCATGCAGTTAGACTGTATGTCTTTTCCTATTTTACTTGTGCAAGCACGCTCATCTTTCCAAGTTGAAACTTAGAAGGATTAGCCTGCACGCTACCAAATTGTCTAAGTATGACTTATCATTCTGAGTTTGGCCTACTCTACAACATCCAATTGTCCATCTATAAGCCACAGACCCACTAATTCTTAGCAAAATGGAAGAATTATAGCCCCCAAATCCCTAATTTGCTTCCAAAATGCGATAGGTAGCACCGCATTAAGTTGCAATGTTGACAAGTCTGATGAAAAATTGAGGAATCAATCGTCTCCTTCACTTGATTATATAGTATCCCATTCAGTAGATTGCACTGAACTATTTTAACTAGAGTCTCATCGAGTATCGGTGATACTATCGCCCGTTCCTACCGCTATAACCGCCAACCATTTCAATTTTCTGTTAGCCAATCAGCGTTCGAAAACGCAACGTCGCCAACTCAAATTCCAAAGGACGTCCGGTGTCCGGTGTCTGTAAAAATGGATGCGAAGGATATACTACTGTATTACACACTACTGCCGTATTCATACTAACCAGTAAAACGATCGCGGCGATAGGCTAGGGGACTTGTATGCTGGACAAAATCAGGACTAATTCTGACAGACGGACAGAACTACGCATAACGTCTCGATCCAGTCTTGAAAGAAAGGATATCATTACCAAGGAAACAGTTCGAATTTGAACGGATGCTATGAGATGACAAGAAGTGGCAATTTAGCCTACTCGTCAACGTCTATATGATAATGAACTCATAAGATCATCATTAACGTCAGTATTGGATAATTGTTGTAATTTTTAAAACATCAGTATATCATCTACAAGGAAAATAGAAGTAATTGGACCAGTAGACGTACGGTAGTTCCGGCTATTTCGTTTATTTATATTAGTATTGGATTGGCAAGGGGATCATTATAGCATGGACCGCAGTATGGCTTCTGACGCAGATCGACTATTTCTAGAAGATCAAGGTAAGTAAAACGATTCAATGTGGTGATAATTCAAACTAGGAAAGGATGCTTGTGATATCTCAGCGGAGGATATGGATTGAAGTAGACGATCGCATAAATTGATACTACTGTATGATCAACTATCAACAAGGCGTAATAACAATACAGGATAGCGGCTAAGTCATCCAACATCGATCAATCAACATGATACACTTGCGCTCGTCCATTATTATTATTGCTTATGTGATTGCTTACTATCCTACAATGATTGCATTTAGCCTTTTCTGATTGAAAACACGATATATTTCACGACTGCCATAGTCACCAGTTCAACGTCTCCACGTACAATTTCAACACTCGTATACTATAGTTATAGAGCTCTCACAGAATATTGACGTACGCGTATAGTCATAAAATGAACAACATGTTAGTCATATTGATACCCTATGCGAATGACCTAAATATTTCCAATGTATGATTATGATTAGTTATCGTTCATCTGTCTACATTATTGCATGATCAGTGTATCATTACATCATAGGAATAGAACTAAAAATGCAACAGTGCAATGTGTTGGCTATATTTCTATCCATTTTCATACAGTCGCTTACATGTACACTGCGGAAAGATGTTAAATGCACATTAACATATTTTAACCGACGAATACTAAACCTTAGTGGTAGTGTTTATAGTCTGAATAATTTAAATTGATCAAATATTGATATTCACGGATATGTCGTATAGTTATGTTTAATATTTCTCTCTCTAATGGATAAATTCAAATAGTTTGCAAAATTGCAATGAAGTAATTTTGTACCAATCTATTTAATTACAAAGAAATATAACAGTTGTTGTTATAGCGAAGACTATCACACTAAACGTTTTTATTTTGATCATATCAATATTGGCGTGCTCTAAATCTTTCCTAATATTTTGCACATTTTAAATTGCAGAAGACAAAAATTATTTGTATCATACTCTTTATAAGTAAAATTCTCGCGTTATGTGCTAATCGACTCACTTACTTATGACTGCAATATTTGCCATGTTGATATAGTGATAGACAAGACAGTAGTACATCTATAAAGATTCCAAGTTCAATTCCACTAATACATAATTACAGCTGATTATGAATTAAAGAAATTTTACATTACTTAAAGCCATCAAATTATAAGTTTTTAATATTCATCAATTATGTGACACCGATACTATAGTGCGACGCTTGAATACAGCTTTAGCCCGATATCGGGCTAAATATCCTCCACTAAGCGATGACGAACAACTTGCTCAGGTAAACTCCTATAATAACATGGAATAACAGAAAATTGCTGAATTTCGTTTATGTTTTATCAGCCTTGACTGCAAACACTAGCAATAATTAATCCATGTATTCATATTTTAGAAACTCGATCCAACATTATTGCAATTATCGACCGATCGAAGGTAAAATATAGATACATTATGGTAAATTACTGTAATATTGTAACAATCTGCATTCATTTTAAAATAATGATAATAGAAATTATGTACTAGCTGTGTTATGTTCATGTGATCTGCTTTTCAATGATTACACATAGTTTGATGACACCATTATTACAAGAATATGAAGACACAATCACCTTACTTAAGAGTGAAATTCAGTTTTATAAGGTAACTAGCGTAATTTTGTAGAATTATTAACATTATTTTTACGTTCATAAAAACTAATCATGATTATGTATGTATTTATTTTCATTAAATTTCTATGATTAGTCTCAAGTTGATTCATTTAAGGATAGAACCGGTGAGCTCGTTAGCGAAAACAAAAAGTAAGACATAGAATGATTTAGTTAGCAGCACTACTATATACTGTACTACAGAACATTTAAAGCGATCCATTATTTGTATAGATTGTATACTGAATTAAAGCAAATAACTCTCAATGCTGGAGAAATGAAGGCATCAACTTATAGTCCTCCTATATTGCCCGTGGATACCGCAAAAGGAGATTTACACGAACGATTTCAAGCATTATCACAAGTAACTAATAGAATAGTACTACAGAATTTAATATTTTAAAATCCAAATCTTTATCTATCTTATAAATTGATGATAGGAAAAGGATAGATACGTTGAACTATGGCAACTACAATCTCGAGATTTAAAATCTATTCGGCAACAGTTTGAGGTAAAAATGATAATAACTCCAATAAAATGACAGTATAAAGTATTAATATCTAATAAAACCACTTTTGGGATATGAAGTAGTACAATGTAATATTCCATTCTAATATATTTAATTAATCATATCGGGCAGGAACAATCACAAGAGCTGCAGAAAAAGGCTTTGGAATTAATTGCTACTCAGGTATGCACGTCTCATGCATTTGGATAGCTTTATCCTTATTCTAGTAGTAAAGGAGCAGTGGCATAGATCAACAACTTACTATTTTCTAATAGGAACAACTGGATGAAATAGTGCGTGGAATGGAAGAAACAAAACAGGAAAATCGGCGATTAAAATCTGTATGCTTTCGATCATCAATTATTAATTTGCTTTAAGGTAGCAATACTTGCTAGCTAGTGGAGCACTCTTATTAATTACAGCCAATATTTTTTTGCAGGAATATCAAAAGTCTAGTCACCATAATAAGTTACAAACTGAAGAACTGGAGACATTGCAAAACGAATTGAGGTAGGGTGAATTAAGTTAAAGAATTTTATCTATAGGATTCTTGCAATCTTACTATCTATGGATGTAATTACCTTAGGAAAGGCAAGGCGGAAATGCGAACTTTACAAGCCAATAAGCTAGAAATGAGAAGATTACTAGATAATGTATCAGATAGAATGAAAGAAAAGGTAATGTAACTGTGGAATGAGCAGTTAGTGTGATAGATTAAAATAATATTACACATACCAAACAATTGGCTAAAGTTCATCAATACTTGAAAGGAAAAACAAGTGGAAGGGGCATCGTATAGAGATAAAACAATGGAATCACAAATACAAGACATGCAAAGAAAATTAGTTGAAATGGATGCAAGGTAGCACAGAATTTTACTGTGAATACATAATATCTAATCATTACCTTAACAATAATCATAGAAGAATTATTCCAATAGATTTAAAACTTCAGTTGGAGAAGTTAAGCGTTTACAATTAGAACGCGGTGAATTAGAGGAAAGATTAGCACTCATACAAAAGAAAGGGTATGTAAACCAAGAAAGTTAAATTGTTAATGTAAAATTAATTTGATTGTTCCTTATTTTTAACAAATATAGAGTTCTATTCCAACTAAAATTCAAACTACTTCATTTATATTAGAGCTGATTATGAACAGCGAGAATACGAAGCAGTTAAGCGAGTTCGAGATAGCATTCAATTAGTCGAGAATGCAATGCTAGAAAGAGATCAGGTTTAACCTTCGATAAATTCATAATCATTTTATTTACATGACTTAATGCTTAGACATAACAAAAGTCTATCGATTCTTTATTTATCTATACTGTAGGCCCTTATTAATGAACAACAAAAAAATTTAGAAGCGATGCGCCTACAAGAAGAAATTTCTAAACTAATGAATCAAAATCAAGATAAAACGCGCGATGAAGTTGAAGCTACTCGGAAACATTATAACCGGACTATTAATAAATTGTCGGAAGATATACAGTCTGCAGAGTTTGTAAGCTGGAACAGTAAAGATCTCGAATATCTTTTATGTAGTAATGTTCCAAGTTGTAATAGTAATGACATATCTGTCTATACTAATATTTATAGGAATTGGATGAGAGAAAATTAGAAATTGAAAAACTCCAACGAGAGAAGAGATTGCTAGAACAAGAATTACTCAAGGTAAGCAACACTACCCATATTACTATCGTATATATCCATTTCATGTAATATGGTGGCATAGTTTACGGGAAAATTTACCTTATCTAGAATTAACGACGTATATCTTCTCAACATGATTTCTTTACCACCAATATTGTTTATAAAATTTCAGTTTTTTTCTGTTTGCCGTACTTGTATTGTAAGATACTGAAGCTTCAGCACTGCAAGCTGGCTCATATAGTTGCTAGAACTAAAATCTCACGCAACTTAGAAGTGTGATATTATGCTTGTAATAGCATTGTAATTAACCATCGGATTTGAAATAGGCAAACTCTGCCGAAACTAGGGAAGATGTCCGATCATATAATCAAATTGAACAATATCAATCCAGAGCCTGTATCGCTGAAAGAGCTAGAGATGAAGCTCTTCTTAAAGTAGATCAGCTTCAATCTGTTCTTCGGTCTATGGACAGCAGGTAGAGCACTTCCAATTATAATACTACATCTTATTATTTAATATTTCTAATAACCAACTGCAAATGGCAATAACAATGTGGCTCATGTTTTTGCATTTTATCTCTACAACGACAGTTATCGAGACGATAAAAATCATCTCCTCACTCAGAATGAGGAGTTAAAGCAACGTCTAAAACAACTACAGAATGAATGCGAAACTATTAGTGAAAATAGGCTAAAAATACTAAGTAAGCCTAAATCTATATAAGAAAGAAAGCTAGAACAATTATTATAAGTCAACATAGAATGAAATGAATGTCAAAACTGATAACATGGTTCGGCTTATGACCGTAGTAGACAAAATTACGATTTCATTTCTATTATGATTCTCATGGCAAATACTTGCTATGGTTCTTTAATTAACACTCTAGGCCAAGTCGATTCTTTACAACGTGAAGTTAGGATATCGGAACAGAAACAAATGACTGGTGAACAAAAATACTTAAAAGAAATATCAACTTTAGAAAATAAAATCCAGTTGAGGGAGCGTGAATTTCAAGCTCAATTAAAAAATAGCGAAAATGTTTCTTGGCAATCATCTCAAGAAATAAGAACTCTTTTACTTTCACAACAACGTGCTACGACAAAATGGCGAGAGGAATCAAAGGGTATGGCCTCAAAATATGAAGCCCATGTTAATCAATCACGGAACGAAGTACATAAATTAAAGCAGCAAAATGAAGAATTGATAACCAGCTCCAGATTAGCCAAGGATGCGATAGAAAAGGTGAAGCTAATGGAGCATAGCTGAAATAAATATTGTCATAATTTTTTCTACTAAACGTATATTACTATAACTTTACAGTATTTTATATGTCTTGCTTTCATCCTTACGTCCATTACTAGCTAGATAAATAGAAACAATTCTATACATAATATTAACTAAATTTTGGAATTAGAATTAAGCTTGTTCATATTTATATTAATTAGCTAACTAGAAAATTGAAAGACTCTCAGGCTAGTGAAAATCGTCTAAAACGATCCTTACAGGAAACTGAAGAGCAAATGAAGGAATCATCGCAAAAGGTAGAATTGAAATAACTTTCATATATAGCAGTGCATGTTTAGCTTTTTCGTGGACTGTAGCTCTCAGTAAAACTCTAAATAAGCTTTGAGTGCTTTATGTCCAATATTTTATATAACTTTTTTGAATTTTAGTAGCTGCGTCCCAAGTTATTGCATTGTTCGTAATAATTAATTTAGGTTCCTGTATAAAATATTAGCAGTGCTTGAAACTGTAATGATTTAAGTTTAAGAGCAGTGAACGAATTATTTCCCGGGCCTTGATTAGAGATTTCATTACTATAGAGTACCGTAACATTAAAAATTGATGATTAGAGTGCCATTAGGAATAATCACAGAGGCATCAGTGAAAAAAGAGTCTAGCCTAATCAATAATTTTTCATTCTTTTATAAACGACTAAAGTACTATAAATAGTATAAGGGCTGTAATTTTTGAATCTCCAAATTTTTCACTAGTAATCACAGGAAAGTAGTATTTCCCTCGTATTATTCTAAAGATGCATAGAATTGCCTTTTAATCATGACTAAGCGTTTATTGGAATGTCACAAAATTTTATGAGGACTCTATCCGATAATTATAGTATTGTAATAATAACCAATATTAGAAGACAGGAAAATGAATGAAATGTATGCTTAATCAATTTTGCCATCTCTAGCTTTCAAGTCTATTGTCCAGAGAGAGGCAAATACTAGACGAAAGGAAGCTACTCTTAAAAGAAATTGATAAACTTCGATTAGAATCTGGAAGATCGTTTAGGTATAGCACCTTAACTGGCTAAATTCGGTTGAATTGAAGAGCGCATTAAAAAATTTGATTGAATAGAATTTTTTCATTTTAAGCCAAACTAATCATTAAAAAACAGCTATAAATACTAAAATTAAGCTTAAGTGTAGGCAGATGATCGATCCATTCCATTAAAACTTTTTTCATCAACTGTTTTAGGGATCAATCAATTAGAAGATTTGGAGGCGAATCATCCAATCTTTTCAATACAACAGGTGGTAACATCCAATCTTCAGCTCCTTTACGAAATTACAGCGGAATGGCTAATCCTACTATACTTACTGATAAACCACTTAATTCTCAAACTAAGCCTTCTACAGTTAAGCCCCAAGTCGTTAAAAAAATTAAAAGTAGTCGAAGTAGGTGAGTGCAATCAGGCTTTCGCCTTCTGTAACAATTATAATAAGTATTCTAGTCAATCTTTATACCTTGCGAATAGTATTACAAACAGATCATCTACAATCCTCACCGATAAATATTTTCATTCATTACATTCGCAGTTCAAGGTCTCAGTTATTGGATGATGGCAGTTCTAGAGCGTCTTCTGAAGGCTATAATCGTATATCTGATTATTTATAACTAAAATATATGAACTATAATATATGAAAGCAAGCGTGTAATACATATTTTATAATTTATTTAGTATGTATTAATGTAATCATATTGATTTCCTATTTCTATAGTAGCTTTAGAGACTTTCTCCATTATGGCTTTTAATTTTATTTTAAAGGGTGATAAAATAAGTTTAAGCTTATCCCACTCTCAATCGTTAATATGTTTTATCGAACTTTCTTTCATTTAATTTAAATCATAAAAATTATTTTCTTAACCTGATACAGTCTCAATTAACTACTCCATTTTTAATTCAATCCTTGTAAGCAAAGAAATAAGCTAATGTAAAGAAATTTAGTTCTATTATCGACTGAATAATGTATTGATAATTATTAGATAGAGTTTAATGAAATAAAAGTGTGTATCTTTGATTTATTATTAAATAAGATTTAACTTGCTTTTATATATATACTAAAGAACTAGCGATATGTGTAGAGACTATTTTAAGAAGATGGCGATTCATATCCTTGATTGTATTGCTTAAAATAAAAGGAAAAATGAACTGATGTCTTTATTTCCGATAGACACCCTATAATAACTAAGTGCTATCACTATGAGGTAAGATAGAGGGGAATTTGTGTTGATTTAAAACGTTGTTTTTATTCCATTGATTCACAAATATTGGCCTTATCAAATTGAGATATGATCAACTCTTTTTATGCAATTAATTGATTAATAAAATGGTCATTGTGACTAAACCCTATCGTATGAAGTCAGCTAATGATCTTACACATTACCATATTAAAAAGTAATTACATAATATAGTGCAGCTCAGTTACGAGATAATATTGGTATGTATTATTTATGATTAACTGCGCAATAATACACCAGAAAACGGATAATCAGCTAATAGAATCAATTGTAGTATAGATTAAATAAACAGATAAATTGAATTCGCCCTTAATTCATCAAATATATTATAAAACCTATATCTCAAAAGCCATTGATCAGTCACTATATCGACTACAAACGCGAAAAAATTTAGACAACAAAAAGAATGGTTTACTATGATAATTAAATTCATTTTCGATATATGAAATCAGAAAAAATTGATCGATAAATTTTACTGAGTGATTGATTAGGCAGTTAAACTATATTGCAGAAGTTAATGGGCGAAAATAGTGGTACCTTAATGAAATTTATGATGATCGAAAATTAATGCTATCGTTTTAATCTTCGATTCTACGTGTGATCACTACTTAATATCCGAAGATATCAATCAATCTTCTCTCGCATACATCATCAATGAGTAATGGAGCCCAAATCAATTGGTTAACCCGATTAAACTGTAAGAGGACGAAGAAGACAATCATCATTAAGAGTAATTCTATTCCATAAATATAATGCTTAAAATAACTTATTAATGCTTATTGCACAAACTGCCGTAATTTAAGTAATAGCAAAATTCATGAAAGCCATAAGTAACCTAATAATTACCTTTTTGTCCCAGTGGTTGTTGTTGTGGTGGAGGTCGAGGAGCTCGATGTGTTTCTTTAGGAGGTTCTTGAACTGGGCCACTTCGGAATTGGCGATAAATCATATATACGAGTATTAAAGCAAGAATAACACCCATAACAAATAGAATAACGAACCAAGCCCGATTGAAAGGTGGCAAATTCTCTATACATTTAAAGTGAAAAGATTAATAGAGAAATGAATTGAGTTAAATGGGACTAAAATGTAATTTATATTATGGTTAAGGAATAGCTAATTTACCTTCGAATGACGACATTGCGGCTAATGCTTGAGGTGTTGGACTACTTTCCAGTGGGTTACGTCCGGTATTAAGAATACTAACCATTCGAACGTAATAATTCTTAGTTCCGTCGATACCATCTAGAGTAATTTGGCGAGCAGTTCCAGGTATATTAGCACCATACTTGTACCATACTGAATCATCTACAATACCAAATATTATTATATGTTATATAGATTTCAGAACATAAGATAAGATACAATTTTGCTATTTACATCAAAGATATTTTTGATAGTTTTATACTTACTTCGAGCTTCTCGCAAACGAACTTCAAATCGTATTGGATTTTTAACAACAAGCCAACTTATTTCGATGCGGCTATTCGATACAGCCTTGGCAAGGTAATTGTATGGAGCATAGTCTATTTAAGTTAATTAGAGAAAGTGATCTTTGATCAGCTTTGTGAATCTCAGATAAGTTTAAAATAATTTCATAGGATATTTTATAATGATGTGACAAAAAAAGATCACTTTATCTGTGTAAAGAATGTGTTACCGTAAGGTAAAGACTGCAAATGAGTGTAGTCTTGGATATTATCATTTCGAAATATTGGATAAATAGTAACGTTATAGATCGCAGTACTGGAGTAATAATTAAAATTATACTCAAATATATAAAGGTCATGCGTTAAATTACGATATGTCTAATATTCAAAATTACAGAAGAAATCACTCTTATGATTAATAATGAAATGAGCAGATTCTAAGTAGTGATAGTACCTAGAGATGAGTAATTAAATCTATAACTGCTCCATATCATCAGTAGAATTCTCGTATAATAGAAATTAAACAAGCAATACCATTGCATCAAAATAAATAAAAATGTATCGAACATGAATTTTACTATAGAGCTACTCTATTTGCTACTGTAGAAGGAATTTAGCAGGATTTAAAAAATAATCAATATATCGACATATTGCATAATATGACGTATGATTCTCAACATACCATCACCAGAGGCATATGCTTGTGCTCTTCGAGATGGACCAAATCCGGCGGCATTCTCCGCTGATACTGTAAATACATATGTACCTCTCGGAACACGACTTAGGCTGAAATGGTGAACGTTGCCAGGAAGCAAATATGATCCATAGTATTGATAAGCTCGACCAGTTAGAGTATAAGTGATATTTAAGCTATAGCCGATAATAATACCATTCGCACGCGCTGGACGTACCCAGTTAGCCGCTACAACATTTCCTGTTGATATTGCACCGGCAGCAAGTTGCATAACAGGATCAGGTTCTATGCAGAAGTAATTAGTGCATTCAAATTAGAGCTAAATATTAGACTATCATGTTAATGATATGAAAATTCAATTTCTGAATGAACTTACTGCTTGATCTAGTACGAACAACAATTCTAGCAGAGTAACTCCTTCCACTGCTACGACTTCTTCCGAAAGCTTCAATTTCATAAACAGTATATGGCATCAAGCCATAAAATACGTAAGTTAAAGTGTTGGGTCCCACAGTATAGTTAGTTGATCGGCCTGGAGCTCTGACATCCCATATCCTCAGCTAAAGTTTAAACAATCATAAGTCAGTTGATTCAAGAGTGAAATAGTCCCTATTCACCGCAGCTAGAACTCTCATAGAGAATGTGCATAATGTTGCCTTACTGTATAGCCACGTAGTGTTCCTTCAATAAAATTCTGGGGTATACCATCCCAACGAACAGCAATCGAATTTGCTTCAATTTCGGTAGTTCTAAAATTGACAGGTGGACTTCTAGGAGCTATGATTTACCAATTAAAATTCAATTATTATCACTTAATAAAGGTTCGTTTTTTCATATTAAATAGAATTAACTTACGAGCTTCTGATGTGAACCCACGTACTATGGTTGTTGTCCTCAGGCCAATACCTAAATTATTATAAGGTTGGATATAGATATCGTAATATCTTTCTCGAAGCAAGTTATTAATAAAGTAGGAGTTGACATTGGAGACATTTAAGTTGGTATAAAATCGGTCGCTGTCGAGTTTATAGTATAGCATGTATCCAATACCAGGAGCATTTTGTTCTTCACCAGGAAGAGCCTAGGAAAGAAGTTTAAGAAGAATTGTAACAGTTTACTGTTTCTCTATTTTATAAAAGAGCTGCACCACATAACACTCTTATTTTAGATTCAATTTAGAATAGACATACCATCCATGATACAAAGAGTCTATTGGGATAACGTCCAGAACCTTCAACTCTGAGACCTTTAGGAGCATTGTAAGGTACTAGAGCAAAAAATTTGCCAAGTGTTGTTTAATCGTTATAGCGAAACGTTAAAGATCAGCATTGTAAAGAAAGTTTATTCAATTATAGATGATACTGTAAATAATTCTGTGTTTGGACATACTGTAATCTAATTATCTAGAATCGTTCAGTACATGTCTAAGATTATGAATAATTTCTGTATTAATTTAGTTATCCAATATGAACTACATTTCATGAACTATTATGACTCATACATGATAGCAGCTGCCGAAGGGTATTTAAGCTCGGCAGATAGTTGAATAAAAGAGAGTTCTATAGTTGTTTAACGCAGAAGCAAAGCGTCTAAGTTCTTGTGAGATAGTTAAGGGATACTGAATCCCGCAGACTATAGTAAATTTCGAGATTTTTTTACGTTATCTTGTCACGAAACTGGTTTGTGACAGTTAGTTACTACAAATTACCGATGGTAAATTTTATCTACTCACTTACCTGCTGGTTCAGTAATATACGCTGCTGTCCATAAGCTTCTTTCACCAACTCCAACTGTATTGATGCCAGCGACTCGGAAAACATACTGTCCCCAAGGTGATAGCTTGACAGTAGCATTGTTGGCCATAGGATGGGTTACATTTTGCACACGTATAGTTTGATTATGATTGGATCTGTATTCGATACGATAGGCAAGAATTGGACTATTATGATCTTGGCCATGAGTGAATGTCCAATAGACATTGACGGATTCTTTCATTTTATTGAATAGTACAACATAGCGTGGCTTGCCAGGAACATCTGCAGATAATAATTACAGGTGGAAAGATTTATATATATATATATTATTAAGATTAGGATACCATTTTAAAAATAGATTGGTTTACAATCTCAAGTCATGATTCTTAGATCGATACGCAAAATTTCGTGATCATTAATTTTAAAATGTAACGTATAGAAACTAGAGAAAAATCGATGTTTACAACTTTATTGCAACCTAACCGTTAACAGTCAGTTGTGTTGTGGTAGAAATAGTTTGACCTCCGGCTAGTGCTGAGCATTGATAGGAGCCAGTATCCGGTAGTAATGCATTGGATATGATCAAAGTGTTATTTGTATTGACGTAAATACGAGAGCCGTTTAATACCCTTGCGCCACCTTTAGTCCACATGATATACGAGCCATTACGATTTGGAAAAGCATCAACCGAACAATTTAGTTCAATGCGTGATCCAGTACGATAGACGATGTATGGAGCTGAAGTCGTTGTAAAGTAGATTCCCTGAGCTGTTTCAATACATAAGAAGGAGTAATATTAGCAAGTAGATGATATGGTTATAAGTACATTTCCTACCTTAGTATTTACCTAAATACTACCATATACATGAACGATGACATTATAAGTAAAACAAATGTTCAACTTTTAAGATAATTTAAAGCAATTTTTCTAAAATAAGAAAATTGATGATTCGATCGGAATAATTCGATAGCCATATTATTGCGAAACGTAAATCATTATTGACATATAGTTTAAACTATTTTATGTCATGTGAGTGGAAGCGTAATTGGAAAATTCAATTCATTACAGTCCTATTTAATAAGTATAGATATTGAATGAAAGTTGGATTGTTATTTAATCCATTTGCTGGATCAATATTCGTCCAAAAGTGAATTATACCAATGAGAACGTTGTTAAGGAAAAGGTGAGCTTGCTTATGCTTCCTTATATCGTGCATACTAATATATTAAACTTGTACAGCAGTTTATAGTTGGATTACAAGCAATCATTTCTGGGATAAGGAAATGTGCTATGCTAGCGTATTCTTTGGACACCTAATAGGCTACCAAAGCTGATACTTTTTGCAGTATATGTCTGATTTCTAGGATCAAATACATTATTTCGTCAGGCAATATATGGAATAAGGTCATTTACAACACATGCAAATACGTGCTTCGTTTTGTGGCACCTATTAATCTACTTTCCTTGAACGGTAGTTGTAGTTAGTTTAAAAGCAATCATTTCAAGAAAACTAGTGCAAACTCCCGTCGCTTTGCTGACGGTTTACGATAATGTGCTCATTTAACAGATAGTATTACCATTTGATAGACCTGTCAGAGTAAGGCATGTATATCATTGAGTCAAGGAATAGATAGGGTAAGGCAATCAATAACGCTCTTATGACTGAAAATGATCATGAGTAATAATCATTCGATTAGTTATACTCTGCCTTGGCCCTGCCATAAAGTTCTAAACTAAGCAACTAACTCATATCCTATCAGTTCAAGAAATTGATTTTAATACAAATAAGAATTATTGACACTCTTGCAATACTATATCACATCTTGTGGTAGTCTAAGCATAACCCTAAAATGGGTAACACTGTCTAGCATTTGATTTGATTCTATACGTAGCTGGATTTTCTTACAGAACATTTTAACACTACTTGAAAGTAATGACTCCCACTTTAGATGCTTGCAACCATAGCAAAGCAAATATCACTTCCTGCATGATTAATTATCAACTCTAACGACTTAAAGAAGGTAAGTTTAAGCAACAAGAATTCTTCTTCGGTCAAATTATTTTGAAAAATTGTATTTAGCATACTCGATCATTATGTTTATTATTTATGGTTACGCTATGTAGGTAAACTTCAACGATACTAGCTACTAAAACAGACTTATTAAAACAATTATAGAGGGCTTAGTAAAAGAAAACTTAACTATCAATTCGGATAACCTTGATTATGATTTAAGTGCAAAATCTGTTCTAATGACCCTATTGAATTAGACAAGCTTTACTTTATAGTAGAAGAAATGATATGGACAGACATGATTGATTGTTGTATGAAAGTTCCAGGATTGCATTGCTTTTCATTAAATGGACCAACTAAAATGGCTGCTTAAGTGGAAAGTAACATTAAAAGTATGACTAGTAGAATATGCGATCGAATAGAAATGAAATAAATGGCCATTACATCCTTAAAATGATCATCAACCTATAAGTCATAACTTCCTAGGCATTAAGTTAGCTCTATCGAGTTTCATTATCTCAACAGTAGAGCTAGGAAAGAACAATTTAAAAGACTAGCTAGGAATAAAAAGGAATCAAAAAATCGGTCGGAAATCATGAAAAGTTATTTTAAATTAAAGCTATAATCTACAAAATACAAATCATCGAGGACATTGGAATTGATCAATTACATTTTGCTAACATTCGATGCTACAAAAAATTTGAAATCTTACCAGAATGACTGCAAAGAATTAGGGCGATTAAATAGAATAGGTATTGCCGTTTCATGTTGTATAATTTTGTTGTTCGGTCCTAGTCACTCAAGCTTTTCCTGTGATAAGCAGAAGAGAATAGATGAGAAAAAATGGAATTTTTTTATTCTATCGTCGATTTACTAGAATACATAACTCGATTGCGATAATGCTCAATACTATCAGCATGATGATGGCAAATTAACATTTCAATGCCAAAGTTAGAATACATGCATTTTATGCTATGGAATAAAAGGTTAATCATTCAATATTTCAAGTTACATTTAGCAAAATAGCTACGTAAGCAGAGGTGTTCTTAGTACGATATGAAAATGGCTAAAGCAAAATATCAATATTGATTTTATTGACATAGGAAAACAATATCCTCTTTCTCAGTAGAATGTTCTGGTTGCATAACCTGATGTTAAATCAAATTTGTAATACCCCTAGAGAGCATCAGATGCTATTAGCTGGCCCTTTTATTGGATAGCTGAGCAACCGTTTCTAACTGGTTAGTACCGTTAGATCTACCTAAGACCGATAGAATGGATTGAAAAATGGCAGTTTCTCGTTCTACCGAGACTAACAAATAGTCCCTTCCTCCTTTTCGACTGGAACTATAAAAAAGAAAAATCGGTGCTCGTTGTCGACATCTCAGAAAATCGCAGACTATAGTGGCATCGCAAGATCTACCTAGGGACGATGGGGTGCGATGGAAATGGCAATTTCTGTTCTAGCCAAAATTAGTATACACCAAATTTCGATTGAAATCATGTGAAAGAAAAATCGCCGCTCGTTATTGACCTTTCAGTAGACTGTACGCTATAGCAACGCCGAAAGATCGATCTAAGGACGATAGTGTACAATAGAAATGATCTTATACTTAAGTCTCCATGGGTGAAATAACGAAAACGTTGATTGGCATCGATCATGCACAGTTGGTAAGAAGAAAAGGACGATTTAGTGCAGTAAAAATTGTATCAGGGGCAATTTAAATTAAGTGCTATGGTCGATAAATAAATATCTTTCATCAGCATCAAGGATAGGTGGCAAGAAAATGTAGAGCGGAACACTTGCTCCTACTGTCAATTTCCATCGCTAACTGCTTGCTGTTTGAGCCATAATGATTCTAGATTGCTATTCTATCATGACAAAGCTATTGGTGTCGTAAATGATCTATCCGAGGCTCTGAGGCCTTCGTTTTAAACTCTCGCTCTCCACATCGTCAGTAAAGAATATCCTAAATGGCGTCAGCAAATCAAAAATCAAGAAGAAATCGCTTCTTAAATCAAAAACTTCCAGTTGCCTATAACGAAGAAAGTATATTATCCACACATTTAACGTAGAATGGTTGTTTAATGGACTAGAAAAGCCTCTATTTGATCTATCCTGTTCATGGTAAATAACTTGACTTTTGGATCAGATGTAATACCAACTGTAAATCAGGAAAAAACTGAAGGCTGCCTTACAATGATGGAAAGAAGTTATTCTAAACTATCTTGCTGCGCTTCTACCAGAGATGACAGATTGTATTGCTTTGATGGCAGAATAAAATAGGACAACATCCTAGCTGTTCCACTGCTGTATACGGAATCAATTAAAATAAAAATGAATACCATCTTGTGATATAATTAGTCTCATGGATGGAAGCTAGTTTTTGCCTTATTGCTGATTTTATAATTAAGTTGATTAAAAGAAAGAATTCGAGATTACCCGATGGAGGAGTAGAAAAATAAATTTTAGTTAGAATACGCTTTAGGAGAATACATTATTCTACTCCTTTTTTCGGTCTAAAATGGCAGCAATGCGAATCATTGATTCGAAAAACTTCCTTGAATATCAAAGAAGAATAGATTTTAAATAGGATGCACTTTAGAGCCTTGGAATAGCTCATATTCTACTCGTTATTTCTCTTCCGTAATCCCGATAGTACGGTACTAGTCGTTGATTCAAAATGTAGAGTAAAAACTTCCGTCAATATCGAAGAAAAATTAGATTTTAAATATGTTGCGGGTTTAGGTAACGCATTATTCTCTTCGTTACTTCTCTCCAAAATGGCAGTAATGCTGTTATAATCGTTTTAGTTTGAAAATGGTGGTAAAACTTCCGTGAGCTTGAAAGCAAAATAAGTTTTAAAGATGATGCGAGTTAGGATAACACATTATCCCTAACTCGCTATTTATCTCCAAAATTGCAGTACTGTAATACTATGCTAATCATTGGTTAAAATGGAGAGTAAAACTTCCGTAAACTTGAAAGAAAAGCAGATTGTAAAGATATTGTCGGTTAGGATAGCACATTATCCCATTTGTTAGTTAAAATTAAAGGTAAAACGTCCCTGCACTTGAAAGAAAAACGGGTTTTAAAGACGATGCGTATTCTAGGATAACACATTATTCTACCCGTTCTTTGTCGGCAAAATGCCAGCAATACTAATCGTCGGCTAGAACTTGGTGGTCAAATGTCCATCAATCTCGGAGGATTTTAAGAAATCGATTTCAAATATGATGCTCGCTACTCTAAACTACTGTAATTAGCTGAAACCACTACGAAATTATTATAGAGATCTGAATTAAATGAGATGCGAAACTTTTTCGAATATTTCAAGTTAATATTGGCGTTGGCATAGACCAATCGTGGGTTAAAATTAGGTAGTGAAACTTCCGTGAAATGAAGGTAATATTAACGTCGTCGTAGACTAACCTTGGGATGAAATTGGTTAGTAAAACTTCCGCGCATATTAATAAGATATGAAAACTTTTCGCACACACTACAAGGTAATATTTGCGTTAGCATAGACTAATGGTGGGTTGAAATTAGGTAGTAGAACTTCCGTGAATATTAATTAATGAAATGCGAACGGAATGAGATGACACATGAAGACTTTTTCGCATACTACAAGGTAATATTAGCGTTGGCTTATACTAATCGTGGGCAGTAAAATCTTTCATTCATATTAATGAGATCTGAAAACTTTTTCGCACGTTACAAAGTGATATCATCATTGGCAGACTAAACGTGGTTAAAATTAAGTAGTAAAAAGCTCCGTGAATATTAATCAATGAGATATGAAAACTTTTTCACACACAATAGGTAGCATTAGCGTTGGCTTAGACTAATCATGGCTTAAAATTGATTAGTAAAAGCTTTCGCTAATATTAATGAGATCTGAATTGGGAAGATATAAAAACTTTTTCGTAAATTACTAGGCAATATTAGCACTAGATTTGAATACAGTATTTTGAGAAAGAGAAGAAACTAGACAACAGGTTGATGTTATTCGTTTGTTTGAGTGCTGACAAAACGACTCTTTCGTTCATTGTGTAGAAGAAGGACGCCATAACAGACTGGATCAAAGGGGATTAGGAAAAATTAGCAAACATATTCATGGTGTTGACAACAGAATGTATTAATGGCCTACTTTAGGTTTACCTTGTGGATGGAAGCTTTATCTAATACATTAAAAATAATTTTGAACGAAATTTGGATCAGAAATTTTTTAACAGCGATCATAACCAGGACGCCGCAGCTAAAGAACTATCAGTCGATATCGACAAGCAACGGCAGATAACGTTAACCCAAAATTGGCTATAACTTTCTAGTCTTATTCAGACCACCTACTATTTCTAAATAACGGAAGACATGGTCCCCAAAAACGTGCTTCAAAACCTATACATTAATCTATTCTATCAGCGTGGTCTAGTTTATACTTTGTCAACATGCTTAAATCGCAATTCTTTTTCCTTATAAGCTTAATTTAATATCTGCTGATCTAATGTTGGATCACCTCCTGCTGGTTGCCTATTTTTTAAATAGTTCATGGTACTACCATGAGAATGGTTTATGTCCAATACAATTAACACTAAAATAAGGTGATCTCTCTAGCTCGCACTACTCTCTTCTGCCGAGGACAGTAATGCTTAAATTGCGTTTAAAATGGATGATCGAGTTCATTATTCTCATCATTCTTTCTTGCTAGTTGTGCCGACTAAGCACGGTTGTTATTGGATGAACTTCAATTCCAACTGCAATCAAGTACAACGGCGATGATAGGAGAATAAATACGATACAAACTCAAAGACTGCTTGGCAATGTATAGGAAATGCAATCATCGAGTTCCAGTTGCCTTTAGATAGAAGGGAAAAAGGATACTGAGATAGGCCGCTCCCCTACCTAGACTGCAACGATAGGAAAGGCAATCTAGGCACTGATTGCTTTTAGCTCCAAAAAGAAATAGTAAAAAGTCTACTGGAATAGATAAACCTGTAGACTACAATTTTGATAGCAATAAGAGGTAATGCCTAGAAAAAACGATCATCCAGTCATTAATTGCTTTGAGCTATAAAAAGAAAGCGTTAAAGGCATGAGTAGATTGGGATAGAAATCTCCAAGGCTGCAGTTCTGACTGCAAAGATAGGAGATACTAGGGTATGCAACCACATGCTTTGATTGGCAATACCTAGAAAAGGTTATCATTCGATCACTATTAGACTTGAGATTGAAAGAGAAAAAGTAAAAATAATATTAGGATAGAAAAATGAATCCCCTAGACCGGAGTTATCATGCTAACTAAATTGCCAAGCCTACTTGATTGGCTAAAGAAACCATGATGCTAACATGTTAAGCTTGAGCAACAATATTGTTTTCTACCCCCTGCTATCCAAATCGACCATATTGCCCATTAATAATGCTATTATAATTAGCGACCGTTGCTTAGATAGAAAAACATTTCAGTTTTTTTTAAATTAGCGTGTGCTCTGATATCAACGTATCGTGTAAGAATAGACAATTTCTCCGTGCTTGATAACAATGAAAACTGTTTGCATGATAGAAGTTAGTTCAAAGGTTGATGATACTGATTTGGAAGGAGAACTTCCAAAGAGAATCAAGATTATTTACTGTACTTATGATGAGCAACTAATTAGTACGTATATCTATATACATATATATATATATATATATATATATGAATATAATCGATTGGAACTATTTAAAATTCAATTTACCGTTAGACTAGCCTAAACAATAATGTCTAAA